TTAAGCAAGGTCACTTGCTTTCTTCAGATTCAATCTCCATCCTGCGGCTTCTTACAGAAAGACCCAAATAAGATTTTCTCGCAGATGTTTTTTAGCACATGAGTGGACATAGTGTGCTGGAAGGCAATTTGAATATTGACAGAAAGCTGAAGCAATGCTGAGTGCCTTCTCAGTTTATGGGAAGAGCTGAGCTCAAAGAGCTGCTGTATCACAGCTCTCTCAACAATAGGAAATCTGCATGTAAGTCACACTAAATTTGTGCAGTTCAGAAAGCAGTGTTTCCTGCTGCAGGAGGGAGTGACCAACATGTGTAGCAATTGGATTATGAACAGAGTGACAGTGACCAACACGTGTTCACTGTGCGTGCAATTATGGGGAGAGCAGTTCTGCTACGCTGTGAGCTCTCACTTTCCCGCAGGGAAATGTTCTGCCCTGGCCCCATAGGGGAACCCAAAAGCTCTTTAGGGAACTCCTGACCATGGAGCCAGGAATGAAGGCACCAGCATAGGCAGGGCTGACATGTGAGGGATCACACAGCCAACTCCTGTTTATTTGCATGATGCCCCTTGAGCCTATGGGTGTTTTTCATAGCAGTACAATGACAAAGCCTTGAAATATATCTGGTGACATCAGGGCTGAGAGATACAGCTCCTTGCCATGGCTGTCCAGATGATTTGTGCTTTTCATTACAGTGAAATGATAATAAAATCAAGAGTCCAGAGAAGGAAAATGAAATACAAAAGCAGACGCTTGCCGGTACTACAGTATAACAAAATCTCTTGCTCTGTCTGGAAATGTAAGCCTTTTACATTAGTAGAGTGCTATTTAGTTCATGCTCATTCAATTTATTGGTAGGATGACTTTATACAGGTTTGACACAGTGGCTCAGTGGAGCTGGCCACAGCATCTTTTTTTAAAAGTGTCTTTTTCTCATGCATGGAAATGGCCCATAAGGCAGTAAGCCTGGCTTTAGCAGCCAGCTTCAGCAATTAGAGGGATAAGATAGTCCAAAGATGCTGAATTCTGCAAAACAACTCCTTCATCTCTTTTCCAAGCAGATGCTGAAAATTTGAGAGAAGGAATTCGAGCTCCAGCACTTTTTTCTGTATTTGTTGGGAGTTACAATGGGAAAAAAAGAAACAAATGTGGCATGGTTAAATGGTTTGAGTAGAGCAGAAGGCTTGACCTTGTTTTAAAGCAGAGTAGTAAAAAATTAACATTAAATAAGATCAAAATCATTGCAGTTAAAAAGAGCTGATGTTAGTACTCGTATCTCCATACTTCCTTGAGTTATGAGGTTAAACAAATCCAAACGAAACACAAAAGGAGTGGAAAAAGACACGTTTTCAATAAAAATAAGGAAAATGTGAAGCAAAAGCAATTCTTTCACTCTGTAAATTTTAATCAAAATACTTAGACCAGCACATCTGTTAGGGAAGGAGCCATAGGCTGCTGGAGAGGCAATGTCCCTTCCACAGCGGTGGACCCAGGGAGTTCATGCCACAGATGGACAGGAGCCCTGGGCAAGGCAGTGCCAGCTCAGCACTGAAGGGGTATTCCCAGCCAACTCCCTGCAATTTAGCACCTTCATTTGCAGGAAAGACACGGGATTGAGAATTGTCCTTAAGGTAAAACAGTAGGGGGGGGCAGAGAGTGGTTGGGGAATGTTTAGCTAAAGGGGATAGCTTCAGAGGAAGAAAGAGAAGATCAGTTCCTTGAGTAAGCAATTGAACTGCAATAATTTAATCACTAAGGCTCTGGAATCTGCAAGGAGCAGAGTGGACATGGTTTTACATCGCACCCCCCACCTCTGAAGAATGAAGCCTGCAATCCTGCCTGATTTTTCAAAAGTTGTCAACAAGATGTTATTTTTAGTTCCACATCTGTCACTACACAGTGTTTTGGCTGACTCAGCATCTTTCCGTTTGATTGGAGTTCCTGCCTGGCTACTCTGAAATCACTGACGATTGGTTCAACCAGGGAAGTGGGTATTGTGAGAAGACTTTTCCAGATGGCATCCTGAACAAAGGAGCAGTGCTGATGTAACTGACCAATAGAGGCACCATGCTGCTGAGTGGGGAAACACAGGCACATCTACAGCCATGGAGATACATCTGTCTGTTACTAAATCCCCAGCTGCAGTGGCACCCAGAATAACATCCAGGATACTCAGAAGCCATACATGAGCAGAGTTAATACTGGACAAATTCTTTGTGGAAAAAAATATATATATATCCATAATTTAACTTTCAATACGTTGTTATTTTAGGTCTTGGCAAAGGACAGTTAGGGGAAGCATCAATAGGCTGTAATAGACTGTAAGGTGGAGTTTTATTACCAGTTTCCTTTACACAGCCATTTGTACCTTAAGGAAAGCAGAGATTATTTGCTTTTTGCTTGTAGAAGAATGCTATGAAACACCAGATAAGAAGTGAGGACTGGTGATCTCTCCTAATGCACTGGACACTGAAGGGCAAATTGCTGTATGCAGTGTGCCCACACATCTTCTGTGGGCATCCATCACACGTAGAGTATCTCTTCTCATTAGACAATTATGGCTAATAATTGTTCATCTTCATACGATAATGATTGCCACATGATTATTCAAGTGTTGAGGCTTGCAAGCAGATTTAGCTTCTTAGCTGGCTCCTTATTCTAATAATGAAGAGAAAAACACAGAGTAGGCTTTTGTTGTAAAATAGAGGGTGAATCTGAGAATAAATATATCTTGCACGCCATTTGTCAATCATTCAGTTCACAGAATGGACCAAACAACTCAACATTTATGACAAAGAATAAAAAACATATGTCTAAGAAATTCATTTCTCATACTAGAAGCAGACTAATGCAATAGTTTCCATTTAAAATTACACATTTAACCAAATCCTTGTAATTTTCTTACAATTCTGTAGACCAACTCATGACCACTACAGAAGTATCCTTGTCTTCAGTGGGTTTACAGAAGGCTGTAATTAATTTAAAACCACTGTTTAAAAATTGAAGCATATGCTTTTTTTTTTTTTTCCTTGCATCAGAATTTTAGAACTGGGAAATTGTTAAACATATGGTTCAGTTTTTTTTCCACAGCATTTATAAGTATGAAAGCCTCTTGATTACTAAATATTATTCTATATATACTAAATATAAATGCAGCTGTGTTTATTTCTTTTTTAAGCTACAACTCTCACAGTAGCTGCTAAGCTAAGAGTATGTAAAGCTCATTAGACAAATAATCCTTGTTCTTTCTTAACTCAGGCTCAGAAAATGAAGAAATTTCTTTGTAGTCTTTGGAACCCATAAATGAGAATAAACCTATTGCACATTTTAAAGTTTTTTTTTCAAATCTATTTCTATAAAGAAAGAGAAAAACCAGCAGTTTAGCCAGTAGTCATGAAATGTCTCTGATAGTGGAATTTGTGTAAATTCTAACAATCATGAATGCTATCTAAATAATAGGGCGTACAGGTGTACTCCACATCTTTGCGTACAGAAAGGCACAAGCTCACACTGCATAGGCTAATGCGTACTTCAAGTCTGTCATCATGGCCATTCATATCATCTTCATCCCCCTGCTTTAAAGGTCCCAGGCACATTCCACAGAGAGCTCTTCTAATAGGAAACATCAGCTGGGGACAGCGAAGGAAAGACGGTGCAGCATTTGACTCTTGCAGTTGTCCTTCAACTTTTCAACAAATGCTTAATTTCCATGTATGTCACAGAATAGCTTAGGTTGGAAGGGACTGTGAAGACCATGGAGCTTCAATCTCCTGCTGTAGGCAAGGCTCCCACCCAGCTGCCCACTGCCCCAACCAACCCGGCCTTGAGAGCCTCTAGGTATGGGACATTCACAGCTTCTCTTGGGCAGTCTGTGCCTGTGTTTCACATCTCAGCATATGTATACATTGTGAACCAGTTTTGCAGCCCCTTTCCCTTCCCTGTGTGTGCCCAAAATGTCTTTGCAGCTTGGTTCTGAAGTGGCCAAACCACCTGTGCGTGGCTGGCTGGTCCTCTCCATTAGCACAGGGTCTGGAGAGAGCATTGCCCTTCCCCCTTTCAAAATGCAGCTCATTGTTACGCCCCAAAAAGCATTATTATATCCAACCAGCCAGTGGGCACTGGCTTCAGCATGGTCAGGACTTCAACCACCAGCTGAACTGCACAGAAACACCTCCAATACCTGCAATTATTTTCTTTTTAAACAGTATTCTGGCACACACTCTCTCAATACGGAGGCAAGCAGGAGCCCCTGGATGCCCTGTGCTAAGGCTGTCCTCAGCAGAGACTGAGTTGGAAGCAGTGGGCTGTGAGCAGGCCTCACCTCCTGCTGCTGCCACAGCAGCTGTACCTACACCTGCCTTGGCTTTTCAACCTCCCCCCTCACACACAGTCTTAGTTTGTGCTAGAAGAGGGCTGAAACGTGAAAGCACCAGGAAGCTCTCTGCTCTCCATTGCTACTCACCAAAAGCAGCCCTCCTACGCCCCAGCCATTCCTTTTAGCGAGCAATTAATTCCTGCAGTGCAAAGGCTTGACTTCAAATCCTGCCCCAACCTCTCTGGCTCACCCTTCGCCAAACCAGCGCAGTTACCTGTGCTTTGAACTTCTCTTTTTTAAGCTACATGATCTAAAAATGTCTTCTATACAAGAGTAAATGTTCCCAGGCAGGTTAACTACAAAGCACAGCCAAGGTTTCTTCTCTTTGCAGCTCTGCAGATTTAATTCCACGCTGCTATTCATCTCTGATGTGCGCCTCTCCGATAAGAACATTATAAACATATGACAGTAAAATTGGATGAAGACAAAGTGTGATATGGGTCTGAACATGAGAGGGAAAGAAATTAAAAAATAAATGAGGTACTGACTAGAGAGAGATTAATGTACTAGAAATGCTGTGAGAAAATAAGATGAGAGGAATTATTTTTGTAATGAATTTATGAATATTGGATATTAGAATGCTCAAATTAAAATATGTGGCTAGTAAAAATATTAAGAATCATTGTCATCATTTTTAAAATGCCATTTAATGGTATCAGCATTTTTCTCCAGCTGGCTGGTAATGGAGGGTAAAGCACAGCCCGGCTGCTTCTGCTGAGCTATTAGCCAGTTTAACAATTTAATTGCACCATTCTGGGACAGCTTGTCTCTTTTTAAAAGTAATGACATCCAGGGTAAAAATAAAACAAAACATTTCAGGTTGTTAAAATCAGCCACTGGGAGAGAAATTACAAGGTCCCCTGCGTACAGCTGAGGTACAGAGAAATTACAGAAGAGTCTCACAGAGAAATCCATCTCCTGAATGGCAGCCGTATCTTTCATGGCAGTTCCCCCAGTCCTCTGGTTGGGTCCTGGAGGGCTGGAGTTGTCTTCTTTTGTTTTGTGGAGCTCTGCGTTGTTGGTGCCTGATGTCTACAGCATCTTCCTGCCCTTTCTCCCATTGCATTCTGGTTTCTATTAAGCAGCCAAAGCTGTCACTCCCAGGAAGCAGGATTTTTGGAAGAGCAAGATCACAACCATGTGATACAGCAAACAGCCATCTACTGTGAAAACACTGTCCTTAGTATGGAGAAAACCTGACCAAGTTTACAATGGAGTGAGGCTGCCAGGGAGAACCTTCCACCCTGATAATGAATGGGAGTTTTTCCTGCTGACTGCTCCAGGGCCAGGATCTCACCCAGCAGCTGAGGTGCAAGCTCTGCTGCCGTGGCCAGGACACAGCTGCCAGGCAGCCTCAGGCAGCTGCTGCCACAAGTCAGAATATTTCAGTTTCTCACTTAAATAACAAGTCTTAACTCAGATCCCCCCCCCTTTTTTTTTTTTTAATTTCTTTTTAAATTGAAATTCTTGCAGTCAATAAAAATTGCACATCTTCCATGTCAAGGATCTGCAGTTGATCTATAGTTTTAAAATATTCAGCTTACTGCAATGGCTGTGATTTCATTCTTTCTGCATAAATTCAAGTTTTGCCCTTGGCTGTAAGAAGCCAAAGATTTACTTTAGTGTCAAACCACTTTCTGTGCACCTAACTGTTCTGTTTCTCTATTTTGGTGACTGCAAGGGCATCTTTCCTTATGAGTGCCTTGAAGCACCCTTTTATCTATCAGCAGTATGAGAAACATGGGCATTCAAGCAGTTACATTTACAAAAGCTGGAGTTCTCACATTGGAATGCTCAAACCACAGCTGGTTTAACTCTGGTAGTTGGCTGCTTTATACCTAAAGCGCTGCATGCAGCTGGAAGACTTTTGGACACCACTACAGGTGCACACGAGATAGGGCACCTGGCTCAACAGCAGCCTCCTATGCTCTCTAAGGGTGCCCAAGAGGAGTGGCAGCATCATGCTGGTCCTTCCCTGCTTCAGAGCACCACTGGAGAGCAAAGATGTCCCCACAAACAGCAACTGCTGCGCTTAAGAGTGTGTGGCACCCATCATTTTGTCCACTTGCTGTCATGGGCAAAACTATGCAGAAAGAGTATGTTGGTGTGTTTTGTTGCAGGTAATGCATGACTCACAGCCCATGTTCCTGTTGACAGTCAGTGCAAGGTGCTAGATATTCCCAAAAGGAAGCACAACACTAATTTTAACTGCAGCATTTTGATCAGAAATTACATTTTTTTTTCCTTTGCTTCCATAATAAAAACCTAAAATGTCCAGTATTTCTCTTCCAAATCTCTTTGCTCTCTTCATTCTTACATCTTTCTTTCTCCCTCTCCATTATTGAAGGTGAAAGTGCTTTCCCTGTTTGTCACACTACAGAAGATGCCTTCCAGTGTATAATCAATAGATATCAAGATGTTATAATCACAATATAATTGTATAATCAATAGATATCAAGATGTTATAATCACGATATAATCAAGAGAGTTAAGCAAAGTAGACAACGATCACAAAAGAGAATAAGTGGAAAAGCTTACCCTTCGGCTGAGCTCACCACAAAACACCAAGAGAGATAATCTCCAGATGAGAACCTTCCCCTCTGGTAGCCAGCTCTTAAATAGGTCCAGGAGGGGTGCAGCCTGGCTCCACCCTTCCGGCAGCACAGGAGAATTGCCTTCACCTGTGCTCCTCTGGCTGGCTCATGGCTCGCCTCAGGTGATCAATCAGAGGTTCAGGCTGTGACTCAGCAGTTCCCATACATCCAGTCTCTGGTAATTGTTCACATTGCCTCATGCACACAACCTGAATACTTACCCTTGTAGGCCTAGAACCAGTCTGCTCACCTTGGAGAGATCTGTAATGTTTTGGCAGCACCTCACCTCTCTAGAAAGCAGATGAATATGTAATGCTGGCTGCTACAGGCTGCGGGGTGTGAGGCTGTGGTGAGACCAGTGGTCTCCATGGGGTTTGTCTGCTGGGCTCTGCCTTGCCCCATGGCTCAACCAATTTGTTAGGAGCCATAAGTAGCATCCAAACAGACAGGCATTAGTTCAGGCAGCCCCGGCATCCTTAAGTGGTGTGGTTCTTAAACTCAGTCCATCCCCATTTGCGGTCAATGGGAATTCTGCCATGGACTCAGTCAGAGGTTGGATCCAACACAACTTGTGTGGAGGTTGTGGGATGTACAGCTCCCTTCTTCCAGCATGGATCTGTTTGTAACTAAGGCCACTGGAATACTTTATCAGCTGCTCACCACAGCACCTGGTCATTTTTCAAGATGGGTCAGAGTGTGTGAGGTCACCCAACTGGAAAGATGAGTTGGAATCACCACCAGCCCAACATCTGTAGGTCATCGGGGACCAGCTCAGGAGCTTTCTGAAGGCCAGCACTCGTGGGAGCTTGTTGGCCACATCCACATCCTAAGCACCTGGACCAGATGTCTTTGGGGTACCATGGGGTAGTCTTGAGGCCTAAATATTATTTTTTCCTCACTTGATCTAAAGTGCAGGAATTGTCATAGAATCGTTAAGGCTGGAGAAGACCACTAAGATCATCTAGTCCAGTCATCAACTCATTACCACCGTGCCCACTAACCATGTCCCTCAGTGCCTCTCAGTTGTGAGAGAGCTCAGTTGAAGCATGCAGAATGCCTTTACACACAGCACAGGGCTGTTTTTTGTGTACGTGAAGGAGAGCAGGAATATTTTTGAAGCTGCTTGGGCCCATGTGATGCGGAAAAAAGTCAAACCTGGTGCAGGCTGCATCTGTGCTGTCTGTTTGGATCAGGCTCTGTGGTGACCTTTTGTGTCAAACCTGACTGGTCCATTGAAAAGGATTAGGTGGTTCACTCTAAAAACAAGCCTGGGAGCAAGGGAGATTACTGACAGTGTGGAAAAAAAGCCAGACTATCTGTGTGGGAGATAGCAAAGCTAGTGATCAATAGCTACAATTTATTTGAGATTCCTACCAGAGTTATTGCACAGAAATAACTTTCAAGAATGATAGTAAGTCATTAATTTCAACTTCATTGCAATTGAGGCATCCAATCACTGAAAGGCTTTTGAGTTTGATTATTTTTATCTTTTTTTTATCTTTTTTCATGACTGTTGCTAAAGAAAAGAAGAAAAGTGATTGCAAATAGTCGTCTGTGGCAGGCTTTCAAAAATAAAAGGCAGTTTGTTTCAGAAGCAATGGCTAAGGAAGAGCAGTGCCTACCGTTTGGTTTGCCAGCGTCTTACCAACAAGATGTGCTTTGCTCGGTGATGCTCCTGCAGATACAACTCATAAAAACATGACACTGTGAATTAAGAAAAATGGCAAAGGGGGCAATGAACCAACACAAATTGAACATATTATGCACAAACAAGGCAGCAACTACAGTGTTTGCCCCAACCGATGCTTTTAAGCAATGCTGTTAAATCTGCATATTATTTTGTATTTCACTTCCATGCATTTCTTTCCGTTACTGGCATCTACTGAAATTTTAATAAATGTGAAATTTAAATAGGCAAGTCTTCTTGGTTGTGCGTGGAAAATGCCTCTGCAGGAAGCAGTAGCACAGCTCATTTTTATTGAAGGTGAATGGACAGAGTGAGATGCAGAGGTCCTTGTGATATTTCATAACTCTGCCATTTATCATTGCCTATTGGATACTAATTCCTGAGGCAATGTCTGTAGACTGCTAGCAGGAAATGATTATATTTTTATCCAAAGTTTCACTATAGAAAATAACCCAACGGTGATCTTGCAGTCTAAAAATTCCTACTGAAGCTTCTTTCCAGATTTGTCACACATCTGCCTGATAGTAAGAGCTTACCTAAGGCACTCTGCATGTTATTAATATCATCCTTATCAACTCTCATCACTATCACTATTAACATGATTTAATTCTCGTTCTTGCAAATTGGATGTAGACAGAATTTTCCAGAGAAGCTGCCCAAACATGATGCAAGAACCAAAGGTATAGGAAGCCCACAGCAGGGGAGTGGAGCTGGATGCTCTTTAATATCCTTTCCAACCTAAGCCATTCTATCATTCTATGATCCTAAAAAAAGATGGAGAATGTAGATGGAAATAAATCCATGACTGGCCTGGATCTGTTCTGCTCCCAGACAGGACCTCAGTGCCCACTGCAGGAGGAAGATGCAATATCCCATTCCATCCAGGAAAGATAGCTCTATTAGTCTGGGCACCGGGCATACTCTATGCAAGAGCTGAGCAGAAACATTGCCTTGATTTCTTAGAGCTTTTTGCAGCTGCAAGGAGTTGTCAGACACCTTGGTGGGAGTCCTGTATATGAACACTAGTGAAAGGGAATGGAGCAGCTCTGGATTTTCTCTGAAAACTTTCTATTTTGTTTCCTTGTTCTCTCCTGATCAGAAGGAAAGAGTGGTGGAAGAGAAAAGCTTTTATGTGAGACAAAGTCCTGAGGCAAGCTGTATGCATCAAGCTTCTGCCATGCTTTCAGATCTCATTGTAAGAGCAGTTGCCTCTGACAGAGTGACAGCATTAACTGGCAGAAAGCTTGGGCTTCAGCTGGGTGCCAATGTACTGCAAACAGCAGTGGTTCATCTGAATGGGGAAATTAGCTGGATCAGCTTTTGCAGAGTAAGCCATTTGGCAAGGATCATTGTGGAGCAGCTTCCCATGTTGGGCATTGCCTCTGCACAGGAGGGTTCACCTGGGGAGTTCTGTTGGCAGTCCCCTGCTGCACTGCCTCATTGCCCTTTATAGCCTGTCTTTAAAAACCTGTGGTCTGCAGCTCCCTATTATAAGACAAACCATTTCCTTTTAATTTCTTAGAACAGAAAAGCATTTTTACATCAAGTCCCAAACATCTGTTCTTTCTCCCAGAACTATTTTAATTATTGGAACAGAGATAGATGGGTAGGAAAATAGATGTCTATATTGCAGGAAGAACAGAAGTGGGAGAAAATGGAAATGTATGGGATCACATAAAACAATAATAGTATCTTGGTAATGGGGCCAATTATGGATAGCTGTTCTCATACTCCCTGTCCGGCATGCTAGTTTAATGTCTGTTGTGCAGAGTGTAACTTCTGGCTGTCACACATGTAAAATCTCCTATGATCACAGTGCCTAGGCCAGGCCAAGTGCCTGTTACACCAGTCACTGCTTGTAATGCAAAATGAAGTGTTTTAGAAGGAACCATTGCCCAGTTGTAGAATTTTCAAACTCTTCAAGTTTGTGAGTCTTTAAAATCTCTCTGTGGGCTGTGAGGACCCCCTTAGAAATCTCATACACTGCAGAGCAGTATACAGAATCAGAACCACAGAATCATTAAGGTTGGAAAAGACCACTAAGATCATCTGGCCAACTCATCAGCACCACACATGAACTTGTTCTCCCTGGTTATCCGTCATAGACCTCTGAGAAATCATCCATGTGGCTTTAAGGTCACAGACTGAGAATGAGTGGTTGTGAAAGCTGGGATTAAACCATCTGGGTTCCTATCATGGAACTTAGATGTCTGAAAGCATTTGAAAGATGTGGCACTAGGCATTAGGGGTATTTGTTGTGGAGAGGTGAGATCATTGGAGTTTTCCACCCTAGCTCAACTCATGACTTTTCTGGGACCTAAGTAAACAGCCTTTGATCTTCTCTTGCAGTGTGAACTTACGTAACAGATTTTTCATCCTTCTTCCTAATGCAAGAATTTCAAGGTACATAGGCTTTTATTCTAACACAAAAAAAGAAGCACACAATCCTTTTTTCTCTGACTGTAATCTCAGACCCAATTTCTTGCTCCACAGTACACTGTAAAATCTATACACCTGCCTCCTTCAGTGCCATAATGAACAGTGCCACGACCCACAGCTGTTCTGTCTTCCCAGTGAGCAGCAAAAGCAGCTCTGTGATTCTTCCAGCTGCAGAACCTGGCTTTCCACTAATGGTCAAATTAGTCCCTTTACTTACGCTGGTCAGGTAGAAAACAGATAATTGTAGACATTGTAAGTCCAAGACATTAGCACATTACAGACAGTATCCTGTGGATTTCTATGGGAATCAGTTCCCACTTAGGATGATTTTCTGCTTGTCAGTTAGCCTATCTAAGTCAGATAGAGGATTTACCACTACTTGAGTTCTGTCATGCTTTGTTTCTTCCTTAACCGTGCTGGAATATGAGTTTTAAACAATTAAATTGGTATTTAAATTCGCCTTTCTTGGAGCTATGTCTGCAGGGAAGGTAAAGGCTTCTCTCTGGGTTCCTTGTGAAGGCTGTTTATGGAGGAACTGGCAGCATTCACAAGGAGCCACAGTCATAGAGGTTGGAGAGCCAACCATTGGCCATGTCCTTAGATGGTCCAGGAAAGCCTCACCCCTCTGCCTCTCTGGTACTCTGACCAATGTGGCTCCAGGGCTGGGGTTTTGCAGGAGAGCCCATCTATATTTGCTGCTTCTGCATTAGCTTCTCAGTAGCTATTAGTTACTAACTGTCACTTCTATAGGCAAATGCATTATCAAGAAATCCCTTTAAAATAATATCTTGCTGTTCTTCATAGCTACAGACTTCATCACCATGAGCCAGTTCTTGTGCAAAAAGCTCCTCTAGACTCTTCCTTCTTACTCTTCATCATTTCAGCAGCACTTCTTGGATAGAGTTTTAACTTGCAGGCTGCATTTTTAAAGAAGGTCTCATCAAGTTTTAAAGATGGATGAGATATTCATATACATCCTCACTGTGGGAAAGGAGCAAGAGGAATGAGAGGGGCAGAAGGTGAAGGATGTCTGGTGTTGAGAGGCAGATGCAGCACGGTGAGGTGGTGGGGTGCTTGGAGCGATGGCTGAGCGAGTGATGGGTCCTGCAACTTTGTGTGAATGCTCAGCAGCACAGGAAGCGGCCAATGGCAGACACAAGCTTGCTGTAAGGTACACTTCCACGAGTTTGGTCATCTCCTCTTTTAGATCTGTGTTTCTCCCTGTGCAGAATGCTTTTCTAGGGGTTTAGTGGTAAAGAGCAGGGAAACAGCTAAGCAGCTTTAGTTCTGCTGTGAGAACTGAAAAGGGAGCAGTCTTAGTGGAGAGCTGTTACCTTACAGGAACTCTTTCTTGCTCACCAACCTTCCTGCCTACCCCAGGAATTGCCAGGAAGTCCCTAATTGGCACAGGCACATCTCACAGGGATGTGTCACACAGCTTGGGGTGCGAAGGGCTTACAGCAAAACCCAGGCTTTATGCACACACGTGAGAGTAGGCAAAAATGGTAACAGTGCTTCCTGTCCCAACACCAACCAAAGAGCTTATCAGGGCAAGCAGAGCATCCACCACCCAGTGTTTCTCACTCTGTATCTCCTTACAGAGCTTCTAGCCGAGCCAGGTACTGTGCACAGGCACTCATCTCAAACTCTGCTGCAGACTTACAGAAATAGCAAACAAAATCTCATGTTGAACATAAACATCCTAATGCTGTATTTTAAAAGCATCATTTTCTTTTCTTTCTCTGTATCTATTGTAGTCTGTGCAGCTCTCCAGATGGGGGAAGGAAAATAGGGCAGACAGGTGGCAGATTTTGGAAGAATGAGGCCTTGGGCCAGGGGAGACATGGGGACTCAAATCTTAACTTTTCCATCAGTTGTTTTGTCTTTATTTCATGGCCCTCTTAAAATGTTGCCATTGTATAGCTCATGTTGCCCTGGAAAGCGCCCTGACTGCTTTCACTGCTGTGCTGCAGGCTGATGGTTAATTTGGGGATAAGTGCTCGTAGAATGAAAAGACAAAACAAAGCATAAAAAATTATTGAGCTTGTCTGGGGAGAATAAGGCAACTAAATCCATCTTATAAAGATAAGGTAGAGGAGTAGCAGATGGCAGATTTACACTCTTATGCTGATTCTGAGAATAGCCTCAAAAAGGGTCTGGTGATGAAACTGTTTTTATGTTTTTATGTTACAGTAATTAACAGAATGCATTTGCTGCGAAAAAAGAATCCAGGGACACAGAAAGGGGTACAATTAAACATTCTCTTTATTGGGGCCTTGCTCCGAAATGGCACACGTGATAAATCTGGTTTTTGCACAGTGCCCATCGGTGCTGCTAATGAGAAGACCCACAGTCACATTGTACACTTTTATTTGGATTTAGATCAACAATACAGATAAGATACTTTGGTCAAACACAAGAACAGGTTGCTGTGCCACTCTTTCCTGGCTGCAATAAACATTGTAATGTGGAAAAAAATGCTGGTTCTCCTGGAACACCGAATGTGAATCTTGGATTGGCACACACAGCTAATAAATACATCGTATGCACTTAGTACTTTAAAACAGAATTGCACATGCAAGATGTAACCAGGCTACTGATCACCTTCACCATTGTCCCCATACTTTTTTATGTCTATGCTCTTTGCTTGCCTTTTTCACAGCAAGAAAGACTGTAATTTGCTGCTCTACTCAGTATGTCAGTGGTTAGACTGGTGGATGTGACACATTTAGAGAAGGTTACATTGAAGTCCTTCCTGCCACATTTGGCCCCTTCTCTACAGAACAAATTGCCACAGAATGCACCATAGGCAGCGATGGCGGCACACCCAAGTGAGGGATGCCTACAAGCCCACGAGGAGAGGTTCTTACCAAGCAAAGGTATAGCAGAGGGACTGGCGTAAATGCAGTTCTTACAACATCAAGAGTCAAAACTACAACCACACAAATAATGACATATCAATAATATATTGTACAAGCTTATACAGCAACGCATGTTGATTTGCAACATTGTACAGTTTAAATCTAAAGTGCACAGCCTCAATCTGAGGTGACAAAACAGTACTATCAATATAATAAAGGCAACACAATTACAGACACTATTTCCTCTTACTTCATGTCCTCATGATATTATGTTGAATTAATAATTTATTTTAGATTAAATTAAAACCACATCGCACACTGCACTTTTTATTTTCTCTTCAAGTATGTTAGAGCCAGCAAAACAATATTGCTTTACAAACACAAGTTGGCCATGTAGGCAAAGTTAAAACCAAAACTTTTGTAGGGTTATAAATAGACAGACCTGAGCCCCGTAATTCCTACTGACACTTCCAGCTGTTGAAGGGGAAAAGGGGATAAACATCAGCTGCCTTCTCAGAGTCATTGCTAATGGTGAGGAATGGGGCAGCAATGAGTTCTGCAAGAGTCACGCCCGTGGCTTCTAAGGCTGCTGAGGCTCTGCATGGGCTGTTCCAGGCAGATGCGGCCTAAGCTCATTCATTTACTGCCATTTAAAAAGTTGTAGCAAAGGACATAGTCCAGTACTGGGAGAACCTCTGACAACGCAGTTTGTTACTCAACCTCAAACAACCTCCAACAACCTCCAACACTGCCATCTGGACTATGGTCATGCTTAGTTTAGGCCTTGTCCTGCAGACCTGTACATCCGTAAGAAGCCTTTCCCCTCTTAACGAAACTTTCTTTAAAAGCATTCCAGGCAATTCATATTTTGTACAGTTTTGTACTGCTCAGAGCAGAAATGGTTATGATGTAAGCACTTATTCAGACATGTGACTTTTTGGATAGGCTTTTTTTACCACAGGACAAAGAAACCATCCAAATACAACCTTATTTCAGTCTTGGTTAGATTAATTGTGCGTCTGGTTAGTTGGGCCAAGTGGGAAACATAATTAGGAATAATAGCATCCTATTGTTGTACTGTAATTGATCTTATTAAGTGGTTTAAGAGCTGCAGTACTCTTGAGGTTTTTCAGTAATCAACCCTGGAGACCTACAATCCATGTGACATGGAGAAATGAGGTACGGGTACCTCTTCAGAATGTATGTGGGCTTATGATTTAAAATAAGCAGTAATAAATACTTGAGGCACCTCATCAAAAGAAAAAGAATTCTAGTTAATTTTCAGCTTCTGTCCTTGCAGTTTTATAACCCATATAAAACAAAAATATATATTTTACAAAATAGGGTTTTTATATATATGTATATATATATATATTTCCTTTTGTAAAACTATACCTATTTAAATACATTTGAAATACTGCTATAGGTAAATTAGAAATTCTGTTCTAATACTATGAAAAAGGCTTCCACTTTTAAACAAATGACTTGTATACTCTGTTTCTGACTACCCTCTCCCTATTCCCTTAATTTGATTTTGTCACCATTTTGGGCAAATTTGGCATCATTCGGTCTGACTGCTTTTAATTTAAAGTAGTCCCCATGTTAAAATTTGGGATAAAATTTTAAACATCTTCTGTTCTTCCTCATTTGTTTCAATGCAGCTTTTTGTGAAGCTAATTATTATCGAGGTATTCTAAAACTCAGGAAAGGACTTTAAAGGAGCCATGTTTTTTTTTGATTTTAAACTGTACTCTACTCCAACGCCACAATATAGAAATAGATTTACTTTGGAACAAACTACAAATACATTTGCACAGTTTGTGACAACTTAATTGTCTGCTCAGACGCCCAGGAACAGCCTTTCACACCTGGTTATTATAAATCTTGTCCCAGGCGCTCTATTTCATCAATCAGGAAATCAATGTCCTGATGAGTTGCTGCTGGGTTTGAGATGACCATCCGGAAGAAGTTCACTTTGTCTCCCAGAGGCTGATAGCTCACCATGGTCGTCCCATATTCCATCATCCTTGCTTTTATCACTGGTGCCACCTGCAGTGGTGTTCAACAAGAAGCAGGGGATGATGATGATGATTACTATTACTATTATTATAACTAAAAAGCAGAGTTGGTTTTTTTTTGTTTTTTTTTTTGTTTTTTTTGTAAGGATGAAGAGATGTAAGAAGCTGTTAAGGTGAACATCAGTCCAATATTGATAAAGCAGTTAACCTCCATTAAGGAATTAAATGGCTAAGGAATAAATGGATCGTTTGAAATATACTGGGTTTATCCAGTTTCTTTGTCCTGCTCTTTAAATCACTGGGGAATTTCCTCCCTGCTTTCTCAGTTTTGCTCACAGGCAATTAGCACACGGTAACTGGTTTTTGCGGTGCTCAAAACAAGTTGCATTTGTTTTCCATCTTCTTTTTGTATGGCAAAGTGCATACATACTGCTGCATCTGTGGGGCTCACTCCCACTGTTGTTTACATTAACCTCATTGAATATACACAGGGTTTCAGTAAGAACTCCAGAGAAGAGGCCAGCTCAAGAATACTGAACTTGGAGGCCAAAGTGAAGTGCCAGACTAATCTGCAGCAAGATGACCACGGAAGTGTCATCTGCCAGAATACAGCCAGCTGACCAGATCCTATGCCCTGAAGATCATTTCTGGGCCTGCCTGCCTGTAAGGTCTTTGCTGCTCAGTGCATGACACTCTGGGGATGCTGCTTACCTTCATGAGGCGGCTCATCCTTTCTTCGTTGTCTTCCATGCTGCGCAAGCTGGGAGGTATATACCAGAAGCAGACGTTTGTGTGCTGAGGCTAAGTACAGAATAACAGTGGTTTACACTGTAAGAAATGCTCACAATATCTCAATTGCAATTAAACTCACGCCTTCTCCCCCTCTCATGCATCATATTGTGACAGCAATGAATGGTTTTCATTACCGTGGTCCACTGAGAGTCATCATTGTTATTAATGCAGAAAGGATAATTTTAGGCAATTTATTGCTAGGATGTCAGTTGCAGAAATACATCACCCAGCTGTGCAAATATATTTACCCCCTCCTGAGAAGCATCTAGATTTTATAGGTGCTGTCCCCCCAGGCGGCTGAAGGGAACACATGGATAAGGCAAGAGACTATCAGAGATAATTTAGAGGTGAGGACTGTGTCATTTACTGTTATTACATGACAGCATAATGCAGAATCCAGTCCTGTAAACACCAGTCACAGGTGGTAGATGAAATAGTCTAACATTTTTGTATATACAATAAAATGTATTACTGCTCTGTTTGATTCCACTAGCTTCGTAGTCATATGCATGCATAACAGCATCTTAGCTAGTTTAAGTTAACGTGGGAGTACTAAGTGAAAAGGCAGAATCAGCTGACATTTTGTGTATTTTTGCAGTCTCCTAGCAGTTGCTTTCCTTGCTGTGTTCCTCTATGCTGAACATGTGAGCTACAGCAATTCTGACTGCTGTCAGTATCTCTACCAATCATGAGACTCAATGGACCAAATTCAGTGATGATGTACAAGGTGTGGGAAATAAACTGCATAGCAACATGTTTGAAGGAACACGGTGTCATTGCTGCCACATGAGCCCAAGCAGCAGCAGCCCTGCGTTGTGCTGCAACCAGCATTCCTAACAGACCCTGGAATTACAAAACGACAACTGCTTTTTACTGTCTGAAAGCTGGTTCTGACTGTGCGTGTTCTGCTTTACCCTGAGATGTCACTGTTTAGGTTCAGTGGGGTGACATTGTACAAACTGATAAGTTATGCCTCGTCCCTGGGTTCTCTAAGGAAGAAGGTTATCAGCACAACAACAGGTTTTGATACAAGGGCACTGAGTGCTATCATGTGCTGTAGGTTTGACCTATCGGTAGCATCCTGGTATCTACATTAAGTTCAGGTGACCAACTGGGAAAGAAGCAGTTATAGTACGTACCTTTCCATCAAACACCATTTGATACCCTTCTCTGTTCTTTATTTTGTTGTATAGGTATTCTGCAAGTTCCAAGCACTTATCAATTTGTGCTTCAAATCCTGTGGTTCCCTTTAGAGAAAGGGGGAAAAAAAGAGTGACTATTCTGTGACCAGACACAGCAAAAGGCCCATGCAGCACTCACTAGAGTGCTCACCACGGGTCACCTCTCTGATGTCAGTGTGGGACAGATTAAGGATGCAGTTCTGTCAAGTGAAGGATGCTCTCCTGTGTGCAGCTCATGCAGGTCTTGCTACTGGCTCCCCTATTGCTAGCTCTGCAAGTAAGTCCTTGATACTAGCTCAGTTCTCAGCAAAACACTGGTTACATCAATGATGAGGGTGCTCTCAGTGGTGGATTTTGCAGAGTTGCCTGGGCTGGCACAAAACTGCGTCTCCACAGGAAGATACTGAGTTCCATACATGGGGTGTTTCAGGCCACTTGCAGAAGAGGGGACTTTAATCTTCAAAAGGTGATGAGATAGCCTTTTTCCAATACTACATATATTTTTTAATTAAACACAAAAATGTGCTTTCTGGGACAAGTCTGATGTCTGTGGAAATGCACATTTTGTTCAAATACTGCCCCGCTTCCCTGGTGTTTTCACTGCTTTTATTCTAATTGACAACTCATCAAGTCAGAAGCCATGTCTGTAAGACCCCCACAAATCCTGCTTTTTCTTCTCAGGCAGAAGTCCTAATCATCTGCCTGTGACATCATGATTGTTCCCGTAGTCACCAGCTGAGATGCCACAAATGAAGGATCCAGCTTGAAAAAGGAGGAAGGGGAACCAACAGCTGGAATAGATAAACCACTTAGGAAATACACATCCTATTTTGCAACATTAGTATTACAAGTGAGGTGTGAGAGGAGAAAAAGTACAAGGCATATTGAAAATATGGGGTTTAAAAGAAAAAATGTCTCTGAGTATTGGAGAGGTCTCCTTCCTAAATCTAATCTGGCAGTGCAGAACTGACTTAAAAGCCCGTGTCATTATCCCTCTATGTACACAGATTTTGAAAACCGAGCAGAGCTAGCACAGCCCCAAGAGAAAGGCCTAGAGCTAAGGAGAGATTTGGCTACAACTGCCTATAGCCAGTTAGTGCAGCAGTTACTGCAGCCACAGCAGTCTGCATCCTCCTCTCCAGAACCCCACACATCCAGCCATACTGCATGTCTGTCTCTGAATTGTTTGGAGAGTTTTAATGAAGCACACGAGGATCTTTTAAGGCTTTCTGGAAATGAAAACAGTGATGTTGTCTCCTCCGAAAAAACCTAGGGCAACTTCACATAATAAGATTGAGTAAATACAGGAAAGAGCTTATTTAGCAACACTGTACAAGTACAGACGAATTAATCATTAGATCTGGTGATTACATAGAGAACAGATTTTGATGAATTTTCCCCAACGCCTCCAAAAGGTGACTACGTATCTCATTTATGGAACGAAACTACATATTCCAGTATCAATTTGCCATGCTTAATTTCTGAACGTCTTTAAAATAAAACATCTTTTTACTTCCAGAAATGGACATAACAACATTCTTAGATGTATGATGTATGCTGTTAGACTCCTACAGTTACACAAAGCAAATGCTATGCAAAGCCACGGAGTTCAAGTTTCAAAATCACGTGCTCTTCTTTGAAGCTGAATTGTGTAAAGTATAAAAAAGAGAAAACAATAATATTCTTTCTTTCATGTTATATATGGAAAATTCAGGTCAGGTATTTTCTAGCATGATGATTGCAGAAGAGAAACTAGTATCTGGTGTGCATTATTTTACTGCAAACAAGAATACTGCAGGAAGTCCTACCTTTGCCCTCCACATCAGCCAAAGCTTGAAGACATCAACGTGCCGCCCACATTGCAAAGCCTTGTCCCCAGTGTCATAAGACAGGTCGTAGTGCTTGTCTTGTTGAAAGAGGTAGGACGCATGCATCTGGTTGCAGCTCTGCATCAGACCCTTATAGAAACCGAGACACATAAATGTCATTCTGGCACTCTACAGTTTAGAGGGTTGTGCTGGGTACGGGGCTGCACAGCAGAAAATACAAGCACCCAAATTCAGCATAATATGTGTCCAAGGGCAAGAGAAAGACTGAAAGAGAAAAGGGATACCAAACTTGATTGCTCAGTGGCCTAACTCTTTCTCGTCTCATTCTGTGCCCAGGACATGGCCTGGCAATGTGTAAGCCACTCCCAGAGAAAGCCAAGGGTTTTTTTAAATGAACTCTGGACTCTATAATTCTTAGCATCATTATGCACAAGCTCATTTTTGGATCTCACTCTTTGCTCCTTGTCGTGGTTCCTCTACATCCTTTCCTTGCAAGGCATTTGAAGGAAATGCCTAGCTGACTCAGATCAAGCCAATTTCATGTCTAATGTAAAGATTTTCACACCACTTTTCTAATCATTGCTTGGTCTCTAAAATTCTGCTTGTCATTGTTTTTTTCCTCTTTTAGAGGCGTTGTTCTTATCCCAAAAATCTGCAGTCCTCAGATTGGATGCTTAAATGGCAAGGAAATCCTTGAAAAAGAGCATATGGACTTTAAAGAGCCAGCTAGAGTTGTTTCTGGGCTGGTAGACACTGTTTAGAGAGCCAGCTCTATGGGAGGGCCAGCAGCCAACAAGGTGTAGAACCTGGCCCACAAAAGCATAAGATTTCTTTTTAGCTTCTTAAGTGGAATGCAGAAAGTCATGTTCTGGTTCTTGTGCAGTCCTCAACCAAGTTTAAGATAAACCTTGTGGCTGTTGCTAGAAGTGCAATTTCCAGCCCACTAAGACTCAAAACTTTGCTGTTTATCGTTAAGTGTAAGCTTTACATGTAACTCAAAACTGAGACAGTAAAATGCAGGGGGAGATGGGGAGAAATTGGCTTTCTCTAATCTGAGCCATCTGTTCTCACCAGAGGTCAAGGATGGTACTGACTTCAACCAGGTGGGATTTGTCTCAGAGGACTGACCCAGAGGGCAAATGAAAGCCAGCTTCTCTCTTCTTAAGCACAACCACTTTGTTGTACAATCTGTCGTACAGCTGTTAGCAAAACAGCAACCAGCTTTTTGATAGCTGATCTACTAAGTAGTGGTTGTATAGCAGCTGTCCCACTAACTGATGGTTACATGAAAATTATAGGCTTGAAGGGTAATTCAAGTTCTAGTACTACTTCTTGCAAGTGAACTTAGTCCTCCCTTTTTATTTTCCATGTGCCTCAGAGTGGATATATGGATTAGAGCTGGATTGAAATATCTATCATAAAAGTCTAGGAAGTGTAATGAAGTCCCAGTTATGGATGAAATATCATACTGCATTCATACCACAGCGTTCACCCTAAGAGGATGGGATTTTGCCTACAGCTATGTTTTACACCACACAGAAACCAGCAGGGTTACACAGCTATGCACCTACAACTTTACTACAGGCATTCTGAATGCAAAGCCACAACACTGTAAAGATATTGCCATTAATTAGATCTATCTTTTCTGGTAGAAGGCTGCTTTAATTCCCTTTTACACTCATAGCCCTCAGCCTTTGAGTAGCGAGCTGTTTCTCAGTTTCTTTTATAATTCTCATCCCATTAGCAATTATTAGCTATGACACGTGTATGAAGAAAACATCCAGGACTGTCAGAAGCAAAATGTCAGACAGGGCCAGAGCAGCAAGGATTTTGGGACGTACCTCTTCCCTCACTAGCAGGGCTGAACACTGCAGTGGGACTCCCATCATCTTGTGAGGGTTCCAGGTCACCGAGTTGGCCCTGTGACAGAAAACCACGTGAAGGTCAGACACAGCAGTGAAACCATGGAGACATTTAGCAATGGTCAGAATGATAATGAACAAGGAACAAAGCTTACCTTCTTCTTTTGTTTGAGGAAGCAAAGCTGAAAGTAATCTCGGCTGAGAGTAAGAAAGCAATGCCTTCCTCAGAGACCCAGCTCTGGATTGTTTTTGGATGGCCATTTTGGCAACTTATCACAGGACAACTGCTCTATCCACTACACTTAATTAGTATTAATCCTTCCGGAGAGTCATCTATCCTCTGTGAACACAGGGTAAACTTCTCAAGAACACTCACTTGACTGATGAACTTTCTAAAGGCAAAAGGTCTTCAGAGCAAATATGCAGACAGGGAGCTGGCAAAGTAGCAGATTCCCTCCCACCGATTTCAGTATCAGTAAGATTCTAGTAACTGATTCACACAGGTATTTTTGGTATTTTTGAAAATTTCTTTACATATTTCTGGGTACCTCTAAGTCTCTGACTAGCTTGGAAAACCTGGCCAGAAGTAACTTTTATCATTGTGTTGGTAATTTTCACAGCTCCTTTCATTTCAGTTGGATAATTCACACTGGAGAACTGAGTACAAAATTACCACAGCAATAAACACAGAAATAATTCAGCCTTCTACAGAGGAGCCCAAGCTTGACTCCTCTCAGGACATATGCTCTGCAAAAAAAGCAGTCAGCCCAGGTCTTGTGAAGAAACAGGATGCTGTCACAGTACAGACCAGAGAAGAGACATTTGGGTCTGTGACAAGTGCTGAAAGGTGGACTGTCCAGTAACAACGTTTATTGTTTTAATTTTGTGTTATGCTTGACTGTCTATTTGCTAATTACTATTATTACATATGATGACTGGCTGATAGATGTATACATTTGCATCCTACTTGGCAAGCTGACAAGGATGCACAGAGCACATAATAATGATAATGATTTTGTGTAGCGCAGTGATTTGAGTTTTGATGGTGTAAACTGCTATAAATGAGTCAACTGGCCATGTAAGCACTTAAAGGATTCAGGATGCACTTGTAGGTAATGTTTGTGTGAACAGAAGTAAGCATGTGAGAATGTGGCAGTATTTTCCTTCATAGATTTGGAGACTGTGTTATAGGTTTATGCTTATCCTTATCATTTCCTACCAAATTGCTCTCCTTCAAAGCAAGCAACTCCAAGATGCAAAGGGACATTGTGCAACACTTCTGTGCCTTCTTCTCTGCTGTTTAAATAGGACTTCATAAGTGCTTGATGCAAAAACTGTACGTAATAGTCTTCCAGAGGCAACATCTGGCCACTTGGCTTGGCTTCATGAATACTTGGCAGCTTTTAATCAGAGTCAGCCATCTGATTACAACATCAGAGCTAATGATTCTGAACATGCACTCAGGTCCATGAATTTCCTTTGATATGGTACTTTTTCATTTTTATCTGTGTCTATGCTGAATCAGGCAAACATCCTTCAAGACATCTCTAAATAACAATAGCGGTATAGATTTTCTTAGAAGGATTATTTACTGACAACAGCCAGATGTAAATTATCTGCGTAAAACATTCAATTTACCCTAGGGTCATTTATTTCCCCAGATTTATCCCAACTGCATCCAGAAAAATATAATAATTATCCAAAATAATTTTCATTTGTTTTTCAACAGTTTTTCTGGGCTTGAGCCATCAGTATATGCTTGAAGAAACTGCTGACTGCAAGAAACAGCAAAGGAAAGCTGTGTGGATCCACAGATGTTTTTCTAAAGCATCTCACACTCCCCAAAATAACTGCACATCAAGCACCTTTGTGATTTTTTTACTATGGATCATAGAGAGAAAAAAAAGTAGAAAAGTCTTCCTTTGGAGATTCCAAATGGATGACATGAGAGATTCAAGGCTGGCAGAATTTGGGCCACAGCCATCATTAAAACCAGACCAGGGTGCTCTCACTGGCCAGCCGCAGCTTTGGGAAGGATGCCCAGACTGAGCAGAGCATTTATCCAGCTGCAGGCATGATTTTCTCACGTAGCTCTCACCACTGTCCAGGCCCTGGGAGGGGGGCACCAGGCTGCACGTCCTGATGGTCAGACTTATCTGCTCCAGACACGTGCCTCCTCCAGGTGCTCTTCAAAATGTGCCATACAGAGCCTAGAGGCGATGGTAAGGATGGCTTTGCAGCACCTCTGTGTTCGACATGTGTTTTTTTTTCTGGACTGCCTGTTACCAGAAGGATGGGAATACTTGGATCAAGAGTCCTTCATTCAATGGTCCCTTTTTGCAATCAAAAAATTGTCTGAGTTGAAATGGACCTTCAAAGGTCATCTAGTCCAACTCCCCTGCAATGAACAGGGACATTTTGTTCCTTCTTGTTCCTTCCTCTCTCATGAAACACAAGTAACAGCTCCAGTTCTATTCAGATCTATAACGCACCATGAAATGGAATTGTCCACAGAAATTGGACCTGTTAAGTCTTCTCTACAAGCACCCACATTTGAAATCTGGATAAACTGAAGTGCAGGGGAACAGGACTGGAAACGACAAGCTTCATTAGTTCCCCACTTGGCACACAGAGATGGCACTTACCAAGCACTGGAGAAATTCTGGACCTAAAGCATCCTGTTTGGAAAATTCTTCGATGTGAGTTCAATCTGAACTTCTAATTCCCAAAGAATTTTGACAGCAATTTGTGTGTGGAAAACACCTTTCTCCCAAACTCTATCCTTCAGATAACCATTCAGATTTTTCTAATGCACTGGATATTTGGATGTATGTCCTTTTAAAGGACAATATATAGATCTGGAGTACTGGAGGCAGCCTTAACTAAAGTATACCAAATTCATAGAACCGCTGTCTGCTTTCCAAATTTTGCATGTGAGATAGATACATGATAAGAGGAATAGGTTGAAGAAATCATCTATAATGTTAATCAACAATTTGATTTAGAGATAAAAAAAGGCAGGAGGGGGTATAATTTAATCAGCTTTGGAAAATATACAAATGTGAGCAGGACTCCAAGTACCCAGCATACTGTCTCTAGTAAGTGGCCTAAATAGAAGCCGAGAAAAATGTAAAACAGGGCAAGCATACGAGTACTTCCTCAAAATACTCCTCAAGCCTCATGTCACTTTGTGGCTCCCTAAAGTCCTGAATGGTTTTTGTTCGTCTTCCCCTGAAGTCAGCTAAATATTAACATTCTTAACATGGCAAGGTGATACACAGCACAACTAAAAGTTTCTGGGCAAGTTTCTGTGAGTTTAAGTGCAGTCTTTTCAGATGCCAAGCTACATTGCTATCAGCTGTGTGTACATGTAATGTTGATGAGCTCAGGACTGCAAATGCGTATATCCAGATGTCATTAGCATGGTTGGGAGGTGGCATTCCTTCTAGAAGTGATGGAGCAGCAGTTGGTGACTGCCCTAACACTGTCCCAGCTGCAGGTGCACCCATCCACCTTTTATACTAAGACCTCAGCAGGCAAACCCTCCAACATTCATGACAGAGAAATACAACTGCTAATTTTGGACAGAGAATCAGAGGATGCTGCAGAAACCACTCTGGACCCAAGAATGCATGCTGAAAGGAATAAAAATACAAACAAGAAATGTCTGCTGCTTGCACTACAAAGCACAGTGCTACAACACTGTAACAGAGCAGTGCCGCTTCAACTGGAAGAGCAGTCTGCATAATTCCTTCCTTCTGCATCCCAGAGATAACAGGGCCTGATTTTTATTTGTGTTTTCAGATACTGCTATGGTAATCACAAGTGTGCTAAAATGCATTTAATAAATGTGTTTAATTAGCGCTAATAAATCATACCTTTCAACACCATTTAGCTTCCATTTGTGCTTCCTTGACATCAGCAGCCCGCCACCCCACGCTCCCTACAAGGCAAGATACATTATCTTAATGAGAGCACACCTCTGCATTTCTCCAGAATGACATCTGTGAGCAGACCTGCATTTGCTTTTGCTTACAGAGATCTAGGACAGGTAGATATTTTGTGTGGCTGAGCAGTAGTTGAAGGCAAACATGAATTCTTAAATTGGAATGATTTGGGCTGACAAAGTAACCAAAAGCATGACAGTCAGCCCTATGTAAATTCAACTACCAAGCTTTCTTGGAAAAAAAGATTTTGCAAAAATGACATAAGATCCATTCCAGGGCTGAAAGATGATCCTTCAGAAAGATTTACTGGCAAGAACCCAGATAAAGCCGAGCAAAGCAGCCAATCTGATAAATCTCTTTAGCATCTGGATTAATCTGCTGGGCAATTTGGGGTGCTTACTCCAGAAAAAAATGTAGACTTCTTCTTATGTATTTATTTTGCAGCTGCTGCAGAAACGGAGCCAATGCACATTATGGTTCTTATGGATTTCTTGGACTAGTGATATTTAAAGATAAAGCTGAAGGCCCAAAGCTCTCTACATAGGTCATCCATCTTAACTATGCCATTTACTATGAGTACTGCACAGTCACAGCTCCTGTTATGCCCTCTTGACCCGAGCCTGTCAGAGGACTGGGAAGTCAGCACTTGGATAACAAACTTAATTACAGAAACCAAATACGATGGTTTTGTAAAAAAATAAAACATTCACACTTAACGTACCTTGGAATCTGCCCCCCTCACCCACCCCCCCAAGGTGATACTTACATCCACATGCATCCAGATTTTGTATTTCTTGCAGATGTCTGCAATAGCTATGAGTGGGTCAAATGCCCCGTACACTGTTGTTCCAGCTGTGGCACTCACTAGAAAAGGAACAAATCCCTACAAGAAAGCACAGAGGCATTTGGCAAAGTCACACAGCAGCAGTCCTAACTCCTCCTGAGAGCTGGCATTGCTCTGATGGTTGCCTGCACAATGAACCCAGAAGTGGCTCCTAGAGGACACAGTTGCTATATCACAGGGTTTTTTGTTAACTTAGATACTAGTGATATGACAGTTTCTACCTTAAGGTGGCAGCAAACTTCCAAACCAGCCTCCATTTATTTAAGATGCAGGAGACAGGCAAGGGCTCAAAGGAACAGTTCTTCTCCCTTTCACCTACCCAAAACAACAGAGTCTGCTCTATGTAATGTCATGTAAAGCAAACCTTATCTGCAAGGCACCTCAGTGTCCAAGGACCATTTCTTGGACTCCTGTTGCTAAATGCTGTACACCACCAAGGAGCACACAGTCACCTGGATTTTGCACTGCGAAGCCTTGAGCATGCAGGAACTTGCACTAGTGTTTTGTTTTCAATTCATTTTCTGTTAATACTCAGAGCAGTAAAGCTACAGAGTGCCTATATTTATCTGTCGAACTGGGGCTCAAACAATCAGAAGTGTATGAACTCCATTTTGCAAAAGGAAATGCAGTGTCAGGAGATCTGGGTGGAGCTTTATTTCCAAACCAACTAGCCGTATCGGTATGGTGTTCTTTCACTTTTGTTTTTGTTTTGTTGGGGGAAGCAGAAATGCAAGTAAGCTTAATAATAACTCACCTTTTGTTTGGCCTCAAGAATTCTTCTTTCAAGGTCTGATGGAATCATTTTCCCTCTGGGAAAAAGAGAGTTATATTACAAATCTGGTATTGACATCATCTTTTGCTGTTACTTCTTCACTTAATGGTAAGCCCAAAAAGGAACAAAGCAACGTTTTTGCCCACAGCTTATGAGGCAGATAGACTCTGTCCATTAGCCTACATTTTCAGTCTGCTTACCTTTTCAACTGATCTGCATCAACACGGTGATGGCAACAGAGACACTCACATCACCTCCCATTAAACACTGAGGCAGCTCCACTGAGCCCCCCCCAGTCCTGTTGGAGGTTGCAGTCCTGGGAACTGCTCGCTCCTGGTCCCAAGTAAGGAGCTCAGCCCAGGCTCCCAAGATGCTCCCTGGGTGCCAAACCCCTCTCAGCAGGTACAAAAAATGCTGGCTGCAAATGCTGGCTGAGCTGCATGGCCCCAGCACTGCGACAGCTCCAGTGTAAGCAGCACTCTCCATGTTCTGGTCCCAGGGATGGGCTCATTTCAGGGTGACTGCTCAGTTACTGGTGCATTACATGTTCATATTTGCTTGAAGCAAGATGTGAGACAAAGCAACCAGTCCAGATTCAGATGCACTGCCAAGCACTCTGCATTGGCTGCATGCTGTATTTGGAACACATTTAAAATGAACCATTTGCCTGAGACTCAGACTCAGTGGTAAAAGGCTTGAAGGCCAATTTAAAAATCCCGTAAATGAACTAGATGCAAGGTAAAACAGAGCTGATACTGAACACTGAGGTTGCATTTCTTTGCTTTAGCCACAAGCAAGACTAGCTAAGAGTTACCATGCATAATGGTAACACAAATGTGGGGTGACAGCTCCCCACATTAGAGGAATAAATTAATCAATGAGTCTAAGTGCTGTCCATTTACATTTATATATACATACACACACACACACACACATATATATATATATACACACACACACATATATATATATATATATATATATATACACACTCACACACTTCGAAGGACTTCCTAGTTCTTAGTATAGACAGACATACCTTTCCTTTCAGTACAGGGATAATTTGTATTTCTTCTTGTTATTGAAAAATAAGAGCAACTTCTACTAAAGCTCAAAATAGCACTTTGAGGAAAACAAAACCATGGTTTTTAGATTTACTTTTGAAAAAAAACACAAAGCAACTTTTTTTTTTCATATTTCCTGATATGGATGCAAATAAAACAAAATATCAGTTTTTAGTAATAAGATCCCGTTAAGCATGACAAGTTTCAATCCTTACACACCTCACAAGTCAGTGACTGGTTCAGAAGAAATGGGTTTGGATTGCTCATATTTTTTTTGCAAAATCTTTCCTTCATTTTACTCATTCAAAACAATGAAAGAGTAATTGAAAGTAGGAAAGTTCTAGTCTAAAAATTAGTCCTGATTTTGTCACAGACATTCAAAACATATAAAGTATTCTACTCATTCTGGGTTTCCCCTAATTACCTGTACATATTCAGAAAAAGCAGAAGTTGTCTTATTTTGACAAACCATTTCTGGGACTGTTAGAGGAGTAAAGAAGAAAAAGTATGCCAAAGGAAGGCTCTGAATTCCTCCTCTAAATTGAGTTTAGACGTTGGTCTTTAATAGTTTCTCTTTTATTGAAGATGTGCACAGATTCATGCACAAAGATGGGCAGGTTCCTTTATTTGTACCCAGAGAGGCGATCAGCCAGCTCCTGGTCACACTGATTACGTGCACAAACTCACGGCCAGGTGAGTGCAATGTCCAAGCAATGTCAAACTTTACTAAGCAGCACGCAGTAGATTGGCTTTGAGTACAATCCAGCACAACACCTTGCTCTGTACTCAGCGAACAGCCAACAACATTGCACAGCACTTCTTTGTGTTGCCACCTGAGCCAAGATGACCTGAAAGCCTTAAAATACATTACAAAATAATTAAATTCTTCATTAGTAAGGTACCTAAAAATACATCTTTACACAAAGCTCATCAAATAACATGGCTGGGTGGTTACATGAGATTTCCTAGGCAAAACCAGAGGCAGAAGGAGGATGGCAGAAGAAATTCAGTAGCAGAAGAGCACTGTGGACAGAGACTGCTGGTGCCAAAGCATTCTCATAGTAAACACATCTGTGTATAGTCTTCACAGTTATCATATCAAAGTGGAATGTTTTGACTGCAAACCTGCAGTTAATGTGCTACTGCTACCAACAGCGAGGTAGTAGACAAGGCAATGAAAATGTACAGTTGTTCATGTCCCAGGCTGGACATTTTGTGCACGCTTTCCTGGTTGAAATTCACCACAAATTGCCATGATACAGCAAAACCAGACAGACTTGGTGGAAATGGATCAGGGTGGGGAGGAAAGGCGCCAAGCACGCCAAGAAGCATGCTTGGTTAGGCTGAAGAAGTTGAAAAGATCTTATGGTACTCCTTCACACTCCTACAAGTCTACATATTCACCAGCCCACGTCAATCACCAACAGCTTGTTCTGTGCCTGCAGGATCTACTGGGGTTTGCTGAGAATTGCAGTAATCTCACTGTGTATTTCAGGATGGGCTGGATAAGTACTGTAGTCTTCACAGAAAAAAAAATCAAGTGGAATTTGCACAAGAAGAAAAGGAAACCGTGACATCATCGATGCAAGTCTGTCTTTAGCGAGTAGAAACAATCATGTTTATTCTGATGCATGTTGGATGTTGCCATTAATTCCTCGTCAAGGTGTGTTCAGTTTTTTGTCAATAAAGAGATACTAAGCCCACAAATCAACCTGCAGGCATTGTGATTGGCACTGTAAGTTGCTTAGTTTGGTGTTCTACTTTTATAGAAGTAGCAAAAAATTTCCATTGCAGGAAAACTTTCCATTTAAGCTAGAGTCATAAACACTTCAATACCCTTTAACAATGGTATTTGGACTCACTGCAAGAGAATATTTTACTGAAAAGCTTCTCAGTAGAATGGATGAGGATTTTTTATTTTACATTTGTCCCACAGAATATGTGCTTTTCTAGCAAATTGCGAATCCTCATCAAGCTCATTTTTGTTAACGTTTCTTTGCTTTCACAAAATGGGTTTTGGTAACCTTTTAGTTGGGTGAGTTCAGACTTCATCTACCACCAGTTTCGTGGTGCCTGCAGAATTGCACGCAGCCTGCTGTGCTACTCCTTCCCATGGGTCATCCCCTTGTTGACCCATGCTGCCTATGGTTCTGGCAATACCCTTCACAGAACTGACTGCACATCTCACTGCAAGGGGCACGTTCTCACGATGGGAAATGCCATCCAGTCACAAAGCAATACAAGTACATTAGCAAATCCTCCTCAATATTTCAGTCCTTTAAAGTGCTCATTTCAGCTAATTTCAGTGTACCAAAATGCAAGTGCATCTTCCTTAAGAAAGCCCCTTTTTGGTTTCTCACCAGAATGTACAAATATATGTAAAGATTGTTAGTTCATCTTTTTGTTTCACTTCAGGAAGAGATGAAAAAGAAATATGAAAAATCCTTGAGGAAGAGAACTTCAACATTTTTTTTTCAGCTCCAAAAAGTGATTCATTAAGAAACTACAACTACAGTCCTTCAGGTGGGATAAATCACTGCAAGGCTGACTGAAGATGATAGCTCTATGAGTTATACTGTTGACTATATCCTACGTGCTCTCTCCATGTTAAGCACTTGGTGATGCTCTTCTATGTACCAACAGAAGGAATAGCATTTGGCATCTTTACTTACCTTTCATCGCATCTAATCAGAATCACACTATCTGTACCAATACCCAAGGCTGCAGCTCCTTTTTTCACAGAAAAGTGACTCTGAAAAAAACAGGTTTTGTTATTATTTATTGCTTTTATTACTATTTCCTATCCAACTTAATGAAACACTACACTCTTGCAAGCCCTTCCGCAAGATGTTCCATATAGGCAGTAATTCTAGTCTTAGGCTTTGAAAACTGATCACTGTAATTTCAGGCTTCGTATCAGGTCACCACAGTTTATTAGAGAAACAGCAATCACTGGATTTACTTCTGGAATATTAAATACACAGTTGTGGCTGGTGATGGACCCAAATTCCGTCCTAGATGCACACCTGCACTGCCTTTTCTCATACATACTGAGCAACAAATTTGATTCAGCAAAACAAAAACTTCTCCAGAGAGAATTCATTTAGTTTGTGGCACCAAGAGTGATGTGCTTCTGCTATGTAACTTCTGGCCAAATAACAGACTGAGAGAAATTGAGAGAGAGAGCCTAATTGTGATCTCATGCCAGTGAAAGTTAGTTAGCTAGTTATAACTCCCATTAATAGACAGAACTATTGTGGTTTAAAATCAGGTCTGGGCTATTATATTGCTAAATCTATTACCTAATCTGTATGGTAAAACATGGAAGTTATATATGAGAGAGCAAGTCAGCCTAATATTCTCTTCCTCATCTTAACTCCTGTTAGTTCATAATTCTAATTCAAATCCTAATGATTAAGATCATGAAATAGTTTTATGTCAGATTTTATCACTAAGAATCAGATGATTTATTAAATGAAATCCAACTGTAACAATACTGTCCAAAGAAATTCTTTACGTACACCACAGCAGTGTTAGCTCAGGAGATAACACTTAAAAATAAATAATAAAAATCAATGAAAAAATCTAGTAAGGCTTTTTAGGCGCCCAAAAGTTAAAGAAAGGAAGACACAGCCCATCCTCCTGCCAGTGCAGGAGTGGAGAAGCAGGTCACAAAGCAAAGGAGTAATCATCACTGCTGTATCAACTGAATACTTGGCTTCAACAGTACTGCAATCATCGGAGTGATGTATGGGAAGAGTTGAATGTGATGTTATGTGTAAGCATCACCTACAGACCTTAAAGTCATTGGGACCGCACAGAGTGCTTAAAAGCCCCGTATAACAATGAGCACCTTGAGAGAAATGAATGTCAAATGTACACCAGCTTTAAGACAGAGAGGAAGAAGAGCTGAACTGTAATTCGTGCCTTGAACTTAATATGTAAAAAAACAACTGTGCTTTAAAAACAACTCAGGGGTAATTTTCATTAATAGTCCTGACTACTCTGCTTAAGGTTGCTCTATATTCTATACTACTTGAAACAGATTTACTACTGTCATTTCCTTTTTTTCTAATAGAAAATAGAACTATCCCACGTGCCTTTAAAAGGAAATACAGATTGGAACAGTTTACTACGAGGAAGAAAATTAAGCCCATGTGCTCAAAGGCATCCGCTGGAAAAAAGCCAAGCTCAGCTGCCTCACTGAAAAGTCTCATGGCACTATTAACACAGCACTGGGAATAAAATGAATATATTGCTGATATCTCAGATGCCTGAAGGCTTTTTACATGCTGAAGGGAATTCAGCAGTTAGGAAAAAAGTAGGGGGAAGAAAATACAGAAGGCAATACAATTTCTAAGCAAACTTTGAACATGCAATTGCTCAATCTGCATATGCAAGAGCAGACATACCATTGCTGTCACATTTTTGCGTATCACGGAAACATCAGCGGAATCACAACCACCTGAATGGCTCTGAAAGAGCCAGAATGAAACTAATTAGTTTCATTCTGCAACAAAATACAGTTGAGGAGCAAAAAAAAAAACCTAAACATTTCTAATGATGATGATTATTAAACTCTGTTTTAGAATTTCTGATACAATACTGACAAATGGCTGTCTGCATAACCACAGGCAGACATATAAGAATGTACAGACCTAACAGAAGGCTGCATATGCAGAAACAGCCCTGGTTAAACAGAACCGCTGATGGATTCAGCTGGGCTAACAGTGGGAAGGATATCAAATCAAAAAAAGTAACCCTTTTCAGAATGTGGGGGCTACAGCCTGTAGTGTATCACACTGGCTGTGTAGGAGCCAGCTGAAGTCCTGTGGTGGGAGACTGAGAGTCAAAAGGGGAGGACAGGACGGCCTGCCTCATGCCAGCCCTGAATCAAAAACCAGGCTGGGAGAAGTCAGCAGGACCACAGTTCCATCGCTGTCTTCTGCTTGCCAGAGACAGAAGGACACGTGGGTGTGAGCAGGCTGTCACACACGCCAACCCCTGGAAGACTATGCACACACACTCAGAAGAGAACTTCAATTTCTGCCTGGGAAGAAATACAGCTGAAATTCAGTGGTGAATGAGGAGGAGGTTTTACTCAGCATTAGTGACAAAAGTGTATTAATAGTCAGAAAAAACAAAAAAAAAAAAAAAAAAGAGGAGACTGAGCCAGTTGAATCATCCCTCTGTCTGAAATTTCAACCGTTGTTGGGCATAAGCCTGATAGTCATTTTTCCATAGTGAGCACTGTAACATCAAAACACACTGCAAATTTATTACAGGCACAGTAACACAATAAGCCTGTTGGAAAAAGGAAAAATTGGTGCTGCTCAAAATGCTTTGATTTTCAAAAGCATGCCATTCTTGTCCTGAATGAATGGTGCTTTAGCATGCAGATGCTTCTATTTTTACAGCTTGCTAAATTATTCGTTCATCATCTGGCATGGCTGAAGCTGTTAGAAGAGCCACCCTCGTGCCATGGGCCCAGAGGCCACAGCTGGTTTTTCAGACTGCAGCTTCTCCCTGCTCACATAAATTCAGAGTGACATAACTCCCAGACGCTGAGCAAGCCAAGCCACCAGCAGCCAGAACATCCCTGAAGGCTGCAGGTTGGGTTGCTGCAACTCTGGTACCCTGCAGACCTGGACGCTCAGCCTCACCCCACCAGCAGAGCAGGCAAATATGTTTTCCTCTCCACCGCCCTTAGACATGAAACAATGCGAGATCCCTCCTTATTCCAACCATCTCAGAACGTGAATCTGGTAACTGCCTGGGCTTCCTCAACAGTGGGAAAGAAAAGAGTACATCTGCAGCACCCCCAAGGCTTGGGCACCCGTTTCAGTTAGGACAAATTATCTTCTGCAGATTTCTCTTTTGATTGGCTATAAAAAGTGCGCAGACTAACTCAGAATGTCTGTTTACACTTTTGGTGATTAAAATGAAGCAGTGTGAATCCTATCTCTAAAGTCCAATTGTAAGCTATAGCTTTTCCTTCAGTTATTTACAAAAAAAATTATACTGTGCCCCATCACATTTTAAATACACCATAACAACAGATGTTTGCTATTGTTTACTTCAGCTACCGCTACTCCATTTTCAAAGTATTTGTCAACAGCAGGAAAGAAATTAACATTATTAATGTTTCTGCATAGCATACCCATATTCTGATCTTCAGCATTTTTGAAAGATGCAATAGTGTTTGGATGCAGTGCTCAGGGACATGATTTAGCAGAGAGTTGTTAGAGTTGGGGTAGTATGGTTAGGTTGTGGACTCAATGATCTTTAAGGTCTTTTCCAACCTGAGTAATTCTATGATTCTAAGACTCACAACCTTTTTTCTTTTCCTGTGCTGACAGTTTTATAGCATTGTCTGAGGAGGAGAAGTGTTGCTCTGAGCTCACAAAGATTCTGTGGCAGTACGGAAGTCCCAAGATACTGACCAGAAGAAGGATTAGACCTAATGATAAGTGTCTTCCCTGGAAGAGGCTCCTCTTTAGCACTGCTCTTCTGGAAGGTGATTTTACTTTTATTTGAATAGGAAATTCAACTTAAATTAAGTTGCTCTTCCTGTAATACCAACTTTTCCACTGTCTCCCTCTGGCTTCGAATACCACAAAGCAAAACTTTTATAGTTACCAAGCATTACACACTGCAAAGGAAGAAAGTTCGGATCCACAAGTTTGAATTTTAGTTTCCTCAGGAAGAAACAAAATCCCTACTCACTCCGTAACTTACAGCTTCAGAATTTGATGCCACCAAATGGAGAACAGGCCCTCCAGGATTCTCTACCTTTCCCTGAAAACCTTACCACAAGGCCACTCCTTGCTAGATGTCCCTCCAGGTACATCTGGCCATCCCCAAGGCTGACACTTTACACCCACATGGCCAGTGGATTCCCTGACTCGCTTCAGAGGCAGCCTCAGGCAGGAGCCATCTCACCCCAAAAACCAAGAGATAGGGGATGCTGGAGGCAGCGAGAGCCCTGCCATGCCCTGCTAGCTTTCTGACGGGGTGAAGAGGTTCCCTTCACATTGAGCAAACTGGTTGGCTTGCTGGGTCTTCTATTATTTCTTCTCTCAAACTACAATGAGAGCTGTGCTGTCACCCCCCTGTGAGTGCCTGCCAAGAGGTTCCTCCTTATGGACCCATCCAGTCTTCTATGGAAAAGTTGTGATTCTTGCAAGCTATTTACACATGATAAAACAAAAAGGCCAAATACTGTTCTGTAACTTGAACCTAGCTTGTTCTCTGCACCTAAGCTCTTCCCCTCCACACCTCTTTCCTTCTCAGACTATGGCTCTTCACTCTTTTTACCTTCTGGGGATAATCCCTGCTCCATGCTAAGAGAATGCCAGGTGGAATGGCCAAAGTCACATCAGGGAACGGGTTAAAACACAACAGCACTTGCCTTACAGACAGAAGGATCAATTAAAATATTCTGAGAAGGCAGCTCTCCTTTTCAGGTGCTTTCTCTGCACTGAAAAAGGGATGCACTCAGTTGAACAGTCTTTCAAGCCTAAAGCCAATGCACAGGGATGTAGGAGGAAGCCTTCATCTGAAATTTTTCATTTAACTGCCATCTATCACTTTTACCCATCTGAATCAAGGTCTCCTGTGTCATGAGCAGTCCAGAACAGCTGCCTTGAAGGACATCACACTGCTCCTGCACCACTGCACGTTCAGGGATGACTGATGACGAACTGGTGACTACAGAGGACTAAATTAAGACCTGAATGCAAGAGTGCCTCAGTGAAATTATGCGTGAGTCAAGCCTGACCCAATCAGTTATAATGTGCCTCAGTGTCACTGGTGAAACAGAAATGATCAGAAGCAAAGACAGAGATGTCACAGCCCTACTGAACTTGGGGAAGACCTGACAAACATGCATGGGTGGGGCTGGAACAGCCACATAACCCACTTTAGGCTGAATGTAGGTTGTGCGTGTCAGGAGTCTAGTGTCTCTCTGTGGTTAGATGAAGAAGATGAACCTCTCCCAAAGGTGATATAAAATATCTAAATTAAGGAACATTTAAGTTCCTAATTTGGATGCTCTGAGTTTCACTCCAGAGATGCTTCCTCTCACTGATCGTACACGAAGTGAAGCTCTCAATTTAGGCACATAATGCACTCCTAAATTGGGAAGGGAATTACTGAGGAGCTGTGAATTACTCCTTCCTTCCCTTCTCCCCTCTGGCAGCTAAACCTATCATGGCCAAATTCGGATCACAGCAATATCAGTGGCAATTGTGGAGTAACTTCACTCATAATAGCAGAAGCTCTAGGTTGGTAGAAATGAAAATAGAGTCTGGTCTGTGATGCTGATATTCTTGACAGAGAATTACTAATACTGGAAACTTTGCTTCCAACTGAAAATCTCAAGAAAAAAAAAAATCTCAATGTTTCTAATAAAATCCAGTGACTTACAGCTTTGTTTATTACTACACCACACGTACAGTGTGGGGAAGCGACAGCATTTCATTTACAGCCTGCTTGTTCCACAGCCATTGTTGTAAAACAGCATGCAGCTGTGACAGGGAGAAACGAGAGTCAGACTGAGGAGCCTGGAAGGGAGCAGAAGATCAGTGTGACATGATAAACGAGACAAATGCCATCCTTGTATCTTACTGCCTGTTCAAGTTCTGCATGACATTTCTTAACTAAAAAGGGACTGTGCTTCTGGATCTCTGCAACTCTCTGCTCTCCTGAAGCTTAAAGCCCAATCCCTGTCTGCTGGGCAATTAAGGGTTAAAGGACCCTATCTTTACCTAGTGGGGTTTCTCAGCTTCCCTAGCAGATGTGGTACCACATACACTGCTTGAGGGAGGGACATAATTGGAATTTCAGGATACTTTTAAAATGTAACATTTAAAATGCTATTCTGGGGATTCACTGTGTATTTGACTTTGGAATGTTTAATTTGCTAAGGGAGATGCTTCTTCCTTGGCATGAAAACACAATTATTAAAGCTCATTTCATTATTTTGAGACCGATAGCACAATTAGGTCCACAGTTTAACATCCCATTGCAATGAATACAATGAAATTCTCTAACGATTAATAAGATCTGTTATTTTAAATAATCATGCTGAACCTTATTTGCAGTACTTATTAGCTTTGTAACTTCCATATGAATACTGGATCTCTAGCTGTGAAGCTAACTTTGGAGAGCTGCAAAGCATTTACAGAATATTTTTGTCCAATTGCTTTGGGGACAATTATCCTGCAAACTGGAGCCTGCAGTTCTGCATTGCACCCCATCCTTAAAGAGACTGCCTCCCAGCATTTCTGACCAGCTGTTAGGACACCGAGCTCCTCATACTTGTATGAAGCAGCACATGCTTTCTAAGTCAAAAAGGCAGCCAGGAAGATGTGAAGCAGAAAGGATGGCAGCCTGCTGAACCCAGCCATCAGAGTTCTTTCTGGATGAATCCACCTAGCTGGAAAGACATTCAAAAGGTAACCATGAAGCCTGAAGACAGCTCACAGCCCTTCAGGGTACAACCTCTTTTCCCCTTCCCCCTGTACCACTATAAGCTGCAAGAAGCTTGAAATGGTCCTAAGTCCCAAATAACCCCCACAATACACAAAGAAACAACTTCCGCACGGCTGTCTGTAAAGCAAAAAGCTGCATTTCCCCCCCACGGACCACTCAACCCCCTCGTGCCCATCTCTCAGCCTTCCCCGCTCAGTGCACAGCCAGCTCCTGCTGGCACCTGGATGAACCCTGCTGTGCTGAGGGTTGTGCTCAGAGGGCAACCCACAGTGAACCCAGTGCCCCGCAGCATGCCTGGCTGGACACTGCACTTCAGCGCTACTGTCTTCACGGGCGTTATTACCCTTACTACATGACAGCAGGAGTGGTTCCAGCTAGAAGTACTCTGAGTCACAGGGATCTGTTCCCCCGGACACGGCACACAGAAGCCCAGCATAGTGCATCTGCTATTTGATGTGGTCTCTACCATCCATACCGCATTTGTAGATTCAAGGCAGAGGAACCAAAAGGGCAGTGTCTGTGGAGCCTGTTCTCCCTGAGTCTGAGCCACACAGGAGTACACAGCTCATCCCTCCACAGAGTAAGAAGCCAGCCCCCTCCCAGTTCTTCATTACCAGTGAAGGAATAACAGAAATGAAGGCATCTGGCTGCCAATTCTTGTTTAGCTACTTTCCTCATCAGGAATTGTATAATCAATGAATGTACAGATGTTATACTTATGAAATATACCAGAGAGCACGGCTACACAGCTATTATACCAAAACAGAATAGGTAGAATGCTTACCTGTATCCTGGGCTCACTGAAAAACTCCAGAGGAGGGATCTCCAGAAGAGATCCTCCCCCCCTGGCAGTCAGCTCTTAAATGGGCCTTAGGAGAGGTGCAGCCAGGCTCCACCCTTCCGGCAGCACAGGAGAATTGCCTTCACCTGTGCTCCCATGGCTGACTCAGCGCTCACCTCAGGTGATCAATCAGAGGTTCAGGCTGTGATCCAGCAGTTCCCATACAGGAATTCACACAAGCAGATGTATCAGATAGGAAAAAACAGAAACACATACGTGTTCAGAAGTGAAGGCAACCAGTCTGGGAATAGCTGCCATTCCTTTTTCTTTAACTTCTGGGAACATCTTGAAACGTGCAATCAACATAGCATACATGTTAGATATGGCACCACCTGGAGTCCACAGTAATACACTGTTACTTTTTCTATGCAGTGTAATATCATTGCAGTATAAACGATAAGTTTTGCTATGGTTTTCCTAACTCTCCAGTTAACATATCTGTCCCGTGTCAGAAACGTGCATTCTTTCTCCTGATGTTCCACAGAGCTGGGTTGTACAATAACAGGTCTACTACACACAGGGAACAATTTATGCATAAAACACTAGTGGGAAAAAATGATTGAGGTTTCCTTTTATCTTCTTTTTTTGTCACCATTTTTCCTTTAGTCCCTAGTTTTATCTATGTGCCACCTATACATTACAGCCAGTCCATGCCAAGCATATCAACAAGGCAACTTTGTGAGCGGCTTCTGAGTGTGACCTGACCTGTCCTCTCCCTCCTGAAGCAGGGTGATGCTTCACACCCTGGCTCTGAGAAAACCTACACTGTGTACCAAGAGACACTGCCTTCTGGATAACTGGAGTAGGAGAGGGAGGAGAAAGGAAAAAAGGGTCATTCTAATAAATACTATTCTTCTTGTCTGTTTTCCAGTGGGAGTGAGGGGAAAAGGTTACCTCTCCCTTGCGCTACTGTTAAAATCACCGATGTACACTGCTTTAAAACACCCATGTAAGCATCAAATGACAGGTCTACAGTATTTCATTCCTGTATTTCAATTATCAATGCACAAATTACAAACATACTCTTTATTTTATGGTTCCAAGACTGTTACTGAGTCTCTGCGTCTACAGCCAAGCTGTATCTGGCTGCACATTAACACTGCATGAGCACTATGGGAATATAATGCAGGACCTGAGGCAGAGTCCGAGCACTTTCACGTTACACACACCATCACACACATAAACATACATGTACACATAAAACCCAACAGCTTTATCCTGCATACATAGCATACGCATATACACACACATACAGATGATTGTATATTTATGTTTATGCACATACATTTATAAAACAAAAAGGTGTACACTGATCATGGTTTTAGGTTTTTAAATGAACAGGTCCAATTGCTTCCTAACTTTCATCCACCTAAGGATGGAGGAACACAAGCAAGCACTGCCAGGGAATGGCTCAGCTCATCCCAAAGGTAGCTGGGCTATGGCAGCTGGGATGACATGCACGATGCTCACACACATCCACTCTCTCCACTGAAGAAATGGGAATTGCTGTAACAAGCCCAGGGTGTTGCCCTTCTTTTCTACCCAAGGTCCCTGGCTCAAGGCTCTTCCTGTCCTCAGCCCCAGTGTGACAGCTGGTGACCCTGTCAAAGGGGAATGGCACTGGGGGCACAGGGCTCAGAGCGGGTTGGGGGCTGCTTCTTCCTTCCCTTACAGTACCTTGGGAGGTACGAGCATGCTTCTATACCTCCTTTAACAAATGAGGTAACATGACATGGAGAGAGGTTAAGGGAAAATATACAGGTTCCCATCCCTAAAATATGCAAACATCATGCACTGTTGATGATTTAGATGAACTAACGTGTCCAGGTGGAAGAAATTTGGCCTATCTTGTCCAAAGTCAGTGGGCTCAGCATCAAAAGAATCAAGACTGAAATGTTAAGTTGCTTCAATGCTGGATTTTCCTAGTATTTTTTATCTAGTCTTTTAACCCTAAAAACTTATGAACAATAAGCCTGCATTCTGTCTTTAATTTTGCAGCTCTGTTTACACTCACCATTAATCGCAGACAACAAAACACACCAATAAAATCTGAAGACCCTTGTCAGGCCTCTGTGTTCTGCGTACGCAGTACACAAGAACAAGAAGTTCTCAATAAGTAATGTAAGCTCATCTCTTCTCCCACCTCTGCAGAAAGGACCAACCCCAAGCTCCTGCAGCAGCTCCTACGTGGGCAGCTGGATGCCCGCAGTCAGCTGCTGATGAGCCCTGCTGGAACTTTTGCACTTGGATTCCCAGCAGCCCAGGCTGTTATCCACAAGGTCTTTCCTCTGCTTGGTATTTAGTCCAAACGCTCTTTTCCCCTCCATTAGGTCTCTGAGCTTTCTTTCCAGAAGAGCTCCTACCCCAACTATCAGTCTGTTCTCTTTTGACTCACCGAGATGCTGTGCCCAATGTAAATTCTTCTGATCTTTTGCAATTTGGGGAGATAGATGGGCTAAAATATTTAGGTTCAGTGACAAAAAATGTGAAGCAAAAGACTAGGTGGAATGAATAAAATGAAAGCCTTAAGAATGCAGTGTCTTGGTGTCAATGACTTCTCCACAGGCACCACAGGCATTTTTGCCTTACTGATGTGCCCAGATGGAAGCAGGTCTGAGCCTCCAGACACTCAGAGGAAGGAGCCCTCTAAGGTCCCTGCTGAGCATCATGGCCAGCTCATACATGGAAAGCTAACTGCTTACTGTGCTGTTGGTGGGACCCTAACTAACCACTGAATTTACTTCACGGGATGTCCTGTTTTTCCCTCCTTGCTCCAATTCCCCCTCTGGTGATGGGCAACATTTCTTCTCGCTGCTTTAATACAACGCTCTTTCTGCTTCATGTACTCTACAAAAAGTGGGGGCAAGGCCAATGTCTCTTCTGATTATGTTTCCCATGTGCCATTACAGCTGCTCATAATGCAGTGCAATTTGCTCAAACAGACCCTCTCAATCACATCCCTGAAATTCAAAAACATGCAATGCTTTATCTCAGAGAGAGGCCACTAGTGGTTATTAGCAAGCGTCCTCGTGAACATGCATATTTAATTATGTTTACTCTTTAACTACAGGGGATGTCACATAGCATAGTCCAAAAAGCAAGCTTGAAATATCATGTACCAGGTGAAAATATCCCATCGCCACAGCCCCCCGGCCAGCCAACCATCTCTCTCATTTTCCGTAGCGTGACATATTCCAAAAGTACAAACACTGGAGCAATTTCATAGGTGAACCTGAAACGTAGTAATGCTCACATTTAATGCTTTCATCTTCAACTCTAACACATCTTTTTCCAATACTGCACTACATGATAGCCTCAATATACTCTATCTCATATTGAATAGAGTCCTGTTTACAATACTTTTGATAACCCCCCTTCTGACTTGATGTCAGATATTTGAAAGCAGAAACGCCCAGAGCTCTGGAGACTCCATTTCCACCCACTTCAGTGAAACTGCTCATGCCCACCTCCTCCAGGCTCGAGGCTCTGCCCTGAATTCAAGAGCTGCTGGCCCAAATCAGACCTCCTTTGCCTTGCTAAAGCCTGCGTGCATGTCTTGATGCACACACATCAACAGCCCCGTTCATGACGACAAGACAGTGCATGGAGCTAAACACGTGCACAAAAATGCTTCCGAGCCTCAAAGTGCAAAAAATTACCAAAAATGTTCTAAATTCTGCACCTCTTTCTTATAGGAAGCAATGCTTCTAACTGCTTGGTGTATGAGATGTACCTAATTCCTATACTTAAATGCAACTGTTCTCTTAGCAAAGCTTTCATTTTACATATTTATGCATGCAAAATACTAAAATATTTTTTCTGTACAATTCTGGGGAGGTTAGCAAAGGAAACCTCTGACATCATATCTCTATGATCAAATTTCAGTGCCTATAGAATGTTATGGAAAATCGTCATGCTGTTAAATGTCAAAATCATTTTAAAAGCAGACAATTGTTATTCCAGCAACCTTAACATAAAAATTTTCTTTCTTTCATTCAGCTACAGCAGCTAATACTGTACAATACAGCCATAAAATTATATTAAATATCACAAAAAATTTCTTCTACTCACATATTAGTGTTTGCTGCTGATGTCAGCCAATCTGCTGCCAACCCAACCATGTCCAATCCAGTTGAAAGTTGATTAAAATATCTAGGATGCCCTGCATAAATGGAAAACGTTACCGGGAGTCAGATGACTGGAACTGTTCAGCCCTGAGCAGCACGGTTACCTCGGGGTTTCTATACCGAAGGAAGTGCTTTCAAGGCACGAAACAAAGCAAACAGCAATAAATGTATGTATTGGAAAAGGCAGGATTTTTCTTCTTTCTCATTCCAAGTAAAATCAGAGTAATTTCACTGACGCAGACTAATAAATTCCAGCATTCCCCATTATCCTCTCAACGTGCCTTGGAGATGAACACGACGCTGCCTCACACAAACAGCGGCTCGCTCCTGCTCGCGTGTCACATGCTGTCACCGAATGGTTTGTGCCTGGCTGGCTCTGAAAGGCGCACACGAGCCACCATCGGCGGGGCTTGCCAGGACATATAACATCAGTGATGAATAGCTAACCATTATAATAGACGGGGCAAAACGAGAAAATGGAACACTTTGGTGACTGCTTTGCTCACGACTCAACGGCAGATGATCGCATGGAGATGGCGGGGACGGTGGCGGTGCTCGTCAGCTCTTCTCTGCCAGCCTGCAATTACACGCAGGCTGCCTGCAATTGTGGTTTTAAACAAAACCAGCACCGCTGCCACATCGGGACGCAGTACAGGAATATCCTCAATTGGCTGCAAGTTCATTTATGTTGTTAATCTATTTGGCTCCTGGTATTTTTCCAAAATCCCCTTGGCGATTTTTCTTAAAAACGTGCCCAGAAAGATTAAAACAAGAACAGAAACCATCACAGCTCAGTTTTTCCTACACACTCTCTGCAAGGCGCTGTTAAATGGCACAATTACCGATACAATTACAGATGGGTGACAATTATCTGAATGCTGTCCGATGGGAGGAAGAGCCTTCAAAGCACCTGTCCTGCCCCACGGACAACATGCTGCTATGGCCGTCACAGAAAACAAAAGATGGAGCAGGATGATTGAGGGAAGGCAGAACCAGAGCTGAGGGAGAACTTATCTCTGCTCGCCAGCAGTCCCTTATCAGGCATGGACATGAGATCACAGCAGCATGGGGACTGCCCCCTCCCCACAGCACACAACGATACAGCCGGGCTGTGGGACAGAGCACAGTGTGGGGTGGGGGGCATGGAATCTTGTCTCCTTCCCCTGAGACACCCCTGGTGCTGCCTCCAGCCATGCTGTGCCCCAGCGGAGATACAGCTGGCACTGCACCCCACAAGCACTACCCTGGATGCACGCTCACATGGGGTGGGTGGCTCCCTACATGCCCTACTGCTGCCACCAGAGCTACACATGGCCACAGCACCAGGGCTCTGTACTTCCCCCGTGATGGCTGTTCAGTTGGTTTTGAGATTTCAGTATTCACAGCTTGGGCTCAGCATCACAGCCAGGCTCCTCACTGGCTCCCACATTCCGCTCCTAAAGAATTAGGGTGTGAAAGAGGAAGCCCTGGAAGACTCCCAGAGACCAGGAAAACTCTCGCTTTGGAGCTAAACCCAAACCAAAAAGCTGAGGAACAACAGAATTCACATTTGCAGCCCCGGTGTCTCAGCAATGCTCTGGCAGTACCCAGCCCCAGATGACAGCTCTGTGTCACTGCTTATTTCTCTAGCCTCCTGCTTGGGTATCTGCGAACCACACGGGTGGAATGTGGAGCCACATCCCAGAACTCTGACTGTAGGAGCATCACCTCCCAGCAGCGATATCTCCGGAGCACAAGTTGCTGCTTGCATACTGCTTTTCTGCAGGGCACACTCAGCACAGCGGCAAACCCACCCCCTAGGCTGACCCCAATCCCACTGCTGGGCTTTTTTCCATCTAAGTGACACTCTGATGCGTGAGCAAGCTGCGGAAAATTGCGGCTTTGCTTACAAGCCATGCTCCAGGCAACAACAAACAGCCTGTGAGGGGCTCAGAGTCAATGTCCGCCCGTGCAGCCATCACCGAACAAAGGGGTGACAATGGGGAGAGCCCCTCAGAGCCCCCCCAACACCTGCCTCTCGAAACAGACAGCAAAGCTATGTATTTATCAGAAATTCTTCCTCCAAGGGCACGGTGTGCATTCCACTCCACAGAAAGGGGCTGGGTGTAAACCCCGCACATTTCAGCCCCACAAGGGTCACTCCTCCAACCAGGGGAACGCTGTTTGCATTACAACAGCAGCAAAGAAATGCAAGGGATTGGAGCAGCCTCCCATCTGTATGCCAGGGAATAGTTAACATTATTCTGAAGACAATTCAAAAAAGAATGACTATCACACCCCAGGTTAACGAAAATCGCTGTAAGAATTGTGCGCTTTGGTTCCAGGGACCCTCAACGAGTGGGGAAGGCACTGCCCATGCCCTGCACAGACCCACTGGGAACACTAACCTCTGCCACTGCTCTGTGGGTAGCACCAATCTCACCATTCATCGCGGTGTTTTACCAACATTCAGACAGCACCGGACCGTCCACCACTGACACACGGCTGGGCACGGCCATCACTAACCCACAGCATCACAAAGAGCCCCGATCGCCGCTGGGATCAGGCTGCTCCTACAAGCCTACCAAAACGCACGCAGTCTCCCTACAGCCCCCATTCACCCATCAGCCTTTGTCTCTCCCAGCAATCGGTGCACGCTTATTTTTAAGCAATTTCTCAGCGATTCAAATTCTCCCCAAGAGCTCTGTGCACTCCGTTTTATCTCCCAGTCTCAGCACTAATTGCCGCTGCGCTTTTTGTCTGTGTTTAAGGTGGCCCCGGAGCATGGCCGGGCAGTGGGACACAGCTTCCTAGTGGAAATAAAAAAAAGGGCAATTCAAGCAATTTAAGCTTTGTTTCTATTCTTAACCCTAAAGTAATAATAATAATAAAAAAAATTCTGCAGAGAGCTTAGACACATTTCTAATTTTAAGTCCTTACACAAGTGAAGGGACAGAGGTGGCAAACAGCCACCCGGAGCCCCGTGGACTCCAATCCACGTTTGCTGGACTGGGGCTGCTCCTTGGGAAGGTCCTTGCACTGCTGCCCTGGTCCAGGGGAATTAAGACACAGGCCTGGCCCCCACCAGGCAAAATAGAGAGGAGGAAAAAAGGGGGAAATGGGAGGATTCGTTTTAAATGACAAGGGGTGAGCGATGCTGCACCGACAGCCCCAGGGCTGGAAACAGTCCCTGCGCTGTCAGAAACTGCCTGGAAATAGCAGAGCTCCAGGGTTGCTCCAATTTGTAACACTGCGGGACACAACGAGATACCACTTCCATCAGTGCAGCCGTACCTGTCTTAATGGCATACTTGAGCGTGGTCCTGCAGTTCAGGAGGATTTCTTCCAAGGTCTGCGGCTGCTCCGCCAGCTCCCAGTTGTACTCCTGCAGCAGCTCGTTGGGGTAGTGGAAATCGATCACTTTCGTTGATCTGTCGAAACTTTTCACCACGTACTGCAGCAGAATGTCCACCACATCCTGCAGGAAGGACAGCGTCGCTGCCTCCCCATCGCACGCTGGCAGCAGGTCTGGGAGTGAAGGGGGAAAGTTAACACTGCTGCGGGACTGCACGGATCCCAAGCTGCTCCTTTTGTGTCTGGGAGATCTTTTTGTTGTGTTCAACATAAAGAAATTTTACTTTGATTTGTTAAGGAATGTGGACCGTGTTTCAAGGGATGTGCCAAGGGACGCGGTCAGGTTTTCGTTTCCCCATCTAAAAATAGCGGGTTTTGCTCCCAGGATATTTCAGATCAATTTCTGAGACAGCAAGAGATGGCAGGTGAACGGGGAAAAAAGGAAAAACGAATCTCGGGAAAAAACGGGAAGTTGGTAAACAGGAAGATAGCGGCAAAACGCAACCCCCGCCCAGCCATCAGTGCGCGATGGAGCCCTGTCCCCGCAGCCCACAGCTGGCTGGCAGCACGGTGTCGCGCTCCGGGCAGTGCCGCGGCCGCGCCGTCCCGCAGCAGCGCGAGGCGGGGGGCTTTGCTTTAGGGCAAAGTCACCGTGAGCTCAAGTAGGGTTCCTCCTCCCGGAACCCACCACCACCCCCACAGGGTCCGCAGCGGGAAGGTCGCTCATCCTCACAGCGAGCGACCCTCAGGCTCCAGAGCGCCGCGTGTTCATTTTTATTGCGTTCGGGAACCCTTTCGTTCTGTACTTCCAGCGGCTGCGCAGCGGTGCGGGGCTCGGTGCCCTGCGGAGCCGCCGTGTCCGAGGCCGCCGCGGAGCGCCGTTACCTGTTGAGTGCAGGAACGCGTAGTTGACGTCGGCTCTCCTGCAGCCGCAGGGCTTCTTGTCGCAGGTGCAGGTGGGGCAGGACGGCCGTGGCTCCGCCGCCCTCGAGGTCGCCCTGGCGCCGGGATCCGCGGGCTTCTCGGCGTCTCCGTAGAGCAGCGCTTGACAACGACAAGGGGACGCGCGCTCAGCGCCGCGGCCCCCGGCCCCCCTCCCCGGCCCGAGGCTGAGCCCCGGAGCCCCGCAGCCCGGCCCTTACCGCACAGCTTGTTGCCGATGCCTCCGGTGAACTTCTGTGCCACTTGGCACCAGGCTCTGGCTGCAAGACATAACGGAGCGGGGGTCCGCGGGTCGGGCGGGAGTCTCGCCCTTCCTCGGGACCCCCCTGGCCGTCCCGGTCCCGCAGCTCCGGGACCGACGTCGGACGCCGCGGTTCCGTCGGGTCGGCTCGGGCCGGTCCCGGCCGCTCTGCGCCGCCCTACCTGTGCCGGGGCTCTCGGCGGCCGCGGAGCCCTCCTCGGTCCCGAAGGGCCAGAAACCGGAGCCGGGGCTCGCCATGAAGGAGCCGAAGCGGACGAAGAGCTAAGAGCTGCAGCCCGGGCGGCCCCGAGCGGGTGTGCGCGAGGGCGAGAGCGCGGCCGTGTGAGAGCGCGCGGCTGCGCCGGGTGGCGGCGAGCGGAGGGGGCGGGGGCGCCCCGGGCACGCGTGGGTGGGGGCGGCTCCGTGGGCGCCCCAGGACGCTCCCTGCAGGCGCGGCGGCCGTCCTCGCCGGGCCGGGCCGTTCCTACGGCTCGGGGGGAGGCGCTTCGGCGGCGGCGGGATACCTCCGGGCGGGCACCGACGGGACGGGATGAAGGGAGAGCACCGGCACAGCGCTGGGTGGAGCGGAGGGCGTTCTCTCGCACCGCAGCTACGGCTGTGCAGCCCCGAGAAGAGGGCTGGGACACCTGTGCCCAGAGCGGCGGGAAGGCTTCCCCTCTGCCAACGACCCGCGAAGCGCTGAGAAATCCCCGTCTTCCCTCACCCTTTCCCGGGGCACCCCCCGCGGCTGCGAGCGGGCGACTGGGGCGGGGCAGCCCTTCGCTTCTCTCCCGTCGCCGCCCTAGGAATGAATGCTCCGCTGCTCCTCTCGAGCCGCCGCTCCGCCGCTCCGCCGCCCAGCCCCTCGGACCGCGCCGTGCGCTGCTCTCGTACACCCGGGTCGCACCCGCGCCCCGCGAGCTGAGCCCCAGGGCTCGGCCTTGGCTGCGCCTCTCGGCGGGGACGGCGCGGCGGTCCCGCTGCCTTGTTCTGTCGGTGCTGGGAGTAACTGAGGCCCGGGCAGCCGCGTCCCTGCCTCGCGCATTGTTATTAACGGTACCGTTTGAATAGTATTCGAGAAAGCAACTTTAACGCAGATTTTAAAATTTAAATGATTTATCGCAAATTTTACATCGCAGCACGTTGTAACCCGGTGCTGTGGCCCTGCTGCCAGTGAGAGGTCCGGAGGTGATGGCGGCCCACCCCTCACTGAGGGCTGTGTGTGCGGGGGGACAAAGCCCCAACCTGTGCTATTGTAGTCTCTATGGAGCGCAGCAGGGGCACGGCCAGGCCTTCCCGCTAGCTTCCCAAAATCTGCCTCCCCTTGTAGTTACAGCTGGCAACATGCAATTATGAACCCTGAAAGGAATAACGGCAATTATCTGCATAATAAGGCAAAATAAGGGCTTGTGAATAAGGAATCAGGGGAAATTTTGAACACAGTGGCTATCGCCTTTATTTCCATTTAATTTCTAGTGGAACTGATTAAGAATGATCATTACATTTAGGCAGCAATCAACCGGAGAGCATCTTTCTGTTCCTTTCTTGGCACCCCAGAGATTAAGGTTCCTAAAAATCTAATGCAAAGCAGAACAAAGCAAACATGATCCAAGTGCTCTGTTAGTGACGGGGTGAGGAGAGCTGGGTCCTTCCATCCTCCGACATCTCCAATGCTACATGCAGTGCTAACCTTTATTGCTGGCCACTGGCTTACAGGAAAGTCAGTAGTGAAATAAACTGCTACAGAACGCAATCAATTAATCATTTGTTTTCATTAGAGGGACACATACCACATAGAGCTTATCCCAAAATTTAGGCATTGTAAACCTAAAATAAATAGAAATTCCCCTGTGATGCCCTTGTCATTTATTTCTTCCTGTAAAACAATTTACTAGAAACAATAACTAAGGTTTTCTGGAGGTGCCTATGGGATTTTGGAGGCTTAATGAGGAAATGATAAACTAAATGGTTTATTTTAATTGGGTAAGAGTGATTAAATGCAGAGAGGAAAACAACACGCACCGAGGAAGGTAACCTACATTTAGGCTGCTTAATGCTTAATAATTTTAAGATGCAGTAGTGGTATCTGAAGGAAACCTGATTCCTTATTTTTCTAAAGGTATATGCCAGCAGTGATGGTGTCCCTTTGCATCGGTGTTGGGCTGTAAACTACAGTAATTCGTACTGACATGAACACACATGTTGTAAACCTGAAATGTCAGAGATTTAAAAAAAAAAAAAAAGAAAAAAAAGGAAGCATGTGGTATAAAATGATAAAAAAGATGATGCTAATAACAGCAAACGGCAGCGGGGCTAGAACTGCTGGATAAGGCGCCGGCGCTGCGAGGTCTTCCGCAGCAGCCTCCGGTAGTCATAGGGATTATCTTCTGCTCTGCTTTCTTCCAGGGAGCTCTCCGCAACCCTTGACCTAAGGATTAAGTGCAGAAGTGTTTCAGGGATTGAAATGAAAACATTTACCTTGGCAAACACTCCTAATCGGTCGCTTAACTTCCACCCTCAAGACAAAAACAGAAAGAAAAACCCAACCGTGCTAGGCCTCGTCCAGCCGTGCTGCAGGAAGCAGCGCCTCAGAACAAATGCAGCTGAGATGAACGCAGAACAACGTGTTCTTCTGCAATGGGGTCACAACAAAGGGCACAAGGCCACTGAGAACATGTTGTGCTATTTCTCATCCATATAAATCCGACCTTGCATTATTTCACAGCTTTCTAGCCGAAAAGTGAAAGATTTGGAGTAATTAACAGCTCTGGCAAAGCATCATTTAACAAGTGAAGTAATTCCCTCACATGATGTTTAATTCCGCAACTTCACAATGCCATTCTACAATGGACGTAAACACTGCCTCCAAAGTGCCAAAAAGTAAAACAAGCAACAAACACAGAAAGCTCTACCAACATTTCTGTTATTATTTTGGATATGTTTTTAAATCCAGCAGTCATCCTGGCGTTTTCTTTACATTTTTACTTGGATGCTTTGCAGGTTTCTCTTATATATATGAAGATACAAACGGAGCCATAAATAAAATAAATGTGGATGTTTTCGTATGTGCAATCTGTGCCTGAGCATTGCTAAGAATATGAATTTTCTTCGCCCAGCAGAGGTCCCCCTCTATGAAGTCTGTGTGGGAAGAGCCACCCTTCAGAGCTCCTCTCCTGACTACCCACTCCAGCGGTGCCGCCGCAGCCATGAACACAAACAGTGCTATGGGACAGCAGGAGGAGGCACTCAAGCAGGGGCCTTATCTGTGGAAAGCAGGTGAAAAATTCGGCATATGTCCAGCTTTTTGGAAGCTGAAATGAGCCAGGTTCTGCTTTAGCTGGATCTGATTTTCGATCAAAGATTTACAGCAGGAGTCTATCTCATCTGAAGCTTTGGAAGCCAAAACAGGTGGGCAGGCTGGAGATAAACCATGCTATCATTTGTGCCTCTGAATGAAGATGGAAAATTTTCTGCTATCCATATTCCAAGCGAATTTAGCAAGATTCAACAAATAAACTATTTTTTTTTGTCTAATTTGTTGTGTTTTTTTTTTTTTTTTTTTTTAATGAACATGCACATAATATATTTTTTCTCTGCAAGGATATGCAACGTTTATTTGTCCTACTATGCTTTTCTGTGTTACCTCTCAGTAGTTCTTAAAGTTGAAGTTCTGCGCTCGACGGGATGTCTCCTCCTTTTTGTGGTAGAGCTGCTGTCCTTTGAGGTGGAACCAGTAGATGAAATTTCATGGTAGTAGATATCTAAATCTAGCACCTTGCCCAGACTGTCAATAAATAAGTAATCTAAGTCAACAATTCCACTTTTGAACAGTATATTGAACATTCAAAAGTAATACAATCAGATATCATTTCTGTGTTGAGAATGTAAAGAATATATGTGAACATAAGAAGTGATTCTCTGGAATGTAACTGCTGTATGATGCAGATGCTGACAATTTTGCAATGCCTAGGTACTTTCAGATGTTCATAAAGCAAACGTGTAACTAAAAAGGTCTGAGTTTACTACTGCATTCAGTAGGGACGCATGTTTATGTTACAATTCATCTGATATATTTTAGGCATCTCTCTTAGGAAGATATGAATAATTTTCCTAAAGATACCTATTTTTTTTTCCCATCTTATTATATGAAGAGAGTCTAAAGCAAACAGTTCAGATACTGGTGCCAATAATGCAGATGTCTGTATGTTTTCAGAATGTTAAAACAGAATGTAATATGTACAAAAAAACCCCACCACAATCCCAATATCCAGTTTAGAAAGGTTAGGGAAAAAATCTATCCTAAAAGCAACCTGAAGAAGAACCTTCAGAATTCTGTTCTCACAGTGGTAGAAATAACTCTTTGATATCAATTGCTATGTTCAAATGATGTAGAGTCACCACACAAAAGAAGATGCTGTCATGGAACTGCTTAACCAAATTTAAGATAAGTGAAGCCAAACTGAGGCAAGATGGGAAAATTATTATTACTGTATTATTATTATTATTACTATTGTTCGCTAAACGTAATATAACTGTATTATTTTCAAGATACAAACAGCACCAGAAGAGCTGTAACTTAGAACTGACATGGATGTTAAGTGAGTCCTTTAAGCAGTTGCATAATGAAGTGCAATTTAAACAGTGGTTGAATGAAGCTATATGCACATATTAAGGGCATATATGTAATATAAGTTCATTTAGGATATTTTTTTTTTATATAGTGCTTGTATTCTGCAGCCTCAGCCAAGGATAGCACTGAAAGCCCATTCACACACTGCTCAAGTGCCTTTCCTCTCTGAACAGGCTTCCATAGAATTACAGTGTCCCTAGGGAGCAACAGAAAAGCTGATGTATATGAACACAAATAATAGGGTGCTAGGATGTAAGGCAGAAGCTGTGAACCAGAGCCTAAAGCACATGTAAGAATCTTAAATACAGAAAGGCAGGGTGTATGTATTGTTTCCTTTATTTCTACAGAGATCTATCAAAACAGGTTAGTTACACGGTGAAGAAGAGATTTCTGGTTGAAATTTCAATGGCTACACTGTTTTACTTGTTATTATTATCTTACAGTTGTATTAATATCTTACTGTTTCCATTTTTTATTATTATTGCCAAACCACTGTATATTTTTAGGAGAGAATTTTAACAGTCTTCGTATTTTGGCTAACAAAAGAGAAGTGGTTGCTCATTTGCTTTGACTGGAATTTTAAGCACCTTCAATTATTTTCTGTGTCAGAACTATCTTTGCTGTGGACCTTATCTTAACTTATTATTGTGCTTGTGTTGCCATGGTAAAGGGCCATGCTGCAGTAAAACCAAACAACTGAATTCCATAATGGATTTTTGTCGCTGAAAATTGCATATTTAACTTTGTGTATGATGCCCTTCTTCTGAATCACCAAATTACTGTGCATTTTTAATGCTTTATTTCCCCAGTTGAAGTGCAGCTAAGAACTATGTCTAGCCTACTAAAAAGACAGTGAAATAATGGAAAAAATTACCTTTCTTTTCTTGGTTTCCGTTTTTCATCTTGTACTGATTTCTAAAACAAACCACAGAGTAATTAAAGAAATACTAAGAAGAAAGTTTATGCAAAGATGCAATTCATCAGTATGCTTGGTGGGGGAAGCGTTGTGTATTTTTTGTTAAAAGAAAGTACATAGAACTTATTTGTGGAGTAACAGAGCAAGTGCACCAGCAAAACCTCAGCATCTTTGTGACTAAACATGTCACTGAGAATGTGTTAGCACTGGTACTCCCAAAAATCAGTTACCATGCTTCGGGAAAAAAAAAAATAACAACAACCAACAAACCAGTGGAAATTGACTAGAATTTATGAATTGTACACTGCTTAGCCACTGAGAATCGGGGGTCCTGATGGACACCTCAGTAGGCAGGCAAATGCACAAGACAACAAGACATATAATTTCAAAATGATAGACTGATTTGTAAAACAAAACAGTAAAAGTCCCAAGTAAACTGTGACTTGCATGACCAATGGCTACCATCAGGTTTCACTTAATCTTGATACGCAAGATGAGTCAGAATGGAACTTGTCTCACATCTGTAGTGTGATGTGAAAGAAATACCTGCTTTTGTAGGAGGGGCCATAAGGCAAAGGAAATTAAAAAAAACCAACATGTTCTCATACTGTGCTTTAACTTTCAGGTAATCTGGGCATGATAATCATTACCCTGTTAGAGCTGTTGGTCATGGAGATTTTTTGTAAGGCAGAAAAGCCATGAAAGATGGGAAAGCTGACTGCCTTCTGGTATCTCAAATCAGAGCTCAGTGTCTTGTCCAGTGTCCAAGAGCAGAAGAAGAGGTATGTTCACTTCCTAAGCTTCAGTACAAATTGATAGCGAATCTTTACCTCACCAGTAAATTTTAAAGTTCTAAAGGAAAGACAGACTTCCCTTTTTTACAGTTTCTTGAAAAACACAATTAATTGAAAGCAATATTAGCTAATATATTGGAAAATTGCTGCTAAAAACTTGTTGAAAAAGTCTCCAACATCATTGCAGTTTTTGTTTGCACTGATGCGATGCCATTTTTCTGATACGGAGTTGGCTGCATAACAGATTTGTTTTCATAAAATAAAATGTTCCTGCCTGTATTGCCTCAGCTTTCTAAAAAGGCATTTGCTTTAGAATTATACTGAATTATACTTCTCAGACATTTTACAATACAGAATACAGTGTCATGTCTTTCATTTCAGCCCTTTATCTTACCAATCTTGTTTTCACAAAACACATCTTATTCTTACATACCAGTTTATTTTTAAGAATATCATTTCATTTTAGAATGCAATTGTTCCAAAGCTGTGTTATTTACAAGCCCCCATAATAAACCATAGCCGTATTTGTCTTTTTTGGCATGCCAGACACAAGTCTCCCTGCAGGCCCCTGTGACACCTTCTGTTGAAAGGAGAAGCAATTGCTACGGTTATTTTATTAGCTGGGCTCTCACCGGCTGCTAAAATAGGTCAGTAACATACAGGCACCTCGAGCAAATGAGTTTAATTGCTTTTCTGTTGGAACTGCTTTCTGAGCTGCTTTCACGCTTTCTCTCTTTTTGCTTACTTTCTTGCTTCCCCCCCATATATTAAGGGCACCAAAGTCAAGAATGGAAAGCAGACCTTGGTATCTGAACTTGGACCGAGGGCTATATATAGAGACCCTCAAATCCATTAGTCTCCTGAGCTGTTTGTATTTGCCAATTCCTTCATAATCACAATCTGACACATTTGTAAAGGAAGTTACAGTGTGCATACTAATACAGCCTATTTTAATATTTGCTCTCTCTGCAAGATCAAGCACTAATTTATACGCTCAAAATAGCTCTCCGAACGAACCTGCTTTTCCCCATGACTTATAAAGAATCTACAGAGAGCAAGCACTTATTTTAGGTATTGAAAGTGCAAATGCTGCTTATGCATATTATAAATGTAGATACGTTCAGGTACAAAAGTAAATATTGGCCCAATTTAGGGCTCCAAGCAGAGTAACTGCACCTTACTAATTTCAAACCTGGTTTGAGATTTGATGTTTTTGCAGGGCACAGCTCTCATGCTGCATCAGAAATGAACACAAGAACTAGGCAATTAAAAAGTATTTTTAGGTGGGAATTATCTGGCAGTTTAAGCCCACAGTAGCTTGCTAAACTCACATGTATTAAAGTGTAGTAGGTGGAGTCTTCAGGGTTATTTAATGTCTTGGGCTTCCGCGGCCTCCTTGGGGGTCTTTTCAGGGGGCGAGTGTCTTCTACTTTGGCTGTAACTGTGAAAAAACAGAAAATAGCAAAGCTTATTTCTTCATAGAATAGGAGGCTTCTATAAAGAGAGGAGGATTTCACCAGAGAGTAAAAAAAACATCCATTTAGCCACTTTCACTGCTTGCAGTCACTCAAGAATGCAACTGTTTGGAGCAATTCTGCAATCAGACTGGAAAGGAGAATGAATTTACTCATTTGAGCTCTGATGACCCACACAGACACATGCCATGTAGTGAATGCCACTCTGGAGCATGCCAGCACTCTGCCTGGCATAGATTTCTCCTTAGTAGGGTTGGTGCTGCTCACTGAGAGAGAGGCTCTGAGGGGCAGCGTCTGTTGGAATGCCACCAGCTCATGACAGGGAGCTGAGCAGGGTTGTGATATTAATCACTGAGGTGCCAAACAGGAGAAACAGCATTAAATCTCTTCTCTCCCTGATTCAAAGGCCGGACCTCTATGCTATCATGGTGTAGGTTTTCCCCAAGGTCTCCTGCTGAGGCTGTTCTGTGTGAAGTGAAAAAACGTACCACTGGGCAGTGTGACAATGCACACTGCACCCACTGCAATCTAGTCTGCATTCTCTAGTTTACTCAACTCGTGGACTCTGCTTTTGCAGAAATCTTCTACAGAAATGGGAAGAATGTTTTCATTCTAAAGGAAATAAAACCAAGAATTTACACAAAATGGAAACTGCTGTCCACTAGTTGTCTCCCAGCTCCAGGCTGGATGCTGACTCATGGGCTGCACGAGTCCCTGAAAGAAGCCATCTCTGCACATATAATTGAAGATAGTGAGGGTGGAATCAATAGCTAGCTGTCAATGAGCTAATGAAATGCATTCCGTTCATCTACTGCTTCATATGAAGCAACTCTGACTCCATAACCCAGATGTGCTAATTACACATGATTGCATCTCAGAAGGAAGAACATATTTTGTTCTTTAATGGCCACCAGAAACTCTTACACTGTTAAAATGAAACCTCTCCCCTGTACGTCAGACATCTTTTTAATTAAGGAGAAAGCATGATCATTTCAAATGAGAAATGGTCAGTAATGCATCATTGTTGACTCCTGCAAAATTAGCCGTGTAAGTTTTTGTTAGGTATGATAAATAAAGGCTTGTAAAGGTCATGGACATACAGAGGAGCCAGAGTGAATAATGTTCATTTAAATTGTAGTGGGATAATGATTACATTCATTGTCTTAGTTTCTTATCTGAAATGCAGACGGCTTCTCACGTAATGAATGAAACAAGTACTTTTTAACATTTTGCAATGTAAGAGAACAATGGTGTTTTTCTAATTCAAGGTACAGATAATTCCTATGAAATAATGAGATTCAGATGCAATAAATTCATTTCACTAACCTGTATGAAATATAAATTACATTCTTTTATTTGAAATGGTATGGCAGGCCTGACTCTGCTCCACATGGGCTGTTGTTACTCTGCTACATTTCACGTGGGCCTCCTGGAGTTATCTGAGTTTCCCTTTGGGGACAGTAGAAGAAAACCTTCCCTATTGTATTCTTAGAACCAACAGGAGCCTAACTGGAAACAATACCTTAAAAAAAAGCAACACCGTAACAAAACCCACAAAACCAAATTAAAAAAAAAAAGAAGCAAAAACCACAACCCAAAACAAAAAGCCCAATCCCTTAAAATTCTACATAATTCAAAAGAAACAGCAAACTGCTTGTGTGTAGGACAAAAACTACATCAAAGATCCTGACTGCATGAAAATCTGGAAAAAGAACATGGAATCAAACTGTGGGCTCTAAGAAAATCTTAAGATTCCAATAATACTTAATTTTTTTTTAATTTTCCCTTAAGAATTCATAAAATGTATACTGCTACATCATTGAATTCATCATTGTCAAGCATATTGGAGCATTCTCTTATTCTGTATTACAATTATTCCGGCTGAAATTAGTTGTATGTTTCTCATTTATTTGTTCTGCAAAAACATATTCAAAAAATCATTTTGACAATGGGGGTTTAGTAAAAAACAGCTTTTTATCTTGGCCTGCGCACTGTGCATATCTATGAGCTATTCTGAAGAACTGAGGGGACAGAAGCATTATCCTGAGGCAGCCAGTCTTCTCAGCTCGGACATCAACCATTCCTTTGTAAGATTACACAGAGAACAGAAAATGTCATTCTGCGTTTTGCCTTCAAATTACACAGTGGGTAACAGAAGCTTGATGGATTTAGCTTTCTTTGTTTCACCATAAAGTAAACTTGTGATTTGCATCAGTGCCTAGATTTGTGTGCTTGTTGCTACTGAAACACAGCTGATGTGGTAGTAGTTAGTTGTGGTATTGGACAATTCCCTGCACGGAGTAAGGTTTGCCTTTTGCTGCTACAAATTTGTAGCAGCAAATCTGCTTTCCAGAAATCATTTACTCAGTCAAGTTAAAGGTGGAAGGCAAATTAAATATCTAGGCTTGATAAATGGTCGGTTTGATGTGCTTGTTTTCCAGATGGTCTACACCTTTCTGCAGCAAGCAATGGAGCAGAACAGAGTAAAATCATTCACTTATTAACAGGCAAAATATGTTGCTTCATTACATAGAAAAGCTTTCTTTCAGAGCACTACAGTAAAATATGTTATTGCCTTTTCTGTTTAAAACTTCAAATATCTGCAGGAAGATCTGGTCCTGTGTCTTTGATCTGAAAGGGAAAACCGATGCTTCTACCTAATGAACATTTAAATATGCATGCCACAAAAATGATAAAAGTCCATTCAAAGAATCATACAATTATTAAGGTTGGAAAAGACCATTATTATCACCTAGTCCAACCATCACCACCATGCCCACTAACCGTATCCCTCAGTGCCACGTCCACACGTTTCTTGAACACCTCCAGGCATGGTGACTCCACAACCTCTCTGGGCAGCCAATGCCCAACCACTCTTTCAAAGAAGAAAATTTTCCTAAATTTCCACAGGGCAGTTAGCCTGTGCTCTGTGGTTGCACAGACGCAAACAGTGCTCCTGCACTGCCACGTACCTTAGTGCAATGCATAGGAGAAATTAGAAACAAAGACATTTGAAAATTCACTGACATTATTTTTTAAGATTTTACTAGCAGGAAGATGGGTCAAACAAATTTGAAAGCTGAAAAATTTCCTTCAAACTACAGAAAATTTGGAAAGCAGTGTCTATTTGAAACATTCAAGAACGGGAAAGAAATGCTTGAATAAAGATGAGTCAGTATCACTCGTCCTTTAGGCTGAACGTTCTGCACATCCTGACATACAGTGATAACCTTGGAAGACAACAATCTAGAGGAATCTACATCTATGGATGCTAATGCAAATTATCATCTGTCTTACAACGGATCACATACTGAGTACTGAAGAAATAGAGAGGCTACAGCTACGATAAACATCTGAGCAATGAAAGGTCTTTATTTATTAGGTCACCTGGAGAAACAGTTAAACCTGTCTGCATGTCACTGAAGTGACATGGTACTAGTTTCATTCAGTACTGCTCCACATCTTATGCAGATGGGAAGGATAAAGCCAGCCCCAGAATAAAGCAGGAAGAAAAAACAGGCAGGAGATCCAGTAATTGTCTGGGTTTTGCTGAGGAGACTGGAAGTAACCAGAAAAATGCAGGTATAGTAACCGGAACTACAGAATATGATAATAAAAAATTAGCAGCTATTGACCTTCCTCTTCCCTGCAAAGGCTGCCCAGGAAATCTGTGTAAGTAGTGCTCAGCAGCAGGGGGGTTCCAGGTGAAGACCCCACCTGTGTCACAGCTTTGTGGAGCTGAACGGGTTCTTGGCTGCTCTGAAGTGCCTTGTACCATGAGAATTTCAGTCTAAATACAGAAAATTCTCTTCCAGAGATTTTGTACTTGCAATGTCATTTAATACTTACAAGGATGGGCATTGTTATTCATCTGGTGGAAAAAAAGATAATTGTTTCCATATGATCAAGTTCCCTTCCTTCAGTTTTTGACCTCAAAAACTACACTGTGGCCTACTACATTTGTGCATCTGTTCTAACCTCAAATGACCCCAAGGCTCACTAGGAGCCCAAAGGGGCAGCCATTTTGGGATGCAAATGGGATGCAGCCATTTTGTTTAGCTGAATGTATTTAGTAAGCAGATGCAACTGAGTCGGTGATTTGAGCTACAGGGAATATTGCTTATTCTAGGAACCTTGTACAGTGTGCCTTATGCATTTTTATAAATACAAATAAATTCACTTATGAACAACTTAACCTTGTAGATTTAATATTCATTAAAACTTTTGGCTTGAATGTTCTTTAAACTGCAGGATTTACATTTTTATTAAAATAAACAGCTTTGAAAATCTGAACACTTGTCACAGTTTGCCATCCAGCTTTCCCACAGTTCCTCCCCTTCTGTGGATAGCAATATAATAGGATATTTTATCACAGTAAATTCTCAGATGGATAAAGGCCACCTCTCCACTGATGAAGGCAGACAAGCATTGCTATCTGTCATAAACCCATAAAATACACATCTCATGTTACAGTTATAAAATGATGTAAGAAACTAATGAAGCTGAAGAAGGTGTATAAATAAGTGCAAACCACCAGAATAATAAGATATAGACGTGATCTGAAGAACAGCTGATGCTCAACAAACACTGCTGTAGGGCAGGAAAACAAAAATGGCCCAAGAGGGAAACCCGAAGTAAAAACTGTAAATGTGTATAAATCATACTGAAACACAATGCAGGGAAGAAAACAAGAAAGCTCCTCCCTATTTAAAATACAGTGCATCACTCACGTCTTCCTGCCTCACTTTAGCATGGCAGTCTGCAGCACAACACCTCAAGTCTTTATTTTACACAGTTGTCTAACTCATGGCATACAATGGTTAAGGGCAAGGTAGGAGTTCAGTCCAGCTTCGTAGTCGAATAACACCTACAATTCTATTCTAAAAGCATCTACCTTTGAAAAAGTCAAAGAAAACACTGTCCAAAGATAGACTACCAGTACCATTGCTGAAATTTTTTGCAAAAGACAATTAGACATTATTAACAAGCATTTAATTTTTGCACCTGTAAATTAAAGAGAAAGTTAAAATAGGGGCCTAGTATCAAATCCAAATTTTCTTAAATACCATGCCTAGTGCACAAAAGAATAAAATGTTGTCATGTCAAATATTTATTGGGAGAAAAAAAAAATGAAGAAAATAAATTCTTTTGTTAATATCACATAGCATCATTTTGTAAAAAATTAAATTTCTTTCTTTTCATCAAAATGAGGCTAAAGTCCTGGTTTCTTATGCAACTCAACACTATTTTCATGGTTGACTTACAAAGTGTTAGGACTTGGTTCAAAGAAATGTATGACACTCGTTACATCTGTGTTAAAAAGGATACAAGCAGCACTTTCACACACTTCATCATTGGGAAAACGCTGTATTATGACACTGCAGGGGTATAGAATAGTGACATGTTCCAAGATAAAGTGAAGGTAAGTGGCTGACTGGTAAACACTTTAAGTGGGATTGCATTCACAGGTGATAAACTCTGGCATCCTTTTGTCTCCTGAGGAGCTAATTTATATCAATGCTTAGAGAGGACTCTGTACTACTCTGCTGCTGATACAGTTTTATCCTATTCACTTGTTAAATTCATGAGACCTTCAGCTGTCAAACAGCTGCACTTGTCTTGGTTGTATTTTGGGAACCCACTGCCCATACTAACTGGAACATAAGTAACTTTGGAATATGTTTTCACAAGTAGTATACTCTTAACTACAGAAGTTAAAAGGATGCTAATTACTAATACGAATTTACTTATAATTTTAAAGTCATTCCCATCAACATTAGGAGGAATTAGAATTTTTGATGGACTCAATTGCACTTCTGGGTAGCTTAAAATTTTACTCAGCAAAAATGTGCCCAACTTTGGTAAAACATTTGACATAATACCTAATATAGTCTTGTATTTTAGCCATTGCATACAACACTGAGCAACAATGAGTAAAAAAGAGCCAATGTGGAATTTTTACCAAATAAATGTACCTCTACAGATGCTATGACCAGGTCTTACAAAGATTCATTCACCAATTTTAACAAGCACTGAAACAAAATACCAAGAAAAAGGTAAACGTGTAAATCTCTACCAGGCTTGGATATTTCTCTGGAAAATGCCCTTGAGAACATGAATAGGAGTTGTTTCTTTACAGTCCTGCTGACAAAAGAAAAATTCTTCCTAACTGTTAGGTTCAACATTACCTGACTGACAAACATGAGCAGAATGTTGGTTGTTAGTTTGCTTATCTTTGGACATCATCACAGGTCTCAGCTGATGTGACAATATCATTTCATTTAATTTTTGCTGCAATGCTAAGTAGTCTTCAGATAATTTTGATATCTGAAAGATATAACACAGAATTTCTCATTGTTATATAGATATATATGGTCCAAGATAACAAAAGATAAAATGGTGGACTGGAGAATGAATTTAAAACATACTGCTCCAGCTGCTACAGTGCAAGTCTCTACCACACTCAATCTCTCAGTCCTCTCCTTAAAAAACAACTCAGCAAAGAAAAGTGTAGGAAATCCCACACTGCCACCCAGTCCTGCTGCTATTTGATACTGGTTCATTCAGGTGAGCAGGGGCTGCTTTGGTGACAATGGGACGCAAAACAGCTTCTGCAACAGGACACTTTTCTGAACATGTTTAAGTTCATGGCATTGACAAACAACTTGCATTTATGTTTACAGAGACATTAAGGCCTTGCCTCGTCAATGTATACTTCAAAGAAAGTCAGAGATTCTGCATTTGGGTTAATACTGACATAATTTTTTCCCCAGTTTTTTAACTTCATTTTCCCCTTCTTTCTGAAAAAGGGTATTTCTCTTGCAGCCCCAAATATGCATTTCTATGCAATGCTCATTAAAAAAACATCAGTCTCAGCTGAGAGAATGACGACCTGGTTCTACTGAAGCCAGTAAAATGACTCTGCCATTCTGTCATTGCTCAGCTTGTTACATATATTTCATTTATAAGCTTCTTACCTGCCGTGAAAAGGCTGCCAAATCACAAGTCTCTTTTTCAGATCCTCCCTTCTGTGTCTTAGAGCCCTCAGCCTCTGTCACACTGCTTTCCTTATTTTTTTTTGTTTGGGGATCTTTATTTTGAATGTGTACTGCTTCTGTTGACTCCTTTGCAGTGTTCTCTTGACTTTTGCAAGGTAATTTCCCTTCTTTTCTGAGTTGTCCTCTCCTTCTGTAACCCCGGTAATTGCTCTGAATAACCACTGCTGCTTTCTCTTTGTCCTCTAAACTTTGTTGTTCTGCTTCAGTTTGCTTCTGTGAACCTCTTACAGACTCTTTTCTTACAATTCCTTTACATCCTGTAGGTATCATTTCTTGTTTTAGATCATTTCTTTCCATATCCTTGTTGGTCTCAGGCTGGACCACAGCAGATTCTTGATTTTGCCCATCTGCGCTGAGCCTGTCTTGGTTAGCTTGCTCCTGCTGGGGACCAGGTTCAGCTGTGATTTTGACAGAAGCTTTGCTGGATGATTCCTTCGAGGATGCCTGTTCTTCACCTTCATCAGAATGCTCTACTGCAGGCCTCTGCTTCACAGAAGCTCTCTCTTTAGTAGATATTACCTTTTGCTCCTGTACATTTCCTATGTCACCATTCCCAGTGTGCTCATTATCATCAACACCTTCTCCTTGAGTCTCCTCATTCTCTGCTTCTTCCAGTGTAACATCTTCAGCTGGCTGCAGCTGTGCTTCAAGATATTCCACAACAGATAATTCTTCCTCTGCTATTTTTTTGCATTCTTCCTTTATTTTTTTACGGGCTCTGTAGCCCCTGTAATTGCTTTGAACAACGATAGCTGCTTCTTCTTCTGTTTTAGGAAGGGCACTCTTCACTCTAGCTGTACGTTCCTCATTTTCTTGAAGTTCTTTGTCCTTTTCCTTTTCGCTAGAGGATGCTGCATTCTCAGTTTCTTTCTTTCTAAGAGATTCTCTAAATGGAATAGAGTTTTGGGGAAAATTACAGTTGAAGGAGATGAAAGATAATGACAGCTTTGCAGTTCCCTTTTGTGAACTACCATCGTGTAGCAAATGGCAATTTGATAGATTGTAACATGGTGAAAATTCAGTGCATATAGCTAGAATTAGGGCCACAGTGTTCCTGCCCATTGTCTCCTGAGAAAGACTGTGGACTCCTTTACAGCTGTTCTCTACCTCTCCGGACCACTCTACAGTTGCTGAAATGCTGTCACTGAAAACAGGGCTGTGATGGCAAGTGCTCCACTTCAGACTGAGACTACCACCATGTTGCAGGGATGTTTACAGTGTGATTCACCTCCCCTTACTTTCTTTTGTCTGATCTGAGCAAGTCATCCAGGTTTCTGCTCGTCATCTCCTATGTTTATCAGACATTGACTTAAGACGAGAGCAGTTCCTTGCAGATGCCTACTTCCTGCTCTTCTCTGAGCATTTTCTTGCAATGAGCCCATTCCAAAAAGAGATTCATTTACAGGTTGTATTAACATTATAGTATCTCCTGGGCTTGAAAATACAAGAAAATTGCCTATGGACATTAAAAGAACTCAAAGTGAATATACATTACTATATATATCTCTAGAATAATTTGTTTCAGTACATCACATGCAGTTACTGAAAAGGGACACAGTGACATAAGAGACAGAAAATGTTACTACCTCCTCTTTTTGAAGCTCTTCCTCTCCTTATATCCCCTGTAGTGAGATTGAATTGTTGTTGCTGCTTTGTTCCTTTCCTCAGTTAGTTCTTTTCTCTTCTTCCTGAGTAAGTATCCTCTGGCAACTGATAGTAAATCGTAATATAAACAACCTTAGGCAACAAACAATGGATACCCCCAAAATTTCAGACACATGGTAACAGTATTGAAGAAGTAAACCAACAGTAAAAGGGAGAAATAAGGAAACACAGACTGGGGTGGTAATTCTGGTTATATTCAGCTGAAATTACTTTTTTTCAGAAAAATTGTTGAGATTTCAGAAAGCTGCAGCCGTTCTATGTGAAGATACAACCAAGGTTTTTCTCAGTATTTTGCTGGACTAAAGAAAATAAAGGAAGACATAGAAAGAAACATTGCTGCTGAGGTACCTCCAGAACCCCATGCTCTATGCTTCATGTACCTGCTTTGCCTACTTCAGGCAATTGATGTGACTCCAGGTCCCTCATTTCCCAGCGAAATACCTGACTATCACAATATAGAGAATACCAGCCTTTCTTTTGGCAGAGACATGCAACTTTAATTCCTTAGGTAAACATTTACTTGATCAGAGAAAAATCTGAAAATGTTATAGCTCAGCAGTAAGAGTAGACCTAGCTCATAATCCTCTTCTCAGTACTTTGTGAGAGGTGCAAATTCAAGAGTCTCTGACATGCAGGCACCCTCACCATTATGCCAGCTGGTAGTTTAAGGGCTGGGATTCAACTCCAGGTGAAGGTGACTGAAGTGAGGTGTGTGTATGAATGTGTTTACAATTGTCCTTTGTCTCCAAGCTCTCATTAAAGTCAATGCCTAGTCACTAGAGGGTTGATGCCCTTGCTGGCATATGGCTATTGAGCGCCATCTGAAGTGCTTCAGGATGCCCACGGCATCCACATGGAGCTGGCATAAAGGACAAGACAGATGGGGCTTTTTGGGAAGAGAAAAATGGGCGTGTCACATGAATTAAAGCTAGAGGCCAGAAGGGCCAACCTGAGACATCTCAAATATCTCTACCAAAGCATTTGGTGGTTTAGAAAAAAATGAATCAAAATCTAGGTTCTGCTGACTATGAGGAATTTAGACATCTAGTCACTTTTAGGGTTCTACACTGAGGTGACACATTCAGAAACCGTATCCCGCTTGGCGTGTTGCTTCAAAAATTCCTGAACTTGCAAATCATTTCCCAATGGAAACTGGCACACTCTCCGCAGCACTGTGATTTGGGCAGGCCTGCAGTTTGATGCGTTCAGCACAAATCTGCTAATCCTTGGCAAAAAAAGAACAAGATAGTGTTTTGTCCAAATGTTTCTATTGCACTCCAACTCTAAATGCAGCATCAAAACTGCAGTGATAGAGGATTCAGGTGATTTAACCATCCTGAGGAGATGGTAGATATGGGAGCTTACTTACTCCAGCTCTGCTGAGTGTTTTGCACTACAAGGAAATGTCAGGCTCATTTAAGAATGGAAAAGGAGAATAAGTAGTCTGTTCTAGTGTGTTCATAAAACTTTATGCTAGGTTTTGTTTTTCTTTTCTTTACTGTTCCCTCCTCAGAATTTAGACTAGCTTGGGCTCCTCTAGATGCTACGAATCAGCGTAAGAAGCACTGTATGAAGGGCACATAAATTACTTACTGATAACTGGATATAAGTTAAAGGAACCAAAATACTTACTGGAAATGGCACAATTGGTTTCATACTGCTACCTGACAAGGCTATCGAAAAGTGCAAATTATAAAGCACTTTGTATACTTCCCCAGTTTCTTGGACTTCCTGAGCAAATTCTCATTCTATTTCTATACAAAAAAAAAGTCAATAGGAGATATTTAAAATATATCAAGTGACACTGTCAGTGGAAATGCCACATAAGCCAAGTATGCTCTCTTTAGACTTATGAATGTCTGACCTTTGAAGTTGGCTGAAACCTTTCTTTTGAGACAGTAGCTGTCTCAACACTGTTTTCAAACCAGAAGAGGAGTTTTGTATTGCTTTAAGAATAAATAGGAAAAAATTACTGTGAGAGGTAACATTGGCTCAGTGCCATTAACAGATGCATCTGACAATGACTAAAACCAATACTAGTGTTGGTACATGCCCACAGAGGCATACTGGAGATAGTTTAGATCTAGATAGCTCGCTTACTGGCAACATTAGCTTATATTTGGGGTTACCACCTTTGTAATTACTGAAGGTGCACTGCAGATTTGAGCCAATTTTTTTCAGACCTGTGCCTCTTTAGTTGTATAGACACTTATTTCAGAGCTGCCTAGACAACATCTGGCTTTGGGATGTCTCTGCAGGGACAGGGGAGAAAGAAATATAGGAAGGGAAAAAGATATAGCATACAACTAGGTGCAAGGTGATAACTGCTGCTGAAGAGAAATACTAGTTGGCTAGCTCAGATTGAGCCCTGGCAAAAAGAAGTCAGACATGAGTGCAAGTACAGGTTGTTGTCTTCTCAAACGTAACAACTATCACTGATACGTTACAAAACCTATTCCTAGCAGAACAGCATGAACACACACATTACATGCAGATCATGTCATACGGGGTTTCAGCAGCACCAGCTGCAATAATTAGATGTATCAGACTGGGAGTGAAAAGTCTTGCTATGGCATTTTGCCAGCCCACTTCATAGCTGTAGAACATGACTCTGCTGCTTTGAGGTACCAGTAGTGGAATACATCAATCTGCCTCAACCTCTGCAGATAGCTACATGATGGATAAATTATACCTCAGAAAGTGTAAATGAGCATAGTCAGTAGTGTGCTTAGGTCAGAGCAAAGAATCTGGATCAACGTATTTTGTTTGGATAGAACATTAAAAACCAGGAAAGCAAACAATTCTTACTTGCTTGAAGTCTGATGATGTATTTTTCAATTTTTTTATTATGTTTTGCATTCTGGTATTCTTTGCGAGCAACAAAACCCCTGTAAGCTGGAAAGAGATGTGAAAAAATAAAGAATCCATTAGGTACACAAAAGGGTTTAAGAATAAAATAAGTCTGGAAGGAATTACAGACTTCCATTAAAATATTTTTATAAAAATTTTGCAGGCTTTATCTTTCCAAAACCAGCAAACAAGCATAAGCACTATGAACCTCCATTAAAATTACATTTTCTGGCGAGTTATGTTACTATGAATGAAATGAATACAAAACACAGTAGAATCAGAATGTACAGCAAGATGATGTATGAAATGTATTAAAAATTTCAGCTGATGTCTCCATCAACAGTGTAATTGGTCTTATTATCTGGGATGTTTAATCCATTATATTTTTATTATTATATTACACAACCTTGACAGAGCATGCTAGAATATTATTAATAACACTATCATTTACAGAATCACATCCTTCCACTTAAAAAATTGTCTTTAAAGGTAATATTGATAAATGCAACTTCAGTAAGAAGACCGTCATAAACTGTTCAAAAGAAATTTTTCTTCACAAGAGCAGAAATGAAGTATCAGACATTTTGTAAAATATAACAACAGTAAAACAGCAAAATCCATATCCAGCAAGCACAGCTGCATACACGTGCTAACTTTAAGCAAATCTTCAAATGTTTTAAAGCTATTACCTGATTGTATTTTAATAGCGCTTCGTTCCCTTTGTTCCTTTATCTTTTTGTATCTCCTTGAGCCCAGCCATCCTCTGACATAAGCTTGAATCAATATAATCCTATCAACTGTCTCTTTGCGCATTAAATTCAGCTGTTCCACGTGATAGTATTTGAGAAATACCTTAAAAAGAGGAAGCAGACAAGCAGTGGTTTTAGTTACTATGGCTTACATAAACTGGCCCCCGCAGTCCCGGTATTCACTCAATCTACTTAGAATCTACAAGTTACAAGTTGGTGCCAGCAGACCTCTTACTTCTATTACCTAAAAGATCATTTTTGTTAAAGAATCTTGTTTGTTGTAGTATTGTTTTACCTTACTCTCTCATTCAACAAAGGCGATCCAAATCTGGAACTTTCAATGTCTTATTTCCAAGTTTAAATCTAAGGCATAGCTTATTAATTAAATTTATTTTATCAAGCATGAAGCTGATATGAGCTCCTACTGGCCAAAACCTTTTCTCCTCCCATTGTGAGTCTGGTTGCTCCAAGGAAGAGGAATAAGTGGATTCTTACTATCGCATTTTTAGAAATACAATACAAGCAGCATCATTGGTCACATTGGTAAGGTAGACTTCATTACAGTTGATCAGAAATTTTAACACATTACTGGGTCAGGATTTCAGCCAGATACTAAGGAACAGTTCTGCAAAATATTTTTTGTCTGCTTTGGTTTTGTTTTAGTACCAGAAGAGACCAAGAACAACTCCAATCAAATGAGTAAAGAGATTGAGAAAACAAACTGCCTAGTAAATTAACAGTGACATGCTGCAATAATGCTGATTTGGTATATGTACTGTACATATAAAACAACAGCAAATACGAAAGGTTACTTTAGTTCTTCCAAGAACCCAGTTGTCAAGGTGGGCTTTTTCCAAGATGGCAGCACAAGTTTCTGGGCTGACTGGAGGATCATCATTTGTTTTGTAACAGATGAGATAATACCTAAAGACAAATAGATTATTCCATTAACAGCAAGCAGTATTTGCAAATATATCTAAACCGTTCATTTACATTAATAAAAACAGTTCCATGAAAGAAAACATAGCACTGAAAAAAACGAAGAGTACACCAAGAAAACTGCTGTGATTTATACATAGTACTGAGAAATTCAATTAAAAGCAGATAAGTGACATACTGCACACCCTGGAGGGATTTTAATTCTATACCAACACTGGGAGGCTTTAAAAAGTGTGCAGCTCAAGCAGGGTTGTGTGCCAGTTCTTTGTTGCTCTGACTGCACTCTGTGAATTATTTCAGTGGTAAAATAAAAGTATTTGTGAAGATTTTCTGTCTAAATTAATCTCCGTCATAGCTAGAAATGTCATGAAGATTTCATATCTTAATTCTTGTTCTAGACCATCTACCTTTTAGAGGGCTAACATTATGTGAGATGCATCCCAGCTCTTGTTACTTCCTTAGATTGAAAATTACCCATACCATACAAATTCAGCTGGCAGGTAGAAGTGTACTTGCATGTTCCAGGACTTTTTAGAATGCCTCACTGCAAATTGAATTGTACTTGTCTTGTTTTTGGTTGGTTTTTTTTTTGTTTTTTTTTTTTTTTTTTTTTTTTAATTCAGAAAAATTACGTTAATATACTATGTCTGCTTCCTGACACTGCATTCTATTTTTTTTTTCCTAGTTATTGAGCCTTCATATGCTAAGTATGGATTCTACCAGCTTTAGATGAAAGTAACAATTCCCACAGAGAATAATAAAAAAATGAGAGAATGCTTTTTCCTGCATTATCACTACCAATTCCTATTGTAAGTTTCAAATAATAATAATAATAAAAAACCAGGGAGATACGTACCTGTTAAAGATCTCTTTTTATGTAATGCTGTATCAGCTATGCTTGAGACCTGCACAGCCTCACTGCCATCAGGGTCATGCTCTTTGGAGAGCTTCCTCATTGTGGTCACTGATTTTCTTTCCTTTACCAGAGCAGTACAGTTTTTGATAAAAAGTAGCAGCTAAAAGCCACAGCACATCTTGGTGCAGTGATGACTACTTTTTCCCACACTGCACTCTTCCAAGACTGTAACAGTTCCAGCAATACTTTTTCCAGAAACTATGCTATTAAAACATCACTTTGTCCTTCCTCTCTCTCCTTGTGCACCAGCAGCACTCCATGGCTAGCTCTCTGTTTCTAGGGCACTATTACTTTTAAGCACTTCTGAGTGTCTGTTGCTTGCTTTTTCCCAGTCTTGCTTTCCATTTCAGAAATCTAAGTTCTGATTGAGGCAAATATTCAGGGTCTTTATTTGCAAAAGAGGACTACAAGCTAAGTACTCAGAATTCATTTTTGGAGGCAGTGGGAGAAGAGAGTTAATTATCTAATTATATAAAATTATCATTATTCATTATTCTTCTTAACGAATGGTCAATACTTAGAAATTGTATTTTAAACAGAACTATGCACTTAATGAACTTCTCAGCCCTAAATGAGCAGTTCCAAATTATCATCAATCCCTGCCAAAAGCACATGTTGCACAGTGCTGTATATCAGAAGCTGGAGGAATGGGGACAATTCTCCAAATTCTCCACTCCAATTTGAAGCATTAAACTCCTAACCCTCAAATCTCTGAGGAAAACTTTCAGATTATAAGCAAGTCAATTTCTACCCAATGCACAGGGAATCTGAAACAATCATCCTGAGATGCATAATCTTTCCCTACCAATCCAGAAGGGCTCACAAATCTTGTGATTTATCTATTTTGTCATCCAGTCTGCAATCATCTTTGTAACAGAAAACATCTCTGTATTTTTTTAAACACCATGCCAAAGTCATGCTTATCAAACTCTGAGCAGCAATGACGCAAGAGAAAAAAACACTTCTTCACATCCATATTACCGTTTTATGAAGTTAGCAAAGAGTATGCGGTGCGAATAACCCTGTCTTCGAATCCTTGCTGTCTCCAGAATTCCTGTGTAACGCAGCTGAACCAGCACTTTTTCTTTATCAAACTTGTTTGCCTGCCGGTCATTGTTTGGCTTGATGCACCGGACAAAATGAGGCTGGCCAACCACCATTTTGGATAACAAATCCATGAGTGAGTACTGAAAGAAAGGAACAAAATATCCAATGCTGGGATGCTTAGAAAACTTCCACGTAGTTCCACGTGTAGCTGAAATTTTATTTTATATGATCAGAAACACGTGAAACACCATTCACATTTCAGTAAGAAGGAACTTCAACAGTAGATGAAGTAAATGGCCCACCAGCAATTCCAGCTTCAAAAAGATCAGCATATGATTGAGGGCCACACTGACCCTCAACGGGTCTATCGTAGCCCATCCAGAGCATTCTTACTAAAATTGCAATAATTTATGGTACTGCCAATAACTGAACTCCTGCTTTGTTTTGGGAAGCAGCATTATCTTTAATCGCAGTTCTAAAAGCTGATCTGTTTCTTACAAGCTCCCTGATGACCAGTGCATGTAACAGCAGCTGGTGGGCTGGGTTGGCCACATTCAGATCAAGCTGTACATTTAGCAGAAACAAAGCACTGTTTGCTAGAGCATAAATGAATTCTATGTACAGCTGCAGAAGAGGGAAGAGTTAAATGAGGAATATTTCTAAAGACATCCCACTCATTCTCCTGAAAGGCGCAAGTGCTTGACTGCACATTTTATGCCTAATGCTGAAGACAGGGAACAAATAAGTGTTTGGAGCAAGTGCATCAGGCTTGTTGTGTGCATCAGTGACTGAGCTATTAGTGACAGTGCGGCTGTTAAAGGTGTTAAATGCTGTCAGACCTGATGGAAGGGCAGTGTCCCTGGAAGCCTCTTCCCAGACACATCAGTCTAATACATGATAGAAACTCTCCTTGTACTTCATTATTTTTCTTGGAATCTTGTTAGGTAACTGCAACCTGCTTTTGTTTCTTTTTTTGTTTCTTTGTTTCTTTGTTTTTAACCTACTGTCAACTATTTGAGGATCTTTATTCATCCAAAGAGAAAGTGTTAAGGACGGGAAGTGGAAAAGCAACAAGCCAGTAAACATCACCATCCCTGCATTAAATTGGAAGAAACTAAAGTCACCCCAGAAGAGGGGTTGCTTAATCTACTCTGATATAGCATGTCCTCTTTGTTGTATAGGCTGATGGTGACACTACAGCTCCCCTACCGGGAGCAAAACTTTGAGAGGGGCAAAACTAAAAATGCACAAAATCAATCCCAAGTTGCATTTTTCCCACCTCACCAGGACGCCAGGCTAGCAGAGAGGGTGCTACTTGTAGCTCCTCATGCCAACTGAAAAAAACCTCGGTTTGTATTTCATAACATTGCTTTGTAGGAAGATCTTATTAAGACACAAATGAACAGGCTCATTCCTCAAGATTCAACCTGATTCCTCAGAAGAAGGCAGCCAGGATGTCGTGCAGTTCACCAGTAGGTTAGGCACATGAAACTGGTGTAGCATGTCAAGAGCCATATGTTTCCTATTAAAATGTGCAACTCCATTCTGGACAAATGCTGTACAACGCAGCAAAGTGCTTAATTAGCTTTATTACTAGTGTGGCAGTGAAACACAAACAAGTAGGACAGGCTAATGGATATGCTTTTTTCTACTCAGCCTGGGAGGCAGATGGTTTTCTCAGTCACCCAGGGATTTCTGCTTAAGAGCAAACCACTGGTGAGCTGAGTTTTCATTTGAGAGCATTAGCTAGCATGATCTGACCAGGGATTTCCACTATAGAAAACAGTAAAAGAAAACTGCAAATATAATAACTCATCCTTGGCTTCTGTTGCTAGATTTGTCGGTAATGCACTCAATCACAGACATGAGCTTTGAAGTAGATTCGATACATCTTTCCATCCAGAATATTAACGTACCATCCAGCTTTGAACCACCATGATACCTCAACTTGAATAATCCTTGGTAGACCAAAAAGCTGTGTAATTGTGTTTACTAACAAAGAGATCCTGCATCTTACTGTTCTCTGTCTCAGACATAAACGAACTCTTACAGGTCATAGACATTACCAGAGCCACGTTTACATTTCTGCTGGGAGACAGGAGTTATGAGGAGTTGGAGCCTCAGAGCTGTGCTCCAGTCAGCCAACTCTGTGCATGATTTTGGAGGAAAGAATGTCCTTCACAGGTATTTTCTATGTCAGAATCAGCAGCACAGCCACTGCTTGAGAAAGTAAAAAGCACTGCTGAAGAAGCCAAAAGGACGGACCCCAAATAGCCTCTGTGAGCATCAAAATCTTCCTCTGTACCTCCTGTTCCAAATTAGCTTTGCCCTTTTACTTCTTAAGATCTTAGGGAAATGCTATGCAACTAGTCTTCTCTTATGTCCCTTAGGAAAAAGCAGGCAGATGAAAGACGATTCATACAGAGAAGCGTCATGACAGAAATACGGCTGTGTATTTGAGTAATATTAGATGGAACATCACAGTCTCCTTTAGATATTTGTACTGCACAAACTGCTGTGCCCTATATGCATGTCACATACTCTAAATTGACCATTGTTGACTCTAAGATAACAAGTGTATTTCAAAAGCTGAAAGAATGAATACTTACTCTACTCTAAAAAAAAAGGTGAAAAACATCTGATATCTTACTCTGAAATAAGAAGCGACTGTTTGTGTTTTCATACTGGTTGTCTCTCTTGGATGATGTCCAGTATCTCCTGATTCATTCTGTATAGATGAAGAAAGAAAATACACTTCTTATCTATGTTGAGCCTACAGTGCCCTTTCCAAAGCCTCAACCAACCACTTCTTTGAGAACATCAATTAAAAAAAAAATAAATACTAAAAACTGGAAAAATTACTGTATGATCACTAGCACAAAGTAGTTACACCAATACAATACATTACTTTGCTGCACAATACACAAACATTCACACACAGAGGACACAGTCTGAGAGCAGAATATCTAAATAACTGCCACAAATACCTTGACAATGTCTGAGAACCTGTTATTGTGGACCACTGCTATTGTGGTCATTCTCTATGGAACATGACCATATTTCACACCAAATTACTAATTTTTATTTTTATTTTTTTCTGAAGCTTTTATAAAACTATAGCGAGAAAGAAGGGAATGTTAGTTTTTTTACCTCACGGAAGGAATATGAATTGCACAACACAAAGATATCCAGCTAAACAGAAAAGAAAACAGGAGAGGGAGAAAAACCATCGAAGGGGTTACTCGCTTACTTTTAGTACCAATAACAGTATTGCCTTTGTAGTTTAATTTAAGATTCAGTGAGGAATCGTGATATCAGCTTTCTTACCTTTGTGCGACTGATTGATTTCTGGGGGGTCCACATCTGGTAACTGATTGTAGTTTTGCTTTTACTGTGTGCCAGGTTACCTATGGGAAGATCAAAGAATGCAACCTACCAAAATGCTTAGATCTCATCTAAACTGAAAAATATGTTGAACCACCTTATTCAGTATAACCATATGATTATAAAAGACATTGACTTTTTCTGTGTATGCTATCATTTCTCTTTGCACCCTTGAGATGGAACAAGCTCTGAAGAAATTGCAGGAAGATGGAACAGGACTGAATTTTCTGCCTTCAGCATTTATATCACCTACTAGAGCAAAAAAAATAGAGAGAACGCTGTAGAAGGTGAAGAAGATATATCTTATAGTATCCATGAGCTTTTACCCTGAGGAGGTTATTTTGCTATCCTAGTTCTAAGGCTACATATATAAGAAAAAATTATATGCCAGCATCTTTCTCTAGCTCTGAGGTCAGATGACATGGCATGACTCAAGTCTATATAGCTAAACTCGATACTTCTCCACTCTCCTACTCCACTGGTAAAAATACAGTTGCATCCCCCCACAGAGCTTGTTAGAAACCTTTGCTAATTTGTACTTTCTTGTGAAGTGTGCCTGGGTATTCCTGGGAGAATGCTAGCTGACACTGATCAAAACTGTCCCAGGGTGACACAGTAGCAATTAATCATAATGGACAATCTTGTGGCAGTGTTTTGGCTATTGTCTGATAGCCCTGTTTTGCTTATTATTACAGACATAGTCTTAAGACTGCAACCTTGGAATTCTTAGCCAAAAACTACCCTTATTACAATGACTTAAAGGAAAAGGTTCATAGGAGTGGTTTATATAGACACTGACTTTCTAAAGAAACAGTAAAAATACTACTGGACTTCACACCATGTTGCCTTATGTTGATAAATCCCACCCACTGCTGTACGCTGCCATTGCTTCTGCTATTAATATAACACCTGTGAAATCTCACTACACACTGTGAGAACCTACAATCTCTCTGTGCTTAGCTACTGTAAGTAAGAGAAGGATAAGAGTAACATAAAAGTTGGATAAAAAGCTGCAACTATATGGTATGCCCAGTTAATGCATCACGGATTATGTGATGGTATCAAGTGCAAAAATCCCCTGTGCTTAGCTAAATATCACTGGGTAGAAAGGAAAGAGAGATTACTCTCATCTAACGTTGGCTATCTGGAAGTGAGGTGTCTACCAGATCTCCACTGCATTCAGTGAAGACAGGGACCTTCAGAAGAGATTTATCTCATCCCAAGAGAAACACTGAAGATGGATAGGATCGGTTGGACTCTGGTTATACCTCAGTGTTTCCACTGACTCTATGTGAATGACTTAGACTGGAAAACTAACTTTTAGTTGGTTAGAGCTGGATTGTTTACGTCAGTTTCGAAAGGTGCAACATTTGATTTTGATTAACAAGAAAACTAAAATAATCTTCAGAATCATTATTGCAAAACATTACAAAAGTTCTTGTACCATTTGGGCCCTGACCTTGGCTCTACTGAAATTATAGTTTAACATCTTAGCAGATGTAAGTAATGTTCAGAGAAGGACACTGTGCTCTGTGCTTTCCCAATAATACTGACCTAAAATAGACTTTCAAGACTAAATTTTGCATTCCACCAGCAAAGCTTCCTTCATGAGTAACAGGAGCTTTGCCAAAGCCCTAGCTTCTGTAAGTTATGATAACACTTTGGAGAAATTTCCATTAGGCTCTTTCAATTTAGTTTTCTTGTTCTTCTATGCAGTGGTACAAGAAAGTACTGTTGTAAAATACTTATTGTACAGCATCAGTACCCTCACACAGGGAGAAATATACACAATAATAAGTAACCCCTGCCTGTATATAATACACATAACAGCAGTTACCCAGTAAATTCATGGTAAACTTAAAGACAAGACACAAATGATGCTTGACACCTAGATTTTCTGGTTGTAAGGATAAGAAGACTTACCTACGATCAAAAAAGACAAGTAAGACACTGTACAAAGGACATAATTCAACTAAGGTGCAACTTTACTTAGAAGTAATGCCTGTAGAGCCAGTTACATTCCTACAACCCCTTGTAAACTCTCTGAGGAAAAGTTCACTATTAGGACCTCAACAGTTAACTATTATAATGGACTAAGACTGGGGAAACAGTGTCTCCTCTTTCTTTGCAGCAGAGGTTAGGAACCCATCTGGGTTCTCTACTACTTTCAAAAAAAAACTGCATGAGACAAAACAGACAACTTACATATGCCCTGTCCAAAAAAGGCCAGTGACTTACCTGATCCTTTTTGTTCAGTCCTCAACTCAAGAGATGTACTCCACTCCCTGTCCCGAGCCCCTAACCTGAAGAGGGGACCCTGAAAGAAGCCTCTACCACTTCCTTCGCACTTGACCAGACCAGTCCCTCCCCTGCAGCTTGAGATGGCAGGGGCTCCATTCTGTATAGATTCTAGGGTTGGAAAGTTAAGCCACAAAGTGTATAATGTCATAAATAAATGGTCATATGAAATCCAGCTGTGGTCAGCATGAAGGCTAGAGAAGGATAGTAGGAAGATTACCACAATAGCAATACCTGTTTTTGTAAGAGGATGCATTACCAACTGTCGTATCAGATTGTTTTCAGATGATCGCAGAAGCAGCACAATATCAGCTGGCAGAGTATCTCTATTTTTGGCCAGGAATCCACTTGCATTATACAGAACCTGTTTAAAAAGTGCATTTATGCATCTTCCGGGCTTTTGAAAAGTAGTTGTAAATTCAACCACTCTGGCATGTGGCTTGTAATATATTAAGAGACATTAATTTTTCAGCCATGAGGTTTGCTCTTGCTCACAGTCTTTCTTTTGATGACAGACAGTTTTAACTTTTCAATATTGAGAGCCATTATGATGCAGATTACTAAAAGCAAATCTATTACTCCAGAGTACCTGGAGACACTCTTATGCCCTCATGCAGGGAATACTAGTTTTAATCAGTGCGGATTTAGCAGTAGAATAACTGTATTGTAGCCATCCTTTACACTAGTACAGGTGTAAATACACAACAAGCAGTGAACTTGCTTTCAGCCCTGTTGCATAGGGTTACCCATATTGTGCAGTCTTTCTGTCCCATTCATACTGGGCCCAGGACTTGCCCTCTTCCTAGAGAACCCTGCATTAACTACAAAGGAAGTTTTCAAAGTAACAAGCTGCACGTGAGATCTCCACAAACAAATCCAGGCATGGGATATCTAACTCAATATGTACCTCCAGAATTCTATCTGTCAATGACTCACAGGAAAACCAGGCCAAAGTGTGGCAAAAGCTGGCCAGGAAGTGGAGGAATCAGGAATGGTACAGGCAGAGCTGACTCCCCACTCCTCAGCAGTGAGATAAGCAATGCTCATTAAACATACATAATTTAGCAGATTAATTTCAGAGGTGTCACCACAGGACTGTGTTATACAAGGGGAAAGCAATCTTCCATCAGCTGACGGGAAATGCGGGTGCAGCGCTCGTTCCAGACCAGCTGCTCCTGTTCTGCACAGGCACAACAAAGTTTCCCATGTGAGACAGCAATGCTTACTCTGTACCCTTGAAAAGAGCCCAAAAGGAAGTGTGAGCTCCTGCTTCCACAAGGTTCAGCTGACCAGCAGCATCTTGCCTTAGCCCATCAGCGACTCTTCCTGAGTTTGCAAAGACATGTTCAGCAAGTCACCTTGTAGAGCAGGGCAAGATGATGCTCATCAAATAAAGCAGAAAGCATGGCCTTTGCTATCTGTCTAATGAAAGCACATAACTAAGTAGTAAGGCTGATGGGGTGAAGGAAATACCAAAAGGGAGAAGGAATGGAGCTGGAGCCCATTTTGAAGCAGCAGGAACAAGTATAGCAGATTTAGAGGAGCACCAGGTTGCATTAAAGAATGTTGACTTCTTGGTTCTGCTGTAATACAGTCACTTCCTTTAATGGGTGACATTGAAAAACACACATTCACTATTGATTTTATGTTACTTTTTTTTTGTGACAAAAAATACATTTTTTACTTTTGAGGTATAGTATTTCCATGTCAGACCTGAATAAAAAAAAGATTAAGAACCAACCCAGCTGACCTCTGTGATTTCCTTCCAGACCTACTGTTCCACAATCCCCAACAAATATCAATAGGTCTCTTACCTTTCCTGCATAATGATAAATCCCAAATGTTAAATCTACTCTTTTGGGTCTCCAAAAATACTTTGACTTCAAATTATCCTCAAATTTTTCTAGAAGGAAACACATTATTGGAGTTACTTAATTGTCTTCTGAATCTGCATCCATCTAAAGATGTTTCTTGACTTCTCAGACAATACAGCGGCATAAAACGTGCTGATGTTTTAAGGAGAAAGAAAGTATAATGGTCTTGTAATAAAAGACACTCTGTGGAGAATATGGGAACTCTTGAATCAGTTATTTTCTTCGTACCATTTTTTTTTTTTTTTTTCCACCTCAGAAAGTCATTTGTATTTCTAAGTGTTTGATCTTCATATACAAAACAGTATATGAACAGAGCGGTGAGGAAACATTTACCTGTTGGTTGGGGGGCTCTGTACTGGAAACTATATAAGATTAGAAAAACAATGAGCTTATATAAATGCTTATTATGGATATTGTTACTAGGTTTTGTGTTCAGGCGTTGGTTAAAACCTTCATCTGACACTGTGCACATTCAAAAATCATTAAAACATTAATCTGCTCAGAAACCTCACTGAAATGCTGAGATTAACTGTGAGCACTCAGTAGCACTGAAATATTCAGGATCCGAATCACAATAAATTTGGATGTTTTAATTTTAATTTCCAAAATAAACGGAATTGGAAACACAATTTGCAGAAAGGCACCAAAGCAAGGTTTGCAGCCTTTACCCTTAAGGAATACCAAAAGTCTTGTTCAGATATGGTTCATGTTAATTTCCAGAACATTTTGGAATTCTGAGCGTAACTCAGCTTTGAAAACAGTGTTCTTGGCATATGAACCTAGAGGTTTAAATCAGTTTGACCTTTATCTTTTAAGCACAATAACTAAAAAAATCCTGAAGATGGAAGAATTCAAAACCTGGCTTAAAAACTTAGGTTCCTTTGTACTCCTAACATTTCTTCTATCAACTTCAAAGATGTATCCAGCATTGCATGCATGCCTCACTGAAATATACTGTGACACTGGAATGTGGACTCACTGAAAACAACAGCTAGCACATATACCCTGAACTAGATAAAACAAACAAAAACATAACAGGGAGATACCCTGCAAAATTACAAAACAAGCCATACACTTACCTACAAGTGTCTGATCTGTTGCTTGTGGGAATCGACTTTCTTCATCAAGCAGGGATAATAAGCCCATTGGTTTCTGCAAGAACATATCTAAGAGCGGCCTGTTGTCCTCATATTCTATAACTCTTGCATCAACACCTTCATACAGGTACTCATTCTGTAACAAACAACAGAAGGCACATTATATACAGAACCAGTTCAGAAAATAATTCATGAACTGTCAATTATAGGAAACTAAAACTACATGGAATGAGTATGCTGAGATGCTAAAGACATGAAGGGACGTATCACACTGCCAAGCTACAGATTTTGATTTGCCATTGGACATTTAAGTGATTCCTATGGCATTTTTGCAAAAGTGACTGGAGATAAGAGATGCCTCAAGTGTTTGATTCCCATCTTCAAACATATGGAAAAGCTCTCACACTGGGAAGTATGGTGCAAACACTTTCTAAAAATTACATAAATAGTGTCAGATTGGCCTCTACTTTTATTTTTTTGGTTCCTTTTAAGAAATGACAGAAAGGTTTAAGAATTATTAATAAACAACAAAGGAGCCAATTCTTTTTTCTTTGCTGAAGACTATGGATATCCTTAACTTTCCACAAGACTGAGAATAACCTAGTAACAAAAGCTGTATCCACAGGGTGCTGCAATGATTTTTTCTCAAAAATTATTTAAATTACAGCTGGCCAATACAAGAATGACCTTCTTTAATCCTTCAGCATGGCAGAGGACAGGCACAGATTTATCAAGAGAAAGATGCTCTAGGGACCCTTCCATTACTTTTGTCTTCATTACATAATGCAGTATATGAGGGAGCATAGTGCTCTTATATATACCAAGGCTGCCTTCAGACCCATGCAGACTGCTCCATACACTATGAAACACATAATTAAGCCTTTTGAGCTACTCTAAAAATAATTTCCCTTCCAAATAATAGGACTTTATAAAAGTGTTATATTAATTTATGATGTAATGTCACAGTTGGGCTACCCTGAATTCACTGTAAATTGAGTGTCACAAACACGAATGATGGCTAATATTAATGAGTTCAAAGACCTCTAGCCCCAAAGCCTTTCCTTATGTGTCATTCACTTGAGTTTGAATGACAGTCAGGGGTGAGTGAAGAAAGCAACACAGTGAGGATTTCAAATAACAATTAACTGCCATGTACAACAGAAAAGCACACATTATTAGACTTCATACCTCCAAGCAAGAGAGAAACTGCAAAGTGACAAAAAAAATCACTAACACTGTCTTGGAAATACAGAATCACAGAGTCACAGAATGGCCAGGGTTGGAAGGGACCTGAAAGACCATGAATCTCCAATTCCCTGCCACAGGCAGGGCCACCAGCCTCCCCATTTAATACTAGACCAGGCTGCCCGGAGCCCATCCAACATGGCCCTGATCACCTCCAGGGATGGGGCATCCACAACCTCTCTGGGCAGCCTGTTCCAGCACCTCACCATTTTCATAATAAAGAACTTTCCCCTGACATCCAACCTAAATTTTCCCTCCCTCAACTTAAAACTATTTCCCCTTGTTCTGCTGTTATCTAGCCTTTCAAAGAGTTGATTCCCCTCCTGTTCGTAGGCTCCCTTTAGGTACTGAAAGGCTGACCAAAATAAATATCTGCTGATCCATTTGAAAGAGAAGACAATACACAACTAAACTTTTCTAGTATCCAGTTTGATCTAATTTCTCAGGACGCTCTTAAGTCCAAGGATAGGTTATGGTAGGGTCTGTTCACCCATGTGAAGGTGTAAGGAGTAAGAATCTCTTCTACAGTCCCACATGGGCTCTGTCTCTCAGGCACATAATATTAACTTCATCCTTGTCTACCCTGGTGTAGTGGACAGGTGGAGGTTTGATTTTCATTTTAATCAATGACCTGAGTAGCACAAGAAGACAGGACAACAATAAATGTATCACTGATACAGGCATGAAGTTAATTATATACATGTAGGTGCTAGTGGCAGGAAGGGAATGACTCTGTGTTATCTCCCAAAGATTACATCGGGGTAGGGGCAGCTTAACCAAGGGCTATGGCTGTACTGACACACAGCTGTTATGCTCATGAAACCAGCTGTTACTGCTCAGGGTAAGTACAAGTGCTCAGGTAAGGTACCAAGACTACTTTCACCAAGGGGGAAAAGGTAAAATATTGTGGAAGATATTACTTTGGATGATCTATCAGAAAAGTGTTTTGGTGATGCTCAGACAACCTCAAAGAAGATCTCAGAGACAAAACATCTAATGATTAACTTTTCCCTACTTGAAATGTTTGTGAGAGAGGCTGATTAGGAGAGCTGATAGAAAAGGAACTTTGTAATAGCCATTCTGCTCCACCATAATGGCAACATCTGCTCCCCCTCCCTGTACTGCCAACACAAAGTGCCTGACCTTCAAGGCATTCACTCGGTGTATATGATCCCTCAGTGTTTAGCACTTGTATCCTAAGAACTGAATGGGATGTTAGTGCTGACAGCTTCTGTAATGCTGCTGTCTCCCCAGTAGGATATGGAGCAAGTTCACTTCATCACTTCCCATGAGCTCCTGGAGGACGGCTGATAACCAAGCCTTCTAGGCAACAGTATGACAGATAGCTTGGAATTAAGAGATACCATATTACATTTTCTTATGCAATTGCTGGTCCTCGGCCATATTATTGCGATACAAACAGCAAGGAGAAAAGCTTTCATGATGTACATCATGAAACTGTAATTAAATATATCTTATTTGAATTAATAAGCTGAATCAGCTACAGGATGTTGTAATCTCCCCACAGTATTTTATAACTAGAAGGCTCCTTAAAATATCAGCTGCTAATTGAAATTCTAAAGCATAATCCACTAGACAGTACTCCTATAGATGGGATGTCAAAAGGAATGACTGAGTTGCACTTATACCTGGGCTCCAATCTCATCTCACTATTTTATGGCGTCTCTTCTGTGATCAAAACTAGGTATTATTACCTTGTGTAGTCTGGTTTCGTTTACCAACAGAAGAATTATTAAACACATTAGGAAATTATCTTCATGCTTAATAAAAATGTAATGTCATTTTTTTCCTGAGAATGTGGCATGATGATGCTTTGGTTTAAACAGCAGCACCAGGGAGTTATTCAAGATGAACATTTCCAGCTTAGAGTAGAAGATCAATTTGTTACACAAATGTAAAATAAACATTGCATACTTATAAAATGCAAAAAGTAGTGTCCTTCTAAGTGGCAATAAATTTACCACTTTCCAATATATTGAAGGTATTTCACATTACAATGTTTACTTTTTATGGAAGCATAACAAGAGAGAAAGAAATGGGAAAGCTGTCTTCCTGGAAAAAGTTACCTGCAGAACATGAGAGAGAAACACCCTGAAGGACAGCACAGCCAACATACTGAAAAAGGAGGCATTACTTTTGGAGCAGGTCTCATATATAATGATATAATGGAAAAGAATATTAAAAACGAATAAAATCACATTAGGGGTACTACAGTGACACTAAACACTACAGAAAGCATTCAATAAAAAGGATTTCTCAATATATTCTCAATTGTCAATATTCTCAATTGTCTTCATAAATGTCAATCCTGTAGAAAATTTTCAGCATCACTTGGTGCAAAAAACTAAAGGAGAAATAGTCAGGAGTTATTATAAGTCTGTGGTCACCCACGGGGAAAAAACAAAATCTTCCTTAGGAAAATTAGAGGCAATTCTTCCTTACACCCTACCCAGGCTTCTCTTATTTACTGTATCAATGCAGCAAGACTAACAAAAAATGATACAGGAGCAGTAAGGCCAATTTTTCTTAGATCAGTAGACAGGAGTGGTACAATCCATTGTGTTTTGGTCTACAGTTTTGTGCCCGCACCTGTTTTTGGGCTACTTATGTCACTCCAGTAAATGTTATATAGGACATTATGACATTATTCATTCTTTCTTTTCAGGCAATTTCAATGAGGGTGCTAGTTCCTAAAAGGCTGGGGGTGATTGCTCTTTGTAATTTATGCAAGGGCATCTTTGTATGGCAATGAAGATGTTCAGAGAGGCTGACTGGGGAACTTCCTGAATAACAAAGCTTAGGATCTTTGACCACATCCTAACATACCTTTCCCATCACTTCTGAAGCTATTTTTTTAGCAGGTTGCACCTCCAAGGAAAGCAAAGCTTTATTAGTTTTCAGACTCAGGTACAGGAAAGAAACCAGTGACAATACTGAATATATCTACTGCCAGTGAAATCATTATTTTTTCCCCAGACATGTAATTCCTTCAAATAACAATACTGAATAATGATTTAAAGATGAGTCACATGAAATGGTTTATAAAGTTGAGGTGATCTTTTTCTGAGGTTTTTTAGTCCTCTTCAATTTAATAAACTTTTATAACTCCATTTCTATTCTGTTTCACAGAAAATTATTTTTATTAAATCCATCATTATTTAGCTTAGATGAGCTAGTTCCTGAACAAGAACAAATTAAGATCAAGATTTCCATTTTTTTTTTTTTTATGGAATTTCGGTGTTCATTAAGCTTATTAGCAAGTTATTATGAGCACTGCACTTCAATAATTATTTCACTACTCATTTTTTTTTTTTTTACTGTAGAACCATACGTTACATTATTCCTCAGGAAAACAACACTGCATTTGCACCAGAATGATCATCACTTTGTTATGCTGCTTAGATACTGTGCATTTCAAGTTTAATGTATTTTATGTAGGCATTTTACTTGCAAATAGCAATCCAACAGTGCTTCATATAATACATATTCAGAAACATTCGTTAGGATCTGCAATTTACAATTTCCTATGGAGAAGAAACAATGTCATTCCTTGAAACAAGCTTTTATATGTACAGCAATACTAAAGCTTAATCACAAAATTCAACACATACCTGTTCCCAGGCAAAGACGTGTTGATTGAAGTAGAACTGAATCTGTTCATTGGCAATGTTGATACAGAGTTGTTCAAAAGAATTCTTCTTGAAATTCTCAAAGCCAAAGATATCAAGAATTCCAATATTCAAACCATCATCACTTCCACTGCAAAGATTAATTATTTGACATTGACTATGTTCACAATTGTTTTGTGAAAGCAAATCATAAGCCATATCTGTACAGCAAATGAACAGAATAGCCTTTACTAAATCAGATTTTTCTTTTAAAAAAATCAATTTTTATTTGAAATACAATAAATGCATATAAATCCAAAGACATCTCTATCTGCAAACCAGATACCCTGAATCACATCATGTCCAATTGAATTTATAAGTGTAGAGAAGACTTCAAATTTGATTAATATGTGCCAGTTAATAATCTGCTATAAAAAGCTGATGGTACAGAAACAACATGAGGTTCATTTTGTTCCTTTTGTAAGCAAACAGGCCTTATTCAATTGTTCTTTGGTATTAAAGCCACTAGATATTATTTCTTCTTATTACATATTCGCAACACTTTAAACTGCTTATTTTAACAGGAAAGTCTAAAGAAAGAACAGCTAGACCTTCTATGCAACTAAATAACTACTTGAGGTATTGAGCACTTGAACATCTTTGTGAAGTCCATCTCATAAACCAAAGTACTTCCTCATGGACCGACAACACGCGGAACTTTTCTTCTGGCTATTCCTTATCTCTTTTTGTGGCTATTTCCAAAACAAGTCAGAAGTGCCAAATGAAAGTTCTTGCTGTGTTTTGTTCTCAGTGTTTTGGTAGCTGTGTCTTTGCAGTGAACACACGTGTTGTGCCTGTGTGTGCAGCTGGCATTGGGGCAGTTGGGCTGTGCGGGCTCTGGCTCTCATTTTTGCTAGCTCTGCAGCACCACGTCAAGCCACCGTGGTACGGACTGCAAGGCCAAGTTTGGGTAAAATGAAATAGATTCAGTTTCTGTTTTCAGTAACTGGTTCCTCAGGCACAGCCCTGCCCCAGCAAGGTCAATCCAAGCAGGGTGCCCAAGCCCATGTCCATGCAGCCTTTGGAAAACCCCAAGGAGGAAACCTCACAGCCCCTCTGGTCCCTTTGCCAGCACTCCATCACTGCACAGTGCAGCTGATGGGCCGGGGCAGCTCCTGGCCTCTAGGTTGTGCACAATGTCTCTGAGCCTGGCCCTGAGCACCACTGCAAAGAGAATCATACAACTCCTACAGACTGGCATCTTTTTTATTGTTTCCTGCCCCTAAGAGTGCATTGGGAAGACTTAAAAGAGGAAACAATAAACAAAATTTAAAGGCACATATTCTGCTCTGACAAATAATACATATTTACAAATACTATTTTACTGGGTGATTCTGTGTGAAGCCAGCAGCTGGACTCAACGATCCTTGCGGTTCCCTTTCAAAGTGAGATTTATTGTGATTCCATGAGACTATGACCAAATACATTTGCTGATTTTGACCTATATTGGTGACTACTTTGTCTGTCTGGAAATTATCTTTCCTCTTCAGAGCTAATTGGAAAAAAAAAAAAAAAAAAAAAGAGAGGAAATAAATACAAATTATTATTTTACTACCAAAAAAAACAGTGTAGACTTTTGTTTCTGTTTGCTGTTGTTATTTATTTGCTTATAGCAAGAGTTTCAAGTCAAACATTCTCCATGCTCACCAGCACAGTAAGTATTCAATTTGAAAAAGACTCTTCAAAGAGAGGCACGCATTAGCAATGCTGCCTCATCTGTCATGCATTTTATTCAACTATCTACTGATTAAAGTTCTGCTTATTGCTGTCCTATGGTAACCAAATTTTTTGAAAGTTTAGACAGATTTTAGGATTGCAGCCTTGACTTTCATTTGATGCTTCAAAAATACAAAATCCAGAAAAATTTAGATTTGCAAAGCTATTTGTTATTGACATTCTGTTTCAAGTTTATGCTTCATTACTGATATTCCCAGTCAGAGAGAGCCCTGACCTACAGGATCTACAATGCAAGCTGTTTTATTTCTTCTTTAATTAATTAGCAAACTGCATTAAAACCTCATTCCCAGGATCTTTCTCATCTGTGTGTTTAAAACATCACCTTGTAAGGACAGGGTGGGCATTAACCTCAGTAACTGGCTTTGAAAACTACCTTGATTGATGTATATATGTATTTGTGTGTATATAAAAGTAGTAACTGCAATATAAGGAACAACGTGGGTGCACCTAAGAGCAGAATTTGACCTATGTAGTCAACAGTATAAAGGAAAAAATAATAATTTCAACAGTTATACATAATCTACAAATTGAGTGAGTAAAGGTTAAACAGAAAAACACCAGCTGCTGTGCTATCTGTATCTACTGTATTGCCAATGCATAACACAAATAGTATCATTTAACATGAGAACACTAAATACTTCAATGTAGACCACATTCCTTCCATAGAAGATCTTTCTTTATTCTGGAAAAGTACATTTTACCTTAAATGTTTGTCAGGTTTGAGAAGAGTGTTGATGCGATTGACTATCCAGCTGAACAGGCGCCCGTAGAGAGCTTTGGCCATGGCATCTCTGACATCAGTGGCTTTTTCCACAGTATTGGGACGAATAATTGTTTCTCCTCGAGTCACTACACAGTGAGAGGTGAGCGCCTCTTGCAGCTCGTCTGCCTGAATACACAGCAAGGATGCACCTGGAAGGTAAGGTCACAGCTCAGAGGCAGACTTCTGAAGAAAAAAACACACACTTTTGTCATCAAGGCTGCAAGTATAACGTACTATCAATGGCCCAATCAAAGTCTTAAATTAAACCTGCAAGTGGGGGCTTTCATACAAACCGATGGTCAGTAACTATTTCAGTCATCAGCCTTTCTCCCTTTCGCTGTATTACAGAATCATAGAATGGCTTGGGTTGGAAGGGACATCCAAGACCATCTAGTTCAAACCCCCTGCCCTGAGTAGGGTTTTCAGACACTAAATCAGGCACTAGATCAGGCTGCCCAAGATCCCATCCAGCCTGGCCTTGAACACCTCCAGGATTGGGGCATCTACAACTTCTCTGGGCTGCCTGTTTCAGCACTTTACCGCCCTGTCAGTGAAAAATGTCCCTCAACATAAAATCTAAACCTCTCTCATTTAACAGCAATCAGCAATTCAAAGCACAGGATTTAGATGCTCTAGACTGTTCTATCAAGGAGGCTGCTTCTCCAAACTGTCTGGGTGACTGTTGGGAGCATGAAAGTTGTGAGGAGTGAATATCCCTCTGTTATATTCCATCCCTGTAATTTGCAGCTGTCCCCTTTTGCTTCTTTCCCAGTTGCACAACATTTTTCTATGACATGAAAACATGTAAGAAGATAGCATGAAGAATTCATAGACTCTTCAGTTGTAATTACTGAGAAAGAGTAGCAACTTCCTTGAGAATCACTGCTCCTTTTCCAGCTACTTACAATCAAAAGTGTAAGGTAACCCTTCCAAATAATTAGTTAGATGCAGTTCAACATGTACATGCGCGGAACAAATAATGAGGATCTATGAAATAAACTGAAAAAAATGTTCAAAATGTTAATGAGGTTCTCCATCAAATGTTCAAATAACCTTGGAAAAATTCCAATGATCTTCTTTTCAAGCACCTGCAATGTTAGTCATGTTTCCTTAATGCCAGCAAACTAGTTAGTCACATAAAATGTTTTTTTTTTCTTTTTACATTTGAATCCAGGTGAACCTGGAATTAATATAATTCCAACATTTAATTCTTCTTGCAAAATTTCCATGTGAATACAGCCCTCATTGATAACTTTTTGCAATGAAATACATTTGCTACTAAAATGCCAAAAGGAAAACAAATTCAAAGCAAGAAAAAACTCACAATTTTCAAGGGCTACTGGATTGGAAATGTTGCTCTTGTCAATCATGTGTTCAGATACCACTGCGGAAAATTCAATGTTACCCACATTTAGAATGGCAGCCAGAACACTGTATACGCTTCCAAGTTCCTGGAAAGTATATTTAAAAAAAAAAAAAAATAAGATGTAACACTTAGTAGCCTGAGAAGCTTGTCACTTTGGTGCAGGTGATCGGCATCCTCGTGATCTTTCCTAAGCTTGGAACACTTTCTCCCATTGTCTGACACAGGACTATTTCTTTTAGGAATACTTTCCCAAGCAATTATTCCCTGTTCTGTGCAAACAGAGGGAACACAGAGGATTATTATTTCCACCCTTCACCATGTCTGCAGACTCAACCTTTTCTAAAAATGTAATACCTACCTCAGCAAAAATATTTTAAAAACCTGCATTTAAGTTTCTTGGATCACGGAAACAAAGTACTCCAAATAATAACAGGTATCCCACCACTCCAGTGTCATCAGGAAACGAGCTTCACTGGGAGAAGAGTGAGAACTCATATCTCTAATTTAGTAAAGAACTTTTCAAAGTGTCACTAAGGAACTGAATACTCACCGCAGTATTTTGGTGTGGACTGTATTTAAATATATTTAAACATGTATAGATTTCAAATGTTTTAGTAGGTTGCGAATAGAGATTCTGCCTTGAAATAGGGCTAATATTAGTCTGGACAGCAAAGTGATACCTACAGTAAATGATTTTAAGTAATTACATAGGACAAAATTGAATTTGTAATTAATGAAATAAGGTATTCTTTGCACATAGATTTTGAACTGCCAATTTTCAGCTGTGAATTTTCACCTGAACTGTGAATATTTTTCAGTATACTCAATGATCTGTATTTTCTACTCAGAAATGCTGAAGTGTTTCTGTAAAACAGACTCAGTTTTAAGCTAGCAATCTCCAATACTACACATTCTGAGGCACAGAGTAATAGTCTATTTTATAAAGACCAGTTTTGTAAGTTTTATGGTTGTTTTACAATAAGCAGTTTTATAACTTTGATTAGTATTTTATAATGATGATTTTCATAATTCCACAGCATTTTATTGCTGATATTCAGTTGTTTGCTGGTTCCATGTCAGGCATCATTTACTCCGATACAATCCTTACTTAATTGCTCTAGAGGACTTGGTCTTGTTTTCAGCACTTTCAGAGAAGTTAATCTAGCAGTTAATAAATTAATTATTCCAGTGACAGCAAGACAAACTATATGAGCACACTCGAAAATTATGCTCAGGATAATTGACTCACAGTTGATGTAGGCTTTAAGCAATCATTTACATTTTAAGCTTAGGGACACATAGACACTGAAAATGAAGAGCTTAACTTCTGCCATTATGCTGTACAGTATGTATTGCTGCTGACAGTTCTATTCCCTTTCCCAGCGTGTTCTAAATCTGGCTTGATCTGTTTTATACAGCATGATTACTGCTCACCTCAGACAGTTCTTTCCATTAACTCTGCCTTGCAACTTGAGATGAAACAGTGTGATTTTAAGGCTGGTATACTGACAAGTACTATTGACGGCTGTGAGGCAGTTAAAAACAAATTTTAAGGAATGAAAGCTTTATTTAGGTCTCAGTTTTAACTGAAGAAGATATTTTATTCAAGGCTTTCTGATAATAAAATACAGAATATGTATATATAGATCTTCCTTTGCACTGCAGGGTGAATATCAAAGCTCAAGGCTAGTTAGAAATAAATCAACTTAGAAAAGGAACTCTGTCTTACGGCATTTTTTTCCTAATAGAAAAGAAATTGTCTCTGTACATACACACTCTGATTTCTGGCACTAGCCATCACTCCTCAAAGAGAGTGGTGTACACATCCTGAGTTCACTCAGAAGGGTTGGGAAGCAGTGTATAAACACAAAATAAGCACTTAGTCACACCTCTGCCACCATTTGGAAACAAGTCAAACTTCCCTTCCCTGCTGGCATCCTGCTCTGCCACTTGATGCAGAAATAGAGAAAGCAATGTCCTCCTGGCAGTTCTGGAGAGACATACAAGCGCTAGTTCCTTGCAGTTTCAGCCTCAACTGAGAAAGATTCCTCTGTTCCTTCACTCGTGCAAACACAACATCAGACAGGCTAATTCAACCAATGGAGAATGTAAGACAGTTATCATGGATGGGGCTCACATGTAGCCACAGATTATTTATATTGCTTCACCTACTTCTGAAATTGTGGCAAGTCTACACGAAGATAATCATTCACAGATTAAGCTCATTGTGGCTTACTGAGGAAACTGAATGAAGATACAAGTTAGAACTGCTTAATGCAGCCAGTGATGGTATTATAAATGAATTTTTAATTTGTAAGAACGGTCTCCTCTTCTGGATGATCAGGACTATTCTTTCCATCTATCGAAGTGAACAAAAGAGTGTGGAACAAGAACACACTTCTTGCTTTACGCAGTATTAATTAGGGCATATCAAGGTTTTTAGTGAGATAAAACTGCTATCAGTGCTGAACTGTGCATATCCTCCCAGACTGCTTCTAGAGTGCTGAAAGTACAGGTGTGAAAGGATGTGTGATATTATTACAAGCAGTTATGAATAAGCACACAGAGGAGAAAGAGACTGTGAACACTGCTGTTACTGCAGCTTAATGTAAAAGGAGTATGGAGGAACAGAATCGATGTTCTGCTACCTATTCAAAAATATCAAGGGAAACAAGACATTCTGAAATTAACAGAGTAGTTTTCTGAGAACAACTTCTTACAAAATATGATTTTGATAGACAGACTAAAACATGCATCCATTCAGCAGCAATAGTTCTGTATTTCACAGATATCATATGGGTCGTGTTCCTGATATCATTTGTGATTGATAAAGTCAGTGGTAAACTATAGCCATGATGCACAGCTTCTAAAATGAGAGAACAAGGGTGCAGGATGGGGTTTATTTCCCTTGAGTCATATTTTATAAGTACAGAGGCCTGGTTTTCACTGCAATTACATGAAAAACAGCCTGTTGAGAAGGATTTAATGGCCAGTAGAGCAATGGTATGAGATGATAAAGGAAGAATGGGTTCAGTTAATGTTCAGTGATCACATCCACTCTAAAGGAATGTAAAAACTTCACTCAACTTTGTCCCTGGAGTTGTGAAAATTTATTGAGTTCATCAAAACCCAGATAAACTCAATGAATTTTTAGAACTCTCACCATGGACACCATCTTAAAACAGAGATGAAGCTCATATTCACAGCCCCAAAATTATAGACTAATAAACAGTTACAACATTTAATTTGCAGAAGCCTTTTTTCCCCAATCACTCAGCTGTGCTGTGTTCACGAACATCAAAGCCTTGTTGACTAACATCATTTTATTAGTTTATGCCTTAAAACCTTAAAAATTTAAATGTAGCATATAACAGCAAGTTGACCACGTAATATCATAAAAACAATACTGCTAAAGGAGGAAAATAACAAGGGTGACTATTTCAATTCTTTATTCATGTTTTCCCTTATCAAGGTAGCCATTAAAATTCATTAAAAAGGGTTATCAGCACTCACCTCCAGTGTAAAACCTATGACTTTGAAGCACTGTTCAATTAATTCAAACTGCGACTTATAAAAGCTGTTGTTCATAAAGTCTTGCACTATTCTGAAATGATCGTTTTGCAGATATCTGGAAGAGTTGACAGAGTTGGAATTTAAATGAGGTTAGGAATTCAACACCATCAGATTTCTAAGGAATCAATTTTTGTAAAATAAACAGTATTACCTGGGAGGTCTATATTCTGGCAATTTGTAATGTGCCAGTTTTTTCTTTTCTGCAAGACCAGCATAAATATAATAAAAAATATGGAAATTTTTCTCTCCTCTGCAACAAGAAAGAAACTTGTTTAGAAGTGTATCTATGTTACATTTATTGATGACATACACACTACAATTAAATGCTATTAAGGTAACAGACAAGGCTCACTCAAATTGATAGCAAAGACAACACTGCTCTACACCAACATCTTCAGGAGCCCTTGGAAATTCAGGCTTCAAGCACTAACCTCCTACAGTGCCTCTCAGGCTAACCAGCTCAGCAGCATTTTCCCGTGAATTCAGATCTCTAAACACCTACCCAAAGAACATTTGAGGCACTTAAATGGTTTGCTGACTTTCTGTCTCAGCACGTGGCAAAATGTAAATACCAACTAATGGTGACAGGAAAAAAAAACACACATTAAGTTAAGAAAAAGGTGATATTTTAGGGAAAAAGCTAATTTTATCCTGAAAAAAGCACTTTCTGTGCTTATGTTCAACTTGGAAATGAAAAAAGCTTTTTATAAACCTGCATCTAACTTTAAATTGTTAATAAAAAAATTGCCAGTGAGATTCAGAAATCATTCATACCAGAAATATACAACAGGCAACAAGGTCATACAGAACTACAGAATGAATAAAAATGAGAAAAGACCAGTAAGCAGAAAAATTTAAAACAACGACAAGATTCCTTGTCTCAAGCTCTATCTTTTCTATCATTACTAAGATAGAAACAGAGTAGGTATAATATTTTTACTATATATCGTGACAGAAAATACATTTCAATAATTTTAATACATTAGAAATGCCATTTAATTTTTTTTTCATATTATGAGATATACACACAACAGAAATGGCTCTGTATTGCACTCAGTCAGTAATCCTGCATAAATTCCCCAAAGTAGAAAGTGAACATCTTGCAAACAAATCTAAAATACTAGAGGAAACATAAAGCAATTAAAGCCACATAATTTATATAATACTAAAAGTTTGCGTCAAAGTAAAATTTTGATTTCTCCATAATTTCCACAAAGAACCATTAGAAAGCTTTTATTCTTTAGACATTCCAATATACTTTTTATATATCAGATATGAACGTTCATGGGATTTGTTTAAGCAATTGTGGAGGCAATGAAAAAAAATGGGAGTAGTTTTCAATTAGTTGACAGAACTGTTAACCGTTCATATATCATTTATGTAAAAATCCACATCACAACACAACCACTCACAGCAGTGTACTCCTTACTCTTCCTTCTGTTTTGTCCTGAGATAACTGCCATTATTGCAAGCCTCCTCTGTAAACCTCACATGAGGTAAAAAATTATTTTTATACTTACACTGCCTGGTGGACAACTCTGGATTTTTCAAGGAGGTACTCTGAAATCTGAGCTCCTACTACAGTGCCACCACAAGTAAATTTCATTTCCAAATATTTTCCAAATCTGCTGGAGTTATCATTGATGATAGTGCCTGCATTTCCAAATGCTTCTACAAGGTTATTCACCTGGAGGATTTTCTCCTGTAGAGTCCTGTTATTAGCCTAGATATGAGAAAGACAGTACTTAAAATAAGCAGTAATCATTCAAATACATTCCTTCTTAAGTGCTTCTTTCCTATTCCAGTTTGCACCACGTAGTGTGACTTTTGTGTACTTCAAAATGTTGCACTCGGGCCTTTTTCCTTTTTTTCCTATATCAGTAAGTTAACCCCGTGCAATACAACCCTCACACACAGGCTTTCCTTCTTGAGCATTATCTTAATGGTGCTGCTTCAATACTTGGAGTTGGGCATAAGCTTCTGAACAGAAATTAACAAATGGGCGTGCTGTTATTTATTCAGCCATTCATCTAATCTCGCTGCTTTGCTACAGTCAAAAAACAGATCAAACTGTTTCTGTAACAAGGTAAGGCACATCTCACACCCTGACTCATTAGTGTACTGACAAGAGCACAGGTGTGTGGCACAGACTAGCAATTACAGATTGTATCCACATGGGTGTTGGACCCTGTCCTCCTCATTTTCACTCCAATTGCAACTGCATGAATGAGATGAAAGCCAGCTCACACAAAACCAGCTGAGTACACTCCTTCATTCAAACATGCAGGCATACCTTCAATATGTAGACGGAGTTTTTCATTGGAGTAAGGAATGTAAGATTTCAGAGGGAAAAATATTTCACTTTGTATGGACAAAAGCTGTCTTTGAGTTTTTATCAATCACACTGATCAATTAATTTTCCTTACCAGATACACAGGTCCCTTCCTTCCCATGGATCTCAAAGAAACATGGCCTTGCAGACTTAAGAAGGCATCAAAATGCAATGGAATGAATAGAGGCCTTACATCTCATCTAGAGTGTGCCACTGCTTATGCACATGTAGCCTTTGATACAATGGACTTTCACAAACTGACACATACTTGGCTGTCCACTATACTTTTGAATAAGTAGACTCATAATCAGAGTGGTCATTCCTACATAAAGCATATGGAAAGAAAGGCATACATATACCACAAAGCATGTCACAATACAGCATTCTGCAGAATGAATGGCTGGCTGAAAGTGGAAATACACAATCCAGGGCTAATCAGTTTCTGTGGTCCATCACTTGACATGGCTTGCCTGCTTTTACAATCCATGTTACCATTTGTTTAAAGTGCACTGCACCACACTGGTAGATCAGTTTGCTAGCATATCACTTGGGAAATGCAAAATCCCTTTCTGCTAATTATGATGGTTACTTCCCAGAAGGAACACATCTAAGTGACAGCAAACTGGTTGTGGTGAGAGGCAAAAAGCTCTAAGATAGTTTAACAGTTTGGGTGATACAAAGACATTCAACTAAACTGGCATAAGCCCTCACTGGAAGGGGGCACTCATAGGAGCTCTTAGGAAAATGTTTACTGTCTTGGTCCTCTCGCAATGTCCTGCCCCTGATTCAGTCGTTCAGTTAGATCTCAGATACCAAAGCCTTACAGAAGCTTACAGGGAATCATACCTTGCCCAGGACAGTGAGCTGCTGAACCAGAAGATGGGCACTTTGTGTCTTGCCAGCTCCACTTTCCCCAGAAATAACGATGCACTGCAGAGAACAAGACCATAAGTCTGGGATCATTACATATCTCTCATCCTAGTAAAAGATATAAATAGGTCATCTCATCTTTACCTGATCAGAGTTGTATGTCACCATGGACTGATAACCAATGTCAGCAACAGCAAAAATGTGAGGAGGGTTGGCAGTCCGTTTGGCTCCAATATACAGTTTGGAATGCTAAGCACAAGAAAAATGAAAACATTTTCTATGTCTCCTTAATGACTTTTTTTCATTTATCTTTCATTTTCAAATTAGTGTACATCATCCTTCTTAGTAGTATTGCTGCTTCTGAGTGAGCAGTTACTGCATTCACTGTACTGTGGATCTGCATTTAGTACTATAAGAACTGCTAAAAAAGATAAAAAACAATTTTGTATGCTTTCAGCTTTATGCCACAAAAATTGAATTGTTAGAATAAATATAATGTTGCCTTATTTATTTAATTTAAAATGAAATTACACTTTACATCATCTTGCTTTTTGTGCATGATACTGATGTCTAAACTTCAGAAAAGTAACTGATAATTAATAATGGCAAATTATGTATGACTGAATATTTAGTATCTGTTCCCTGTGTATAGTGAAAGGGCAAATTCACAAAAGTTAAAATTTTACTTAATAGTTTTGTGAACTGTCGGATCAATTAAATAGTTACAGCTTCCACAGCTCTCTTGGGATGAAATGTCCCCACCTTTTACATCCAACCAATTGCCCTGGCAGAAGTTCTCCACAGGAAATGGAGGAGGAGGAATGCTCCCTCCTACCAAACGGAATAAGATTCAGGCAAATTAATGTATGCATCAGCACAAATACTGCTTCTGAACTAACTGCTCATAGTGGTGGTGGTCTAGTCAACAAATCTCATGAATTTTAGTGCAATTTATCTCAACTTAGAATGAATACTGAAAGTCTCTGAAAGAACAGCAACTGCAAAAATCCTTTTTTTATCTACTGATCAAAATAGGTGACTTGCTCAGATATAGCCATCTGCACTTAAGACATGATATAAGCCATCTGCAGACATAAAGATACCTGAGAGGCTTTTATTTGTTTTTTTAGTTTCTCATTTCTATGCTGAAATTCAACACAATAGGGATGTGTATCAACATGAAATTAAAAGGACTACTGTATTGGTAATTCTTCTTTTTCAGAGTGAATTGAAATAAATTTCAAGAACAATTTTACTTTATACTTATGAACAGTCATATTTTATTGGAAATAAGTGCCAGCAGAAAAGAATCAAACTAAATTTTCACACCTGTGAAGAATAAATGTCTACATTCCGAAATGGATTGACAGCTATGAGGATGTCCCCAACATATGTGTAGATCTGATCCTTGGCATAACTCTTCTGCAACTGCTCTGTCACTGTATTCTGATGGAGAAAAAAAAAAAGAACACTGTCTCACAGAGAGAAAAAAATAATATAAGGAAAACAGACAGAACATGAATATAGTTACAATAAGTGAAGATGAGAGAAAAAGAAGACTTTAATGGCCAGGAATACACGTTATCTTGATTGCAGATAAGTAATACTTTCAAACACCCTGGCATTCATAACTGCTTGTGTCCAAACTCCCTTTGAACAAGGGACACTTACCAATCCCCAAGTGTCTATAGAAAAATTAGTTAATAAGTAGTGTTTTAGTCTGTACCAGTTTATTTATGTACAGCCTGACAGAGGAAGAATGACTGTTTACAACCACTGATGGCCTCTATCACCTGCAGATAATGTGTAGTGGCCTGATTCTTCTTCCTGTTTTTGAACCTTAAGCTATAAACACAGCAGATTTCTCTCCATCTTTATGCATGCTTCCCATCCTCATAGTAGACTCGCTTTTGATCTCTGACAAACCAGTGGGATTCCTGAGGAGGGCAGAGCCTCGGCTGACATAAACTGATCTCAATGCATCTCTGCACTGAAGACAGTCAGTGAGAACCCAGCCTAGGAATAGTATGGTAAGCTAGTTTAGGACAACTCTGTATGTACAAGCAACAGGTGAGAATGTGCTTATTCTTGGACTTGGATCAATTTCAAGTTAACATATCATTAAAAATCAGCTATTTAGCTGAAATAAAATCCAGTGATATACATCCAGTTAAACAAATGGTACTACTATACTACTCAGTCGGAAGTTTTAACTGCAGAAGGTGTTTTACCATACAGTTGGAACCACTCCAGAAAAATCTCATCTAAAATTGTTTGGCATAAAGTGAAATGTTATTGTTCACTTACACAATAGAAGTACATGACACTATTTCAACATCCAATTACATCTCCTCAAGAAAACACGAGAAAGAAAGTTCTTACCTCATCCAGTACCTCCAAGGTTGCTAAATCATCTACATCTTCTTGGTTTGAAACTAGTGACTTACTGTAGTTCCCTTTCTTTGTATGAATACGTTCAAATCTAGAAAAGACAGAATAAATGTTCTTGGTATAAGGAAACAGAGTGTATCTTGCATCTGTAATCACCTCAACAGCAATGCAGCAAAAATATCACATATTTCCATTGTTCTGAATTCAAATACAAGAACATTTGAACAACAGAACAGGAAATTATTATTATTTTTTTTTAGTACTGACAAAGCATTCAGGATGGTAACACTTGTAGCTTAGTAATGATGCCTGAGCTGGTCAGACTGTTCAGCAAAGTGCTACAGAACCACTGGAATATGTGAAATACATCCTAATCCAGAAGAATTTTCTTGTTCTTTAAAGGAAAAAAAAAAAGTATAAATTAGAAACACATTTTAAAAGTTCAAATATTTTTTGTTAGGATTAAATTTCAGTAAAGTTTATCTTAAAATGCATTGTGGTTTAACCCTGCAGTGGCTCAGCACCACATTGTCATTTGCTCACTCTCTCGTTTCCCAGTGGGATGGGGAAGAAAACAGAAGAAAAACAAACAAAGTAGAACCTGTGTGTTGTGACAAATCTGTTTACTAAGATAGAGAAAAGGAAATTGATAACAACTATAATGTGTGTGTGTGTGTATATATATATATATATATGTATATACACACATATAAAAGAAGTGATGCACAAAGAATTCCTCATCACCCCCCTACTGATGCCTAGCTTGCCCCTGAGCAACAGAAGAGCGATGAACGCCCAACCCCTCCAGAACTCCTTCCACAAGATGTCAGATGGCATGGAATATCCCTTTGGCCAGTTTAAGTCAGCTGTCCTAATTCTGTTCCATCTCAGCTCCTTAGCCGTTTGCTGAGAATGGCCTTGGCTTTGTATAACTGTGCTTAGCAGCAACTATAAACATCAGTGTGTTAACATTGTTTTCATCTTAAAACCAAAACATGGCATCATACTCTGAAGAAAAGAATTCCATCCCAGCTGAAACTAAGACAGAATGAAATAATCTCTCTTTTAATCAAGAGAAAAAAATATTATGCAGTCTTACAGAAATTAGCAAGAAAATTCCTACTCCAAATTGGATTCACCTCTATCCAAGAAAAAAATGCATTGCTAAACACAGTGAAAAAAGTAGAAAATGCAGTTTACAATTTGTATTAATTGTATTTTCTTTAGGATATGGAGGAAAATTGGGAAAAGGGAAACTGGATAAGGAACAGCAGGGTTCACAAACCAAATAAAATCAAGCTCAGATGCACAATATGGCACAAACACAAAAGACTACTAAGTGAACTGAATCTCCTGATAAGACTGCATGCCCCGTGGTACTACTGAACAGACACTTCAGTAAACTGAGACAGCAGAAAACCCTAGTGTGAAACACAATCATTTTTCATCTTGATTCCGTACAAGATCAAGGAAATTCTGTAATTTTGATGTTGGGACATATAGTATGAGTAAAAGCAGACAGAATTTTTCTACTCAAACAAGGCCTTCAATATACAATGAAGAGTGGGGAGGAGAAAAAGGCAGCTACACCAATGTGGAAGGCTAGAATGAACAAACATAACCCTGATGGGGCAAGCTAAGTATCTTCTGAGCTCACTCAGTACGATTTACTGCAGAGGTCATGGCCTGTACCCACTCCACAAACATCCCCTGTTTCCTGTGTACTGGCTCAGTTCAGGCAGGCTGGGTGCTGAGGGGGATGCAGAGCTACAGAGTCGGGCAGGCACCCACTTGGCTTTATTTGTCACTTGCCAGCCTGAAAAGGCTCACAAAGAAATAGGCAGGTGATGTCCTCCCAAACTGAATGCAATCATACAGGCATGAGTGCACTTCATCCAGCACTTCTCTCTATTTCTCTCATCTCTAATGATGATTCTCTGAGAGTGTCACAGGGTCTGTCCTCACCCAGGTGCCAGCAGCAGAGCAGCTTCTCCCTCCCTCAGGCATGAGCCAGTTACCACTAAAGCTCTTCCACTGCCTGTAAGCACAAAGGCAAGAGTTTCCTACTCACTGCAGATGACTAATTTTGCAACCTTAATATAAAGGCACAAACGTAAGAATTCACTATAGGAGCCAGTACAGCTTTGTGGTCTTTCTTCCAACAATGTACCCATAAATGGGCTGTAATTGTGCATGTATTTAAGTATCCTGAAGCAGAAAACACATGGAATACAAACAAGCAACACCAAAAGGGACAGACCTGATATAAAGCAATTAAACATCCTCCAGAAAGGATCTTCTTCTTTTGGAACTTGTGCTGAAAGAACTATCTTGGTAGCATTGAATCCTTGCAACAACACTGTGAGACAATTCTTGGGTTGATGCATCTCAGGTTACATTTAAAAGTCTGAGGTAATATTAAGACTTAAATTAACTCTTTAGCTTTGCACAGTCTGCCACTGCTTGATTTTTCCATTTACCAGCTAAAGACATGGTTGCACTTGACGCCAGAGGTGTAGGCAGAATCCTATCCCCTCAAGAGAAACCTCTCCCCTCCATAACCCACGCTTCTATTTGTACCTCCATCCTTCTAACAGCTGCAGCAGAAAATTATGTTTGGGCAGTTGAAGGAATTTGTTCTTTGCTCCTGCGCAAAGGTCGTTTTATGTCCAAAGAATGCTTCTAGTATCAGCACAACTTTGAGAAAGACTTATCAATGTGCACGCAAGGGAACGATGTGGGAGCTGCAGTACTGCATCAAGTTGTGCTAGTCTGTTATTTTTCACTGCCAAAGAATGATCCAATACAAGACATCTGCTAAGTTAGGCTTTCCGGTGAAACTGTTACACACACAGTACGGGGAGATGTTACTGAGTGTCAGTAAGAGTGATATTTCCCAGATTTGTTTCAATGACCATTTTAAATGAAATGCAGGAAGTTAACAACAGCCCTGCAATAATGGAGGGAAATGTTCTAGCTACAGACTTTTTTTTTTTCTTTCTCCCCTCTCTTTTAAGGAAACAATCTTTATTTATGCCAAGGAAGTTTAATTACATAAAATTGATTCTCTTGTAATCCTCTTCAGCTGACATTATGAGAACAGTAGTGCTTGTTAAAACAGATTACATTCTCCACTCATGGAGCACAGCAGAGCAGATTTGCAGAACACAATATTTTTCTGCTTTGCTGTCAAAGGGCACAGACCCCTCAAGGGCAGTTATAGTGCTTCACTTGCTAAACAGCAACCACTTTAGTGCTGTTGACATCTATGCTGAAGTTTCATTACTATCATGCACATAGACATTGTGAACCAAAATAACCAATTTTCTCCCTTCTTATCAGAAATCATTTGTTGGAGACATTAGATTTCACAGCCACGCTCAGCAAGCAACTGAAGCAGCTAAAGGCCAGAAACATCAACCTACTATGGACAAGAAAATGAGTCAAGGCAGCATTGTTTGTGTGTTTTCTCCTTCACCTTCACTCATCCTTGTCTTTCAAGATTCAGTTAAATCAAAGTGAGGGAACTGCAGCTTTTACTTCTTCACATTGTCAGAATATATTTAAAAGATTTCTGATTGTTCCAAAAATACCCTGAAAAGGGAAGTGTGACTCATGATGCCCTCTTGCACTCTCTGCCAAATCCTCTACAGTTTTCTGTAACATGAAGGTAGAAACAGCTGTACATGTCCCAGCTGTTACAAATGTCATTAAAAGTGACAAACAGAAAAGAAGCAATACACAGAAATTTGTACAGGATCTGTCATTGATAGTGATCCTGTTTCTCTGAAGGTTGTACTGAGCAAAAAATAATAATAATTTGTCTGCAATAGACATACACTTTAATAAAACTATAGCCTTACGTCTAAGCAAAATTTGTACCCAGATTTAGAAGTACTCATAGGTTCTGCAAGTATGTGTACAGTGTTTTGCAGACAAACCTCTGCTCCCTCTGTGTTGAAGTCATTGAGCAGCACCAGCTCCACTCAAGGAGCTGCACTCAAGCTTATGCAACCTTGCTGAGAGCATGGTGCTGCCAGGGCTTTTCATTCAGAGGTGGCCCACCTCCAGAAGTTGGGTCATGTGTTGCTCTGTACAATGTTTGCCAAAGTTTGTGCTGGTTTACCACAGTCTGCAGATATGTAGATTACTGGCCCTTCGTAATAGGCTCAAGAAAAGGCTGTATCCCTTATTCAGGGAAAATATGTGTTATTAGCTGAGCAAATACGATATCTCTAAAAGTACTGCTTTGGATTGGTTCCTTGTTGCCCTCATGAGTCTTGCCCATGCTCTACATGCAGAACCACACTGAGAAGACAAAGCGGAAGCTCCAAAAATGAGCAGTGCCTGGTGGGTGATGTATCCCACCTTCAGGAGGAATGAGAAGCAGACTGATGAGACTGTTGAAGAGCATTATTCCCAGACATCTTGAATGCAGGAGGAACAAATTTCTTCTGCTTTGCATCAAGAGTTAAACTATTATTCATTTAAGAATCATTGCTGTCCTTTGTATTGTATGGAAGGAGACCTGAACTGCATTTCTATTCTGCTGTGGAGATGCGAACTACCCAGAAGCATATGGAACAGGCCTGTATAGCCAGAAATTCCTCCTGCCTGAGAGGAGTTTGTAGCATAACCGTACTATATATTGCACCCTCAGGAACAGTGCAGTAATACACAGACCTTGCTGGTACAACAAAACCTATAACAAACTACAGGAGTGGAAGAAGTGGCTTGAAGTGGTCTAGAATTGGTCTACAAGTCAACAAACACAGGTTTAATCTCTACTCTGTCACAGATTTCAGTTGGACACCTTGACCCAATCAGTACTGGCCTTTGAGTGGGCTGTGTTACTCAGCTCCTCCTACTACTTTCCTCAAGCTGGAGTGGTGATCTGCTCTCTGCTGCAAGCTGCCCTCAGAGTTTAGCTTACAGAGTTGTTATCAGCTGCTCCAACTGGCACGATGAGTCAGGGAAAGAGAGAGAAGCCTCGGGAAGTAAGTGACACAAGTCTGGGAAGCCACACAGGGAAAGTCATGGGAGGAAAGTATATGGTACTCTCTGCTCTGAATACTAGTGAATAAATTGACAACCCCCTTTGAGCATATTATATGTGAACTTGTATGAACTCACCTCCCTGCCGTTCCAAAAGAGTTAAACCAACTAGGTAGCACCTTGAATTGCAGTGCTATTCCTACATGGTTAGCTCAGCAGGACAAACGCTTAGCAGATAATTCAGCTCACACAAAAGCCCTTGCTCTGAATCACTCTGCAATAGAAGGGTCTCTTTTCCACATTTATTTATAGGGCATATAAGTCTCTTAACTTGGGGAACACGGTTGGTTGCTGAAATCTAGGTGCACTGAATATCCCTCACATGCTCTGCTCATTCTGGAATGAGTCATAATTCCCAGGAAATACACACTGTACTAATCACTGAGCATTTCTGCAGAGATTGCTGTAAAAGCACTCAAGAACAAGACAGCCAAACAACTCAAGACGAAAGAATTGCAAACCTGACAGTCAGGTGTAAATGCGACAGTTCTGAAGGCCATTTCAAAGACAGCTATTTCTGTTGCAAAGTAGATCTCTTTACAGTGCAGGCTTTTTCCCCTCATTCAGCCTGGTGAGACGTGTATTTTTAGAACAGTTTTTAGGTATATGCTGCAGCACTAACTTCTAATCATTATTTTGATCAGTAATTATAAATTTTAATAGCTATAAGATGACAAGCAAGAAAGTGTGACTGAAGGATTGCCTAAATTCAAGGGAAAGCTTAAGGAGTGCCCAAAGGTGATCAGGCTCAGATGAACTTACTGTTTCTCCATGATAGAATCTGTCTCACTTTCTGTGGTGTGTTTCCTTCGCCAGGTGCTTGAAAAGGGTGCAACAGTTTTCTAAAACCAGGTCTCTCTTTGCTGGGCTAGTAGCAATAATAATGAAAATTTCAAACAGCCTGGTGCAATGCCCTAATGCCTCGGTAACTGGTCAACATTAAAAAATACCTCAGAAACAATAGTGGTAGAGGAAGTTGCTATGGGGTGGCTCCTCTTTCAGTCTAGAGATCACAGACCCTTTCTGAGCAGACATGGTACAGAAATACTACACATTATGATCTGGCCTTCTACAAAAATAAACTCACTGAGAACGTGACTTCACATGACGCCTTCTTTCTGAACTGTAACAACTACACATCTAACAAGCATCAAAGCAATATCATAACCAGAACAGACTGCCACAGCAGAGGGCAGTCAGAGCCAAATTACACCTCAGCATAATGGACAAAAACAGTGATTTGATATCAAGTGAAAACAAGAATAGTGGATGTAGGAAGACCAGTGGCTGGACCTCAGCTATCAACTTTCAGGTACTTACTCTTCTGAAATATATTTTTCTTCATTAATAAAGTATAATTTGAACAGGAAAATAAACATATCGAGAAAACAATTGGATTCCTTAATTTCAAGTCCACATTACTGAATTTCTTCAGTTTACACAGTGAACTCATACAACACACAGGAGAATTTCATGCCTGAGCATAAGGAAGGTTCTTTAATCCCTTAAACTACTGCCTCCCAGTAACAGCCAGCTGGAGATTTAGAGGGAGCCTTGGAGTTATGAACAGAACAGCTGGAGATCAGGAGGGAGCTTTCCAAGAGAAGCTGTTGAAACAGGTGAAGGTTCAGGAATTCCACAATAGGGCCATAACACATAAGTGTAAAAACAGTCCCAGGACAGAATAATAAAGAAAGCCAGGCAATTTTAAGATGAAACTCTTCAATTGACCAGTCACGCCACAGCCTATATCATGACCAAATTGGATTTACATAGCATCATAAAATCATTAAGGTTGCAAAAGACCACTAAGTTCATCAAGTCCAACTGTCAACCCATCAGCACCTACTAAACCATGTTCCTCAGTACTACATCTACATGTTTTTTGAACACCCTGGAGGTGTTATTGTGCTTTTTCTATCTGTTGTAGTTTACACAGAAATAAATAAGACGACATTACTTTTGGAATGACCTACATACATTCACTGCTACAAATAACAATCTTCCAGCAAATGTAATCAATAACATACTGAAGTTGAAGTCATTATATGTACAGTGACAGTAAAATGTGGCTTTTACTTCTAGACTTTCATACTATGTTCAGTGATTTCAGATATGAAAAGATTAGGTTAAATCAATGTGAGTGAGACTTAAATTAGTATCAACCTATTTATTAGCATTGTAAACTGCTAAAATTAAAACATTCAGATAATAAATTTTCATTACTTTCAAAAGGAAAATTCTATCTTACTTGGGGAAAATTCCTGCAGAAATTGCACCTGATCAACTGCAAAGGCTATGTAACTTCATTACATAGTAATATATTCCTTTAAAATCTGGTTCATATAAAGAGAAGTCAGTTAAAAAAAAACCACAATATCGCTGGACAGAGAAAGTCTTAATAGCTTCCTCTTCCAGTGCCACTTGGTAGCTCTATGCATAAGCAAATTGAGCCTTTTTTTAATGTTTGCATTGCATGGGAAAAGAAAGCTTATGTCATTTGCATTACAAAGCAATTACATTAAAAAAAAAAAAAAAGAAGATTGAAGAATTTTGAAAAACAGGACTTGCTAAACATGTAAAACATGTAAATTATATGAAATTGTGAAAGCACAATAAGTAACTGACTTAGAAGCTTTATTTTCAAAAATGATTTAGGCATTGAGAGGACCATTGTCATAAGTTTCATCAAGTTATAAATTCATATTGTTTAGAGATTTTTATTTGTTTTAACACAATTATCCAGGGTTTTATATTTTTGTTATTATTTTTAAGTCTGGAGTATTGTTCAAATGCCCAGCACTGACACCTAAGGAGCTTATTTCAATTCCAGAGTTTTTCTGGATTAAATCAATTCTAAGTGCCGTAAAGAGCATACAAATTCAGTGTAAGTAAGTCTTAAATTTAGCCATGTGTATAGGTTTTCATAGAAATGCCAGAAAAGAGAAACTGCTACTCATTCTACATCCAATTCCAGAGTCCAAGAAAACTTGAAAATAAAAAATTATTTAGAAATATTCTTATTATCCATAAATGACAATTTATATCAGAAAATTCTCCAGGATCAGAACTGAAGACTTCTATATATGTTGGTACTATAAATATGTGCAAAAGTAAATGTGGCGCGCTTTAGTAAGTGTTTCCCATGTAGTTCAAAATGCCTTTTACGTTTTATGTTCCATTTAAAAAATGTCTATCATCCTTTACCTTGATGCACAGGAGACACTGCACAAGTAATACATCAATACCAATCTTCTACTACATTCCACAACTGACACATTACTTCAGTGTAGTGGATTTTTTTTCCTAAATAAATTGCTGTATTGAACCAAATCATTTTCAGTTATTTTAAAGGAAAGCCATCAAGTGCTACATGTTTTATGCAGAACCAATACTTTTAAATATTAATGGAAAAAAAAAGGATATTTTAATAAGACATAAGCTTTTTTATAAAATATTTTTAATTTTGCGAAGTCTGATACTATCACTGTTTTCAGTCAGTAGCATCCAGTTCTTGCGGGAACCTGATCAGTTATTTCTAGCATCTTCAGTCAATAATAACCATGGAAATATAAGTGAATTACAAACACTCATCTCACCTAATCTTTAGTATTCTGAAAGCTAGGATCCTAATCTGCATCTAGAATCAGAGGAAAAAGGGGAGACACTTCTAAAGATTATCTCATCTCATGTGAATCATAATGCCCTCCACTTGCTATTGGTTTTATAGGAGGCACCCAAAGATTAAACACTGTATTTTTCAGTCAGCTAAAGTTATGAGAGGTGAATCCTTTTCTGAGCACCAGCCATTCAGAAACAGCGCAAGTATAAAGAGACTGCCACAACTGGTCTACTTTTTAGCTATTTTTACCTTGCCTTTTCAGTGACTCCCATTTGTTGATGAACATCAATAAATTCCATAAGTTGTCTTTGTAGCATGTTTTCCTTTCCTTCAATCTGCCTAATAAAATCATGCTGCAAAAGACTAGATACCGTTGGGCGCTTCTCATAGTCTTTAGTTAAGCACCTGTGCTGGCAGAAAAAGCAGATGATCATTCAGGGGTCATTGTTAAGTTTTGACACGCCTGTCTGTAGTTCACTCATACTGTCATAATAAATACATCCATCTTATTCACAACACTTCAGTACTGAAAACTCTAAGATTTCACAGAATTGATAAGGTCTAGAAGTTCAATCATTGATTTTTGAAACTTGAGATCATTTGTTTGCAAATGCTTAACGTAAAAAACAAGTTCCTTACTCATCTACAGTCAAAGGACTCCACCCAAAACACTTCTCATTTTTACAATTGAAGGAAGCAGAACAGAAAATTTTTTACTAACAACATATCTCCATGGAGAATACAATGATATTTTACAAATGACATTTATACATGTTCCATATTCAGTTACAGTGGTCTCAGTTGTTACTCACTTGTTAATGAAGTCATTGAATTCAGATGACCACAGTTCAGGCTGCTGTAGTGTTGGAGGAGGATTCCTGCAAAGGTCAGTGACAATAAGTTAATAAGCTACTCAGCTGCCAAAAACGATGTGTGAAGGCAGGCTGAGTAATGAGTTTTAGAAGGCCACTGAAAAAAGATATTGATTTCCACTGGTAAAAGGAGTATGGGTAGAGGATACAATGCCTCAATGGCTCTTCTGCATTACATAACTAACAAGGAAAAATAGCATGGAGAGGATCTACCAACCATAGCTAAGATTACTGTACTTTTTTCAATCAAATCAATAAACAGAAATAAAACTAACGACCCATTAATCACTATTCACTTGTAATAGCAAGTCTCTCTTTCCAAGCCTGAAACTATATACTTTAAGACATTTTTAAAAAGAAATTCTATGTAAAGGTTTTCCAGAAGGACTGAATTAATCAGCTTACTGAACAAACTGCAGGAAGAAACTAGCTCATTATTAGCCACGTTCGATTTATCAGGAGATATTCAGAAGGCAAGTGAAGAACTAGATACAGATATACTGTAAATAAAAAATTCTTTGTTGTTGATTTAAAGTTTCTTATGTTAGGTACTAATGTCCAAATTGTTTTGAGTCTCCTTCCTTTCAATGAAAAGTGCTATTTCCACTAAGCATACTCACTTAGACAAAAGCAAATGCCTATAGATGAGGTGACTCCTTTACTGTTAAATCAGTTATCAAAACCGCATTCTTTAAGTGATGCCTAATGTTAACTCTTGAACTTTTGTGTTTTTCTTAATGAAATTAAAAGGCAGTGGATCTTACATTTGTTCCTGGGCAGAGTGTTAGGCACCAAATATCTATAAGCGTATAAGCCAGATGGCTTTTTGAAGGCCTAGATGAAATTTCAACAGTTTGATTCTGCTTTTCCCGTAGCAAATAGAGGTGGGAAGAGCATTCATGCTCTGCTTCAGTGCCAAGTCACCCAAGATTTCTTAAACAAGAAAGCAGTTTAAATTAATTTGGGTTACTTGGCTGAAAAGGACCTGGAGCACTCATATATGCTATGTGGTCTCACATGCTGTGGTACTACAACTGCTGGAATGAAATCCACTGACTGCAGTAAGGTCATTCCCTATATTCTTTGAGACCAATGCTTTTTGAAACACTGGAAGTGGTAATTTGGGTACTTCTACATCCAGCTTCAAAGAAAGCACAAAAGTTGCCAGAGATACTGCCTAAGGACAGCAATACTGCAGCTGGCAGGAACAGCACAAGCTAATGAAAGGTAAGGGACTAAATGTATGTGAACACTTTGCTTCAAAAGATGTGATAACATT